ATTTGAAATGGGCCTTAAAATAAGGCACATTTCTAAACGCACACGTACCTTATTTTAAGGCTCATGTCGTCCTCAAGGTTGTGGACCAAAGACATTGATCACAGGGTCCAACATCAAGCTCTTGCCAGCGTTTGTCACACCCGCAATCAGCGGCACCCGTGCCGTTTTGCAGGGACCGCAGCAGATAACCTGGGCCAGACTCGCTGCGACCAACTCTGAATCCACACTGGCACGGTTTCTGCGGAAGAAGTCGCTCGCAGCTGTGGCCCATTTGCACTCCCCGCTGCACGTGCAGGTCTGTCCCGCGAGACGCTGCACCAAAGCCCAGTCTGTCTCCAACTCCAGAGCACGCTGGCGCTTCGCATCCTGCCACTGTTCTGCTCCAGCAAGCAGCTCCGGCAACCGCTTCTGGTTACGCAAACAGTACAGCTGGGCCGCTTCCGACCCGTGCTCTTGCACGTAGGCGAGGACAGCGCTGGGTGTGCGGAGGTTCTTTTCCAGGACCAGAGCCGTGAAGTCCAGAGGCGTGAACTTGGCGGCCTTAGGCTTCCGGCCAGCTGCAGCTGCTTCGCCGGCTGCTGCAGCTTCGCGCTGTTGCCGACGCTTGGTCCACAGTGAGGAGCTGAAGGGTTGCTGCGCTTCCTCGTAGAGGTTGACGACAACGTTGCCTGAGGCAGGGTCCTTGTACTCCTGGACAGCAGCTGGCCCTGCCTCTACTGGCTCCAGAACTCCAAGTGCTTTAACCCACACCAGAGGTCTCTGGTCGACTGCAGGCTTCCGTTCCGTCGTGAAGGTCCCGTAGCGCACAGCACTCCACCACTGCGTGTGGGAAGTACTCCAGTGCGATGCCAGACCCGCACGCCGACGCAGCGCGGTCTTCAAGGGCAGGAACCGCGACACTGCACTAAGCCGCAAGGCGACGTGGAAGTGTCGCGGTTCCTCCAAGAAGACCACGAGCTTCTGCGCCTCCAGCACTGCTGAGCGGGGTCTGCCACCCCGTGGGTTGGCGTCCTGCACAGGGTGCTCCACGGCATCAAGGAGGGCAGCCTTGATGTCTTCTCGAGACAAGCCGTCCAAGCTTCTCAAAGGAAGCTCTGCCGCCAGTGCTGTCGCATCCAGGATGGCAGCGAACGTCACGAGAAACACTAGGCTTCGAGCTGCCGCATCCTCGTCCGTGAACCAGTCTGGCTTTGCAGGGGGTGTCTGGTCGTCAGAGTCGTCGGAGCTGGAGCTCGACATGACACAGGGCACGGTAAGGAGCCAAAGTGTGCTGCGATGAGCGGCGTTGCTGCGCTTTGGCTTGAACTCACACTGCTGGCTTGGCTTTAGCATCGCTAGGCTTTGAAGGGGCCGGCTTCTCAAGGTGCAACACGGTAGAACACGGTGTGTCACGGAAACTGAAGCAGAGCTTCTACAGCGAAGTCGCGTAAACGCAAGCACAGCTGCCGGAACACTGCACAAGACGCTGTGACGCCACATGCTGCAAGCTCGACATAGCAAGACACAGGTGAGGGCAGGGCAGGGCAGAGGGCAGGGCAGGGGAGGGCAGGGCAGGGAGGGGAGGGCAGGGCAGGGCAGGGCAGGGCAGGGCAGCAGGGCAGCAGGGCAGCAAGGCAGGGCAGGGCAGGGCAGGGCAGGGCAGGGCAGGGCAGGGCAGGGCAGGGCAGGGCAGGGCAGGAGGCAGGGCGCCTAGTTGCAAACCTAGTTCCTCTTTGCAAAGTATTTGCAAAGTATTTGCAAACCTATTTGCAAACCTATTTGCAAACTCCAATTTTAAAGAGATTCCTTTCATGCGCAGGACTGACAAGCAAAGAGAAGACATGTCTTTGTCGGTTTCTTTATTGTGCCAGCGTGCAATCGTGAATCTCTTTAAAGTGGAGTTTGCAAATAGGTTTGCAAATAGGTTTGCAAATAGTTTGCAAATAGTTTGCAAATAGGAACTACGTTTGCAAGTAGGCGAGGTGGCCAGCCAGGCGCCCTGTCCAGGGCCAGGCATGCCCCAGACCAGCCAGGGCACAGGCCCAGGCAGGGTGCAGGCCAGGAGCTCCAGCCAAGCGGGGAGGCTCCAAGCACGCCCCCACCAGCCAGGCCCAGGGCGGGCAGGCCAGGAGGCCGGCCCTCCAGACCACCCCACCTAGCCCCCCTCAGGGATGCACGCTGTTTTGCCCTCAACCTGGCACAGCAATCTCACCGTCCGTGGCCGCCCTCCTCGATAAAGTTCCCCTTGGCTTCTTGGAGCCTTTGACAGCGGCGGACCATGTCTCCAATGCTGTTCTCCAAAAACTCCTTGGGCAAGTTCCGGATGGTGCGCTTCAAACGGCGGATATAGTTCGGGCGTGTCTCGCGTCTGGATTTCGGCCAGGCTTTCTCTTGACTGCGCAAGCGCCGGTTCACCTCCTTCCAGACTGCAAAGTCTAGTAAGGAGAGGTCCGGGCTTCGCTTGGGGATCTCCAACACGTCCATGTTCCCCTGCACTTTCGCTGCCTGACCTGCCAACATGCACAGACACAGATGCACACAGAAGGAGCACAAGGACGCCGAACACCCCCCAAGCAGTCATGGCAAGGTCCGCGCGCCTTTCGCCGATTTGTATCCCGTCGGATCATTGTCCTCGAGGATCCTATACTTGCGCTTGCCCGGCCATGCCTTGGCCAGCCCACGACCGAGAGCTTCATAAAAGGTGACGGCCGCCTGCCCACTCCAGCGGCCGGTCACCTCGTGCACGGTCACAACTTTGCCGCCACCAATGCCGACTTGCAACAGCACACCCTTCACCCCTGTGTAGTGCTTGAGGCCACCCTTCTTTGGCTTGACGTAGCCGGCACAGAGGCCCTTTCCGGGGCGTCGATAGGCGCCGAAAGTGTTGTGCTTCGCTGCCCTGGCACGCTCGGCTCCAGTCAAGTATACCTGGCAAGACGCAAGACAACACAAACGAACGCACCGCTCTGACGCAGACACGGGAAGCAAGGAACCTGGAAGTACTTGCCGTCGATGAAGGCGTGCACTTGCTGCAGCCACCATGCACGCGACTTATGCCGATAGGTGCTGGCAAACGTCTTGCGGGCTTTGACGTCGGCTGGGGTGAGCACAGGCTTCTCGCGCAACTTGCGAAAGTAGATGTCGCGGTCGTGGAGAGCTTTCAGGATGGTTTGCGTGCCAGCTTTTGTTTTGGTTGCTTTCTGCAAAGCCTCCACCGTGATCATCTTCTGGCCGTCCGCCTTCACGATCATTTGATCCAGCTTCCGCTCAAGATAGTCTACCTGGGCCTTGCTCAAAGCACAGGGTCGACCCTGCTTTTTGGCTGCCTCCTGCTTGCATAGCAGTCGTGTCAGGGTGGACGCGTCGCGGCCCAGCAACTCCGCAATGGTTGACGGCGACTTCCCCTCGTCGTACCACCGCCGGGCCAAGGCCCGCTCCTTCTCCGTCATTTTCACCCAGCCAGCAGTCGGCATTGCACCACCGCTGTGAGTCTCGAAGCTAAGGCTATAGCTGCAGTGTGAACCCGGAACGCTGCAGCGTGCACGCGCGCAAGCATGCAAGACGGCCACACGCGCTCACACACGGCCGCTGCAGGCTCTGCAAACACGGCACGACGTGCCACCTGGGCGCGCGGCTAGCTCTCTCACGCGAACTGAAGCAAGACACGGCGCTGACGCTGCATCGGTGCTCGACACAGTCTCCTCGCACAACACGCAAGCACAGGTACGTCTAGCGCAAACACGGCACAACGCGCTGACTCGGGCGCGCGGCTAGCTCTGTCACACGAACGCAAGCAAGACACGCAGCGGTAGCTGCGCAGCTTCTAGAGACAGAGTCTCCGCGCAAAACACGCAAGCATGTCTAGTGCAAAGACGGCACAACGCCCTGCCTCGGGCGCGCTGCAAACTCAAGCAAGACGCATAGCTCGTCAAGCTACAAGCTCTGTCACGGCAACGCAAGGAAGACAAACAGCTCCTGCTACGCAGCTTCTAGACAAAGTCTCCACGCGCGACACACAAGCACAGCTACGTCTTTTGCAGCATCGGCACTGACGCGGGCGCACTGCAAGCTCTCTCACGCGAAAAGTGAAGCACAGACATCCACAGCTACGATGCTTCTACGCAAAGTCTCCTCGCACAACACTTAAACACGGCAACTGGAAGCACCGCATGCTCGCACGTTGCGCCGAAGACAAGGTCACGACAGAAGTCGTAAAACCACTTCCCGAGACGGTGGATGGTAAAAATCCTGCATGACCTGTCTACTAACAGTGTTAGCGACGACCTGGACGACTTCTGCCCTCGCCCCGATTTCAATGTTGTTGAGGCCATCGGGTCATGCAGGATTTTTACTATTCGCGCCTGTCGCCCTTTCGGTGCCTTTGGGCTCAATATTAAGATTCGGGGGTTGCGGGGGGAGAGACCTGTGTCGACAAATCGATGCAGGATTTTTCGTAGCAACAGTAGTACCGTAGAAGCATCAGCACGAATTGGAAGCACTGGTATGTGTATATACTGTGTTAATGTTGAGACTCTTACAGTGACCCTTATACTCGCAGAGTACCCTGTATACTCTTATAACTAATCAAAGCCTTTATTCTCACAGGGACATGAACGGGAAGCTGTGTGTTGTACTCTTTTGCATGATCCGGGACCTGGCCTGGGAAACGGGAGGCTTCCATGGTTCGATTCAGGGTTTAGGGGATGCCATTCTGGCCACCCCTGGCTCGTATACAAAACGTTAAGGGGAGATCGCTTTGTATTTTACACTACAATAGTATATTACGACAGACTACCACAACAAACCACAATACTATAACAATCTTACAACCATACTATGGCAGAGAGCTTGTCAGTTTATAGCTTCCTGTCCACAGCTGACATGGGCCTGTCAGGGCAGGTCGGGTTACCTCAGGGCGACGAGGGGCCCTATGCCTGTAGTTTCACCTACAGGTAGCTTTTAAAAAGCTTGGGACAATAGCAGCAGTTCCGTGGGCGCAGCTGCTTGAGTCTGCCTGGTAGGTGAAGAGCCGGCTGACGCAGTGGAGGAGTTCCTCGCCGACTGGCTCGGAAAGGAATTCTCTGTCCCAGGCTGGGGCAATTTCGCTCAGATAGAGCTGCTTAGCTGATGTCTTGACGGCAGCGTGCTAACCACTATGGTCCCTTGCACCCGAAACCGTAAGCTCTGAACCCTAAACCCTAACTAAGAGTTTCTGAGTGATTTTGCATTGCCTTGTCATTTCGAAGCCAGGAGAGACACGGATGATGATGGGTGGGCAGGGCGAGCTCCCGTGTTGAATACCTTTGTGAGAAGGCTTCCTGGCCGGAGAGATGATAATACCGTAGTCCTAGTCCCAAGCATCCTGAGATTACGATTGTAATGATAATAACAATAGTTATAATAATCATAGTAATAATAATAATCGTCGTAGTTGTTGTAGTATGTTGTATTGACTTCCATTGCATTCTGCTTTGTCTTGTTCCCCTCTGTCCTTTGCAATTTAAACATTGTCTTTCCCAATGTATTGCACCACGTTGCATGGTTTGCCCCGTAGGAACAAGATGGGAGTTTCCGAGAACTGGGGACACCTTATTTGGGGGTCCTTATAATAATAGGGATCCTACTCTTTAGGGCACTATATTGGGGTCCCCTCGTTTTGGGAAACTCCCAGAGGATTGATCTGGTGTGCTCAGGCACGATGCCTCGGTGGAGGGCCTGGTCTCCGAAGGTCGCGCGTCTCGGGGTCGTTTCGAGGCTGTCGGGCTCCTGATGCGGGTTTTGGGTTTCGGGAGGTTTAGGGTTTAGGATGGTGGGTTTGGGGTTTAGGGTGGGAAATATTCAAAGTTTTAAATCAAGGTGTCGCCTTACATGAATCTTCCAGGATCTGTCGTGCTCTTCCGTTTGCTGCAGCCACAGAAGGGCTTTGGATGGGGCATCGGCGCCTTGGCGAAATATGGGAGTATTAGGGGTAGCTTATTTTGGGGTCTTTATAATGCGATCCCACTATTTGGGGTAATAAATCGGGTTCCCTATGTTCGGAAACTCCCATATGTACTTTGGTCCTGCTGGACAGTGCAGAAATCCTTGAGAGCTAGCGCGTGCTCACAACTAAGGTCATGTTGTGGCGGTGCAGGTGAACTATAGCAGGTGGCAGGGGTGCACTCAGTGCTATCATGATTCTTGTGTGTCTACAACAACATTGCGTTCAGCCGACTACTGCAAGAGGATCTTGTTGATGACAGCTCCGATGTCCAAGGAATGGGCCAAATGGCCTGCTGCATGTGCAGCCGATGTACCTGCGCGAGATCAGGAGCGTCTGGACCACGCATTCGATGAAATCCTTCTAGTCTTCTGGTTGCCAGGAGTGGCACTGCTTTGCTGGAGGATGATTGGGATGCTGATGCTCATTTGCATTGCGTATGCTTCGTCTCATCTAACCGAGTTCCTATTCTGCGGCTGCATCACTTCTGATGGGCTGCGGGCACAGAAGGACATTGCCATCACGAGGGCAACCGATCGCTTGGAAGTCTTGGATGCGCGGCTTCGAAGCGACGGGACTTTGCAGCTAGAGGAGCCGAGTCGAGCTCACACGCGAGCGGCTGCTTGTCACGAAGGTGTTTCTTGATTCCGGGGGTGACCGGGGCGGTGAGTAAGTGGAGCATGCTGTGGAACATGCGCCTCAGGTGCTTTCAGGAATGGTCCTTCTAGATCCCGCTGAGTAGAGTCGATCTCCGCGCAAACCACCGAAAAAAAAACTGCAACTGCCAAGCGCCGCGTGCAAGTGCTCAGCAAAAGAAGGTGCCATGGCACCAGGACGCAACTGATCTGTTTGGTGCTCAGCAGGGAATGGGGGAATGGATCCCTATAGCAGTCTCTATATAATCCCCAATAATAATAGATCTCCATAATCCATTCCCCCATTCCCTACTAAGAGCCAGACAGACGGATTCAACGAAGTCTTCTGATTCGAATATGGGAGTTTCCGAAAATCAGGGGTACCTTCTTTTGGGGTCCTTGCAAATAAGGATCCTACTATTCAGGGTACTAAATTAGGGTCGCACATTTTCGGAAACTCCCAAACCCTAAACCCTAAACACTCAATAGAACCCCCGCAGATCCCGTAAAGGAATCCTATTTTCGGAAACTCCCAAACCCTAAACCCTTAATGGAACCCCTATAGATCCCGTAAAGGAACCCTTAATAAAGGATCCTCTAATTTTCGGAAACTCCCAAAAACTGAACCCCAAAACCCTTAATAGAACCCCTATGAATCCCTTTAAGGAACCCATCAAGGATCCTTAGTTTTCAGAAACCCTAAACCCTTATAGAGCCCTGTAAAGGAACCCTTATAGTACCCTTATAGCAACCCTTTAAAGGAACCTATTTTCGGAAACTCTAAACCCCATAAACCCTTAATAGAACCCCTATAAATCCCTTTAAGGACCCCAAAAAGGTACCCTTTAAAGGAACCCTGAGGTACCCCTAATTTTCGGGAAACTCTAAACCCTAAACCCTTTATAGAACCCTTATATTAAAGGATCCCTTTAAAGGAACCCTAAACCCCCAATTTTCGGGAAACTCCCATATGGGGGTTTCCGAAAACAGGGGACCCTAATATGGACTTTAAATAGTAGGATCCTTATTATAAGGACCCCAAAATAAGGTACCCCTTATTTTCGGGAAACTCCCTAAACCCTAAACCCTATAGAGATCCCTTATAGGAACCCTTAAAGGATCCCTTTAAAGGAACCCTAAAGGTACCCCTATTTTCGGGAAACTCCCATATGGGCGCAGGTTTCGCGGAAGAGCTTGGGCCTCGGTGAGGTGGCAGTCGCGTGGATTCGAGACTGCGGAGACTCCTGGTTCTCTCGGCGTTTCGTCCAAAGCTTCTAACATAATATATATATATATATATAAGTAAATAAATATATATATATATATACATATGTTTATAGTTAACATACATATATAAAATACAAATTGTATATATACACATATATATATATATATATATACAGTATGTAGTTTATAGTATATATCATATATAATCTGGCCCAGGCTGGCATCTTGGACCTCTGCTTCGGCAGAGCCCCGGCGAATGAATCGAGCGAAGCAGCTGCTCATGGAGGTGCCACCCCCCCGAGGAGGGAGTTTAGAGTCATATATATATATATGCTAAATAAATAAATAAATATATATATATATATATATATATATATAGGCTTGACAGGGGAACCCTCTGCAGCTGAGGGCCTTTTGAGATTCCTTCAGAGAGGGGGCACTTTTCGGAGGTCTGGACTTGGGTCGGCAGCGGATGCAGCGGCGGCCAGGAGCTGAGGAAAACATTTCGTCACTCCATGAAGTCTCGGATCTCCCCACAATTGCAACGGGCTCTTGTGGCTGCTTCATCTGTCTGCTGTGCCGAGTGGAACATAAAAAATCTATTAGTTTACAAAAGTGCAACAGAGCCGCTTTGGTCGAATTCTGCAGTTCAAGCCCTGCGGACGCTCTTCTGCTGGTTGACACTTGCGGTCGCGATCACACCTGTCGTGCTGCTCTCAGTTATCAGGGACATGAACATTCGAGTCCGCAAGACTGAGTTCTTGTTAAAGGATTTCATTAATTCAATGTACCATAACAAAGAAACCATATTCTTTACTATAGATGATTATTATGGTAACATAAACTAAACCCCTTAGCAAGAACCCAGAAGAGTTCCGGCGTGGTTTGAGGCGGAGCAGGGAGCAAGACTGAGACCCGTGCACAGGCGGCAGCATGTGTTTGTTACTTCGCATCCGTGGACCGCCAGTGCACCGAAGTTTGGGAGTTGGGACATGCGTTTCCCTGGTGCCAGCATCATCAAGACCGGCCTCCAACGGGTGGACTCCTCTCCGGCGGCGGGCCGTGCCAGTGCCGCAGCGAAGGCGGGGGGTTCCTGAAAAGATACCCTAAAATCTAAACAGGAAGGCAGGATGTCCTCCATTCCTCCGATAACCCTGAACCCTGGGCTAATGGTGGTACTGTGTGCAGGCCTGGACGTCCGTGCTCTTCCTTTTGGATAGCAGCGCGGAGGCTAGGGGCTGTCATCTGTGGCAGTGATCTTGTACTTGTACTATGTATCATAGTCTACATATGTACACATGTATGTATGTATGTCTGTATGTATGTATGTATGTATGTAGGTGGGTATGGATGTCTGTATGTACGTTTATATCTATATCTATGTATACGTATATACGTATTGTGTATATGTGCTTGTACATATATATATATATATATTTATATATATATAGGTTTGTGTATATGTATGTGCAAATGTGAACATGCGTAAGTGTGTGTGTACGTGTATGTACATGTGCATGCCAGGTGTGTGCATATATATATATATATGTTAAAAATGGCTACAGACGTTTGCAGATGTACGCATATATCTACCTTACAGTGTATATCGATATAGACGCAATATGAGGGGCATATATATATATATATGTATCTATATCTTAGTACACGTGTGTATATGTATACGCACATACATACACACACACACATACATACGTACATACATACATACACACGCATCCACATACTGTAGCATTGTTCCCATCTTGGCAGGCGTGGTGGTGGCTCAAAGGCATTCGATCGTCTTCCCAGGCAACTGTGAGTATTGCCCGGTTGCACATACGTTCCTGAATCCGGCCTGCGTTCGTGCAGCTGTGCGCTGGTTGTGGTTGTGGCGGTGGTGGAGTGGCGTTCAAGCTTCGATCCTAAGTCCTGCGCTTGTCTGTCCAAGCCTGGTCCTGTCAGCTCACGCTGATGCCCAAATGTCGACGGCCAGAGTCTTGTTGCAGGCACCGAGTCCATGGACAAACAGCGAAGATGGCGGTGTTGGTGCCGTCATCTCGGGTGCATTGTCACATTGCGTGACCTTGTGTGATATGAACCGCATGTGTTCGCAACTTCAATCTTCTTGGCGGAGTAGCAGGGCCCGGGTGTGGTAAGGTCGCCAATCCCATGTTTGGCAAGCCGGAAGATGCCTGGCAGCAGGCATGCCGTGCTTGCATATGTAGAAAGACCACCGTAGATGCGAGCCGATCTTCAGGGCGAAGACCCTTTCGATGGTGTCGGCATCCCAGAATCAGATAGAATCAGAGACTCCCCAGACTCTGCTAGAAAAGCCCTTCCCGTCTGTTCGCTGCATGTGATGCCTGAGCAACATGCAGCGATTGCAAAGCACCGAGAACGATCCGACTGCGGCTGCTCTGGAGTTTGACCGGGAATTGGACAAGGCAAGGCTCAGCCGATTCCTTCGTTTCACGCTGAAGACAAGACCCGTCCTATGGACGATAATTGCATCAGGAAATTGACGAGGTTCTAAAGGACGCAGCTGCCCAAGCTTGACAGCCTCTGGTGGGGAAGAGTCGCATGCAGTAGCAAATGAATCCACAATGCAGCAACACCGTTTGTCAGTTGGTCTCCTTGTTTTTTTCTCTGTCCGTCTGTCGGCCGACCTCTCTCCCACTTCCACGCTCTCTTGTTCTCGCTTTGGCATCGTTTGTTCCCCAAGACCATGACCTGAGTCGGACCCCGTGTCTGCAGCAAGGATGGCGGCTATGCATTCTGAGCTTTTCCGTGCTGTTGCTTGGTGTTTGCCAGGAGATGGCCCGCGTGTTCAAAGTTGTACAGCCTAGATGATGGTTAACTAGCCGTAACTAGCCGCATGGAACATTCAGTATCATAAGCATGGCTTTCTGCAGTTGCCAACTCTTGCTTCGGATGGATGGGACAGATGTTTTTTGCGCACCCCAGCTTGCTGCAAAACTTGCCGGTTTGCTGAGGGCATTTAAGGGACCTGCAAAGATTGCGGGTCCCCGCTTCGGGAGAAGATTTGGCAGCCCTAAACCCTAAAACCTGTACCCCAAGCCCTAAACCCTATACCCTGAAACCTTAACCTTCCTTAAAAAATAAACCTTAACCCTAAATCCTAAACCCTAAACCCTAGACTTTGCCAGCTCTTTGCCTTTTGGACCGGCTCGGAGTCCTCTTTGCTCTCGTCAGAGTTCTCGGGCACGCGGCCGTCTCAGAAAACTCTGCGCCAGGTAGATTCGGGGTTGACTCTGCCGGAAAATCCATGATACGTCGAACATAATATGTAATATATAAGTATGAATATCTACTTCTATTGATTACTGCTACGGCCACGACTGCTAGTACTGTTTATCGTAACAATAGCAGTAGTATTAATTGAAAAGCGTAACAATAGTTACTGTAATGGCAATAGCACTATCGCGAAGAGTAGTTTCATTCGTAATAGGATCCGAATACTCACACACTAATAGTAAGAACAACAAGGACAACAACAACGGTACATAAATAAATATGCTAAGTACATATGCATATACACCTGTAAGTATCAGTATATGAGATATAGTAACTTAACTAGGGAGTAGAGTTCTTATAGCATGCATACAGAGTATAGTATACAGTACGCAGTATATAGTATATGTTATGCATTCTGCATTTTTATAGTCCATGTATTATTTACACTAGGAAAGTATTTAACTTGTGATTTATGTTATATGTTGTGTACTACATATCATGTGCCACATAATACATAACATACACTGTATAAACATAGCATATTATCAATTACAGAGCATGGTATATCCCATGGATAATAAAGAAACTGTCAGTTATATATATATATATATATACATATATATATATATATATATAATGTACACATCATATTATACTGTGCATTACTATTATACATATTTTCACCTGTAACATAGTATATTGTACACCCTACAACACATAATGCAGCTGCTGATGTACGACATGCGAAGCCGTTTCGGCACAACTGCCATGAGAACAACACAAGAGCGGCGATTGTAGGTTAGGTTCTATGTCAGACTAGCGTCTGTGGCATAACTTAGGCAAGCCCCGGCGCTTTGGACAAGACAAGTCTGGCCACTGACTTTTCAAGGCCCGTAAGAAGTAGATGCTCGAAGCCGTGCGCAAACACTTTCTAGGCTGAGGGTGCTGGGAGTACCGTCTGTATCCATGCCTGCCGACAGTGGCGCTGAAAGAGATGGCGAGATCTGTCAGGCTGGTGCAGTTGTTCTGTCCCGGCCATCTTTTTCGCGCTTGCAGAGTCGTTGAACTTCATAGGGCACCTCGCGACAAGAACTCCTCGCTGACCAGACAGGGTCTGCACCCCGGGGCAGCTCAGAGCACCTAACAGTGGGTACAAATCCGTCTCGTTTAGGCTCTCGCTGGAAGCCGACCTGGCACAGCTGAAGCGGACCCGCTTGGGGTTTGAGTTGGAGCCGCAGCTGAAGAATCACTGCTGAGACTTTCGTCAGGACTGTCGCAGTCGCCAGCTTGAGCACCTTCTGCTTGGGCTACAACACGGCAATCGTCGCCGGGGCACAAACTGGAATTCATCAGGACGGCACTGGCTTTGCTCTGACATGTTCTATCGGCTGACCCGTTAACTGTGACGGATTCGGGCTTGTCACGGCCAGCAAGCCAGACAGTGCAGCGGGGTCATGCGCTTGAGAAAGAGGCTTGCCCAGAAATCGCTGCCAGGGATTTTTCCAGCATCGTAGGCCGTAGGCAAGCGTCTCGCGTTCCTTGTTCGTCGGTATGGTCCGACCATCACAGCAGAGAAAGGCCTTCTGCAACAAAACATTGAGATGGTTGCCCTTCATGAGAGGCCCGGGCAAACCAGAGGCGAAAGCTGAGAGCATCTGCCCTGGCAGAGGGGAAGAAGTGTTCCGGAAGTCGCTTCCTTCCCACGGGATGGGAGGGTACCAGCCCCGGAAGGTCTGCTCGGTATGCTGCAGGCTTTGATGCAGCCGTCGGATCATGTACCAGCTGCATCTCAGAAGAGACAACAGCGAGCCACAAGATGTGACGCCACGGTCATCACCGATTTTAAGTTCTTCGATGTTCTTCGTGTTGTCTCTCCCAACCTTCGAAGACGAGTCTTCCCAAGTGCTGGAGAGCATGCAGACACAAACATAGGTGTACACATGTTCATATTTTATATGCTGTATCCAAGTATATGTATGTATAGTTTATACAGTTTCACATGTACATCAACACATAGGCCATAGGCATACACATATCGGTACGCACACACATATTATGTACATATATGTATATTCACTATTCTGTGTTGATTATACACATGTGTACCATATGAGCCACTATAAGCCACCGTGAGCCACTGTAATGGATCCCTACAGTAGTCCCAAAATAATCCCCAATAACAGTCCCCATAACCCATTCCCCAATTCCCTACAAAGAACGCCTAAACCCTAAAACCCTTACATAAACCCCTAAACCCCCATTCCCTACTAAGCACCTAACCCCCTATACTAAACCTTATAGTACCCCACAAAGAGCCCCTAAACCCCTAAACGCCTAAACCCCTAAAGCCTTACATAAACCCCCAAACCCCAATGCCCTACTAAGCGCCAGGGAGAAGAGCACTCCGCTCCGCCCGCCTCGCAGGACACGGACTTCGTGCACGGCAGCGGCCTGGCCGCGGGAGTTGCTTGGTTCAGACACGACAAGGGGGGGCAAATGACTGGGTAGTATATATATATATATATATATATATATATATATATTTATATTATAGATGTATATATACATACATATGTATATATATATATATATATAACAGATGTATATGTAAATATAGTTATATATATATGTATGTGGATATGCATTATGCTATCTGTTGATCTACCTGCCTACTTGTCTTTTTAAAGAAGGACCAACCACGGTAACAGCAAGGATTCTACAAGCAAGGCACAAGCCACAACCCATAATAATAGAGTTCAAAGTGTCACACATACATGTACCTATCAAATGATAGTTACGCTCATACACACCGGACGCTTCTTCTCATGTATAAGAATATGCGTCTGACTTGAACATGTTGGTTTTTTTACTAATGTTAATACTAAAACTAATATAGTACTAATACTGATGCTAATACTATTATGAATATTAATACTAATCGTATTTGCCTGCATATTCAAGACCATGTCCGGGTGGCATGTACGTATGTATCGAGCACTACCCGGTTACCCTTTTCAGAAAACATGTGGGAACCTCATGACACCAAGGTTCAGAAATGTGGAACAGTTTTTTCAGACATATTGTGCAGATTGTTCAGCAATATGCAGCAGACTTTTTTAACCACATTGAAGGCTTTTTCCAGCAATAATGCCGCACCAAAACAGGAGAAGGCGTACGTATGCTTTTTCACACTCTTGGTATATATGCATGGGGTTTTAGGGCTTGGAGCTTACATAGGGTTTAGGGCCAGGTTTGATTTAGGGTTTAGGGTTTAGGCCATATGACTTTGTAGGTTTGCAAATGCATGGGGTTCGGGGTTTGGGGTAACTCGTGGTTCAGGGTTTAGCGTGATGTGCATTTGCAGGCTTGGTGTGAACGCATGGGTTTAGGGTTTAGGGCCCATGCTGACGAATTTCTGCGTTTGATACGTTTTAAACCACCCATGCTTGTTTTTGAAGAAAAAGCCGTTACATATTTCTGAAAATATGTGCATGTTTTCTGGACACGGCGTTTCATGCGTTGAACATGGTTCCTTGGAGCATTCCATCACCCCGTACTTATGTATGTGCGAATATAGGCATCTATGTGTGGAGGTATGTGCGGGTGTAGATATGTAAGTCGGTAGGTCCGTGTGCACATGTGCATGTATGTATGTATTTGTGTTGTGCAGTGCGTATATTTACATATATCATGCAGTACATTACACAGTGTGTATACAATATGTGTATATGTATATACAGGAAGAGAGAGAGCGAGAGAGAGAGAGAGAAAGCCTATGGAAGACGGGGCGGACAGCGATGAAGCGGGCTTTCTCGAGCCCACCCCACGACCATCACCACCACGGAGCAGACCACCACGACCAGCCAGAGGAGAGACCGAACATGACGAAGCAGTACACATGCAGCTGGGAGCTCTCACAGCCGAAGGGGAGCAAGCTAGTAGTAGTTCCTGCCATGGCCATGCCTTGAACGTGCTGCCACCGCCGGCCATCACCACTGAAGGGGCCATGTTGCGCTTCTTCCTCCGGGAGCTTATACTTCTGCTGCCACCCACTCGTCCGGGGGGGGAAGCAGCTGAAATGGTGGAGATCGCGCTGGCAGCGATCGGGGAAGCACCGCCAACAGAAGGGGATCGACGCCTCCAACCCCAAGAGTGTCTCCGACCGGCGCCGCCGCAGAAACGCAGACGCCTGGACTACTCGGGGGTGCTCAAAATGCGCCTCCAGGATATTGGGGCCTCGGATGGGGGACCAGACGGTCCAAACCAGCAGCAGATCATGTCGGACCTCCTGGAAGCCCGCAAAGACCTGGAGATGGTTCGATCCCAACTCGAGGACGCCACGGCCCAACAAGGGGGCACCCAAGTGACGGACAGCTGGGAGGGCCTGCTACAGGCCCGGGAGGCCATAAACGCGGCATTGGGGGCTGCGGCACAAGGGGACTTCGACTGGCAGTCTGACAGCTGGGCAGCTACAGTCGGCCTGCTCCTGGAGGGGATGGACAACTTGATGGAGGAGCTGGACCTTCTGAACTTTGCCCATGCCTCGGACGTGAACGCGCTCGCGGAGGGGGCAGAAGAACGACCAACGCCGAGAACGGGGACAACGGAGGAGCGCATCTGTGCAGTGCTCAGGGATATCCGAGGAGTCCTCCCGTTCCGCACCGGGGGACAGGCCGAAGTCAGAGCAATGCTGGCCTACGTGGGGGCGACCTTCGAGCAAATTGTCTGTGTAGACACACAGACGACCGACGACGCAGGGGAAACAGTTGGCACTGACCAGCCCCAAGCAGCGGGGACCATGCCGTGGGTGCCACCATTGGGCACAGCACAGTGGTCGGGGAGTCTGCCCACCTCAGGGGGAGAGTCCGACAGGGATGGCCCCACTCCACCTGATGAACTAGACGGGGAACCCACGGATGCAGAGTTGCTGGCAGCGATGGATGCAGCAGAACGACAAGCTGAAGAAGACGCCCGAGATGCTGCCCAAAGCTTGGGTCACGGGGGCACGCTGCTGGATGATGACGCAGAGCAAGGACCAGACGAACCAGCACAACTACTGAGTAGGGGGTCCAGCCACCGTAGGCGACGCATGCATGCGACAATGTATGATGATAAAGGCGGATTCTGGCACCCGGGGGAACTGTAGCTAGCTTGATGTTGCTAGTGCCAGCGGTGGTTGTTTGCTGAGGGTGCCGAAGCTGCGGAACCAGTACTGCAAAGTCCTGTACAGTGTGCATTGTGAGAGGGGCCCAGTCGAAGAACAGTTGAATGGTGACAGCTATGATGATTGTATAACTACACATGGCCGGGACCTCAGCCTGAACCCTAGTGTCTTGTGCAACACGTGGAAGTGCAAGGGGGACGGCTCTTTTTCTTTGACACACGGATCAAAGCCCTGTAAGTGGCCAACCGGATCCGACCACCAACATGGTGGCCCACAAGGGGAACACAGGCGCGAGGCCGGGGGGTGATTAGATAGTGTAAAGGGTCTGGGGGTTCAACGGAGCCGGCCTGCGCACAAAGACCTCAGTGGGGTTTCACACAAAGACGCAAGACCCAGTGCGCGCATGCGCGCGGGGGGGGCCTAGCCTCCTTCTGGCTGAGTGCAAGCAAGAGAGAGAGAGAGAGAGAGAGAGAGACCATTTTGGCTCAAGCCGTGAGTGCTCAAGTGCTGGCAGATTCCTTCCGCCCGGGGCTCTTGTCTCTACTCCCCTCTTACTCTTGCTTTCGGAACTGCAGCACTAAACCAGGGGATTGCTTCTCGCACGATAAACGTCTGCCCCGCGATTGCTGTCGAAGAAGGGGGAGAAGAACACGTGCTTCGAGCCGCGGGTCCGGGGCAAGGCGATAGTAACGGTCGGTTCAGGACGTGATCACTCCTCGAGGCGAGCGGGGGACACTGTGTACCGCTACCACACTGGCAAGGCGACCCTTTGTGCTAAGGTACAGATAGGCGATGCTGGCGATCACCAGTCATGCTGGGAGGCAGACGGCATCCTGGGGGAGTTCGTGATACTACTTGCAGAACATCAAGAATAATACGATCACGATGGTGAGAGGGGGAACCAGTCAATCTCCAAGGGGCAGCCTCTGCCGAAAAGCCGGCGCGCATGGGATGGTTGTATAAAGTTGCACGCTTCGCACCTTACTTCAGGTCCAGCAGTTTGTTTGCGGTGTACGAATGTTAGCCGTTACGTTGCTGTGGAGGCTTGCTTTCTGAAGTACGTTGCATGCAATCGCTGAACAATGCATAACCCTGTGCTTTCTGGTCACAACACGAAGTTGCTGCGAGGTGTGAATTCTTTAATGGTTCAAGGCAAATCCTTGGTCCTTCTCAGGTAAACCCACTCCGATCCGAGTGGCCCATATTGGCCATGCAATCCTAGTTAGGTCCTAGTTTCTTTTCAACGCACCATGTGCAAGGCGACTCTAGCATGAATTCGGGGGACTCGGGAGGCCACTTAATTCATTTCTGATCCAACTGAAAGCAATCCGAGAACACTCACTCGAAGCAGTGGGAGCATGTTTTTCTTCCCGATCTCCGAGGGGGGACGCAGCCTTAGTGTAGTGTCGTGAGAGTTTTCTGTTCAGGCATGTGGGGACCTCCCGTTTTAGTCGTTAACTGTGAAGCCATTTCCTACGAGTGTCGCACCCTGAACAGCATGTACTTCAACAAAACAGGGGAAACACTCAGCTTTTCACGCTCCTCCAAAATCCCCACGAACATCGGGGGGGCCTTCAAGGCCGAGGGGCTTCAGACACCCCTCATGCCCCGGGGAAGAAGAAGAAAAGAGAGAGAGAGAGAGAGAGAGAGAGAGAGAGAGAGAGAGAGAGAAATATACGTGGTTCGTCAACTTGGGGGACTCCATGCCTTCCCACGCCCTACCGAAAGCCCCGTAACAAACGGGGGGCCCAAGAGGCCGGGGGGCCTGACCCGCCCCTTAAGCCCTGCAGAAGAAAAGAGAGAGAGAGAGAGAGAGAGAGAGAGAGAGAGAGAGAGAGAGAGAGAGAGAGAGAGAGAGCGCGCCGCAGAACAAGCAGCCAGAGCGGGGGACCACATCCACGCCGCCATGGAACTGGCCCACAGCATCGAGCTGTATGGCGTGGAAGCGCACCTTGCCGCTGCAGCTGCAAGTCTCAGCCTGGCCTCGGACGGGGAGATGGGCCGAGGGGGAGACGACTCCACCTGCCCAACCTTTGAAAAGCGGCGGGTTGTCGGCATCTACGACGAGTGTGCACAAGCAGGCGACCCACCCACACAGGGGGAGCTTGCTGAAGTTGGAGCACCTTGAGTGGGCAAGCGCTGCTGTCCGGGGGTGTGAGATCCTCCAACTGGCAGACCACCCACGCAGCCACAGATGCCGCCGAAGAAGCTGAAGTTTGCCTGCAGATGCTCATCGGGGCCTACCCGTTGGGGCAAAAGGAGCTGGGCAGGCTGAGAAACCTGCTACAAGAAGCAGCAGAAGGAGTGGGGGCACTAGTGGGGATCTACCCCCACACGCCCCAGCATGAAAGCATGACAGTACACCCTGCGGACGTGCTCGGGCTCAATGCAGGGGGTGAAGAAGCAACCCACAGACGCGGGAAGAACCCGCCGGACGCCGTCTTCCGGGCCAAGCGCAAACTGCGCGACCTCTTGCCGTTCTTAGTGGGGGACGTGCTACAAGAAGCCAGAGCAGCCCTGCAAGAACTCGACAGATGGACTTGCGCATACATGGGGGGAGCTGAAGTTGTGGAGATCGTCGAAGCTGACGGGGAACCGGTGGCCAGTTCAACGAAACCTACTACCACCGCTGCTAGAGGGAGGGCCTCTACTGACCGGCCAAGCCCAAGTCCCTCTGAGCCACGCCGGCGGTTTAGCAACCCAAGCTCGCTTGACTGTTGCGGGGGTTTTGTTTCGGGGTCTTGCACAAAGTCAAGTGAGCCAAGGGGAGTGTTACAGCAGAAGCCGTGGCAGTGCAGAGGCTCCGACCGCACATGCTGCCCTCACTGTCGCCTGCACAGCCTTGGGGCCCACGATAAACCTAACTAGATGTGTGATCGGCTGCCGTTCTGTTGCGTATGAGGCTGCGGACTGGACCCCGACTTAGTTTTCACACCAAGCACCGAAAAAAAAAGCTCCAAGGGGCCGAAGTGTTTGCGACTTTTCTAGGGGGACGGCGTAAGACGTAGCACGTTGTGTCCTGAACTGGCCCGAGCTGCGACCCCAGTAACGAAACCGTAAGAGGAGTTGCAGCGAAAGTGAAGTCACGTATGGCACCGTATAGGCACGATATGTTGTGGGGGAAAGAATGCTGCAACGATGACTAGCCTTTTGCCCTGACCGAAATGCACTGCGCGGGGAGCCTCAGAGTGAAGTGTTGGTGAGTGTTGTGGAGTGATGTAAGGGTGGTTCATGTTGTGTTGTGTGAGAATTGGGCTCCAAGTGCAATTGCATGGGCGTGCTTCGAAGTTTTGCGCTGCACACCTCCGGCGGACTGCCATAGGGGCGCGGAGATGAGGCAGGTTGGGGGGTGACTTAGTGTTCGGGGAGGGGGTGTGCAGCTTGGAAGTTCGGAGCAAACTATGTAACAAGTACAGCGGTCAGTGACACCCCAAAGCCGTCCACTCAATACAACAGGGGGTAGACGGGCGGGCTGAAAGCCTGAGGGTCACAAGGGTGACCCCTAAGCCCGGCAGAAAGAAAGAAAGCGCGAGGGAGGGAGGGAGGGAGGGAGAGAGAGGGAGGGAGAGAGAATGTATATTGCATCGTCGATATTTTCATTTCATGGAAGTGTAAATATCACATAAAGCCGGTTCAACATGGACATCAATGCATGCATGCATGCATGCACACACACACACATTCATGCGCCGATGTTCATTTTGTATACACTCATATTGCATATCCTGTTGTATGTATGTATATGATACGATCTGTGCATAATGCAATACGGTGTCATGTACTACAATGTAACCTTACAGCATAATGTTGTATCTAAGCTCGAATTATGTATGGATTCTGGTGCATCGTGCGACATATCACATCGGGTACTGTAATGCAATATAATACGCAACGCGGTAGTAGAATGTACTGCGATACACGATATAGTTACATACTGGTTGCTTGAATTGCAAGTAACATGTGACATCACGACATAGCGCAAACTACAAGAAATTGTAGGATAGACTGATGTACTTTTCCGTTACTGTATTGCAAGAACGGTACATATCTTTTCTGAATTCTTATCCTGCCCGTATCACTGCAAGTTTCCTCCTGCACAACATGCTTTGATGTTGTGATGTCGCCGAACTCTCGAGTCCGGGCCAAGCATGCATGCCATGTTCTTGAGAGGTGCTTGTGAGCTCTGCATTGCCTGCTGCAGCATTGGGGGCCTTCGGTGGTCAGGACCGATTTGCACTGGGGCATGGATGAGCTGGTTGGTGTGTGTGTGTGTGTGCTGTAGCTTGGTGCGCAGGTCGCAAACTTGGTGGGCCGTCGCAGAACTCTGCTTGCTGTGGCAAGCCTCTTTGCGCTTGCACCGCTTGTGTCTTGGATCGAGATTGCGAGTGCTGGGGTTGGGTATGACCCCGAATCAGGCGGTTCTGACATCGTCTGCTTTCCACAATGTCGAACTTTTGTACTGGGTAGTACCTGAGCACCTGTACTACTATGACTCAGATTTTTGCCTGGACTGCTCAGCACCAGGGATCATCAATGAGCCAAGGCAATGGCTGCTGCACCATCCTTCCTTTTCCTTCTAGCCGCCAGGCTCTGCGTAACCAGCCTAGGGATTGACCAACACAGCTTCACAGCCTGATGGGGTTGCAGAAGCAAGTGCATTGCAAGAGGTTCCTCTGCGGACTGTCAATCGGCGTTTCCTCAGTGCTTACGAACCTCTACATCACGGAGGCCTCTTTGCCTTCCCATAGTGCTGGATTGGCAGTCGCTTTGCACCCGGAGTCCTCCAGAGGTGAGTCCAGCTGTGTGCCGCGGACGCTTGGGTGGCTGGGCGCCCTTCATTGGCACCAGCGGAATCCTCGTATCCTACATAGTGTAGCTTGGTGGGAATTGGCATCAGATTCTGCGGGAGGTCTGAAAACGTGTGTCCGATAGATGACATTGACATTGACCTTTAGCGCAATTCACGCGCTTCTCGCTTAGAGCTCTGCAGGTCCTCAGCGCTGCAGCCTTTCCCATGTCAGGCATGGAGGTGGCAGTTTGGCTTGGCAGTGTCTTGACTCGAATCAGTTCTGGTTGTTGGACGTATGGGAGTTTCCGAAAACAAGGGATGCCTTATTTTGTGGTCCTTACAAGGATCCGACTAAATATATATATATATATATATATATATATATTATTTAAGGTACTAGATTAGGATCCCCTATTTTCGGAAACCCTCCATATAGGTGCATCAAAGTGCTACAATATGCCACAAACGCAGGTGCTACCTGCACTGCTGCAGCTCCTGCTGAGCCGACAGTTGCCGGAAACTCCGCGCTGGCTTCTGGCGCAGTCGCGGAAAGAGGACGGCGGACCTGAACTGGGAGTCGAAGAAAGTTGGGTTTAAGGTTTAGGGGTTCAGGTTTAGGGTTTATTGGTTTTAGGGGTTTAAGGTTGAGGGTTTAGGGTTTAGATGCCTTCGCAGGAGGCACGGCAGAGCCTCCAGCAGCTGTTTCCAAAGGCCTCGGTCCCGGTCCGATGTCGAGAGCACGATGATTTGATGCAGCAAGCCCCTTCTAGGCGGCCCCGAGCTGCGTCGACGAGGAACTCTCCAGGTTGGAAGCCCGTCCCTTACTCTATCCCAATTGAACTTCTATCAGTATGAGCAGCTTCGAATCAGGGGCCTGGGCTTTTCATGTGGAGCCGCTTTGCCCCCTTGCGCCAGAGGTCGACCTGGGCCACACAGCGGAGGTGGCGGCGATCAGCTCCTGGAATCTCTGCTCTACAGAGCACCGGGCGACTCGCCCTGATCCATCGAAACACATTAACTAATGCGATATTAGTTACTATAAAATGACCATATCTACATATATATATATATATACATACATACATACATACATACACACACACACACATGTGTATATATATATATATGTATACACGCATACATACATACATACATACATACATATGTAGATATATACATATGTATGTATATATATATATAAGTAAATTTCAAGCAAATTTATTTACTATATAGTAAACATCTACTGTGTTGAATTGAACATATACCTGAAACGAAGTTCTACATGCCACATTAGCTGGAGGCCTCCACACTTGTGGGAGTGGCGATCAATGTGCTCCAGCAAGTCTCGGGCATCAACGTCTTCATCTACTTTGCACCTCAGACTCGCGGTCGCAGAAGAATATTACTGTCTATCATGATATACTATAGTATACTATAGTCTGTTATAGTATGGTATACTATAGTACATTATGGTATACCATAGTATATTATGGTCTGTGATTATAACACTGTATCATACTATAGCATTAAGATATGGTATTTCTAAAGTCAGTTGGAGCCGTGGGGGTTTCGATCCTTCAGGATCCTGGAAGACGCAGGCTTCGGCCGATACTCCATGGTCTCTACCGTGCCGCTCGGTGCAAAGCAAAAGGGGCTTGCGAGGGCCATAAGAGAGGGCTTTAGGGTTTGGGGTTTAGGGGTTTTAAGGGTTAAGGGTTCAGAGGGTACTATGGCGTTCGTATCATAGTGCTCCAATTCTTTCTGGACATGTGAGGTTGGTGAGCTTGATCCAGCTCACTGCTACGGCGGTGCGCGGCCTGAGCGAGGGCATCTGACATCACAGCTCGGGTGAGAGAAACAGCTGTTTCAGATCCGGCAAGGTGCTGATCCAATTCATTGATCGTGTTGGGCGCCGGCCTCTGGCTTTGATAGGCCTTGCCGGGATGATGGCCGGCCTTCTGCCGCTTGGACCGTTCTATATAGTAGATATCACGTGTAACATATACCGCATGCTGTAAATTTAATATACCTAGGTATACAGTAAACAGTATATATTACACAGTCTCTACAGTCTATAGTCTGTAGTGTATAGTGTATAGTATATAGCATGTAGTTTATCGTATTTCGTATGTAGCTTTTGTAGTATATAGTACTTTTCCAGCACTCTCTCTCTCTCTCTCGATATATATATATATATATATATATATATATTAATATGTATATATATATACACACACACACTCTCTCTCTCTCTCTCTCTCTCTCTCTCTCTCTCTTAGTTACATCGTATGTAAGATGTGTTTGATGCAGTATACTGACTAAGTACTAAATACCTAACACTGCATACCGGGAGACTCCAACATCCCTTAACTAAGCAATATACCGTAAACCTTACCAGGGATCCTACTACACTTGAAAGTCCGTTCCTTAATTAAGGGATCTTGGAGTCTCTGGGAAGACTAAACCCTAAGCCCTACAGATCCCTTAAAGGACCCCTTATAACGATCCCTTAAGGTTCCCTTAAGGAGACTAAGACTATAGTTGGAAGCTTCCGAGTGCTCAGGCTGGTGATCGCAGGATCTTTGGAGCGCGGTGCAGGGCTTGAGGTGACCTTCACAGCAGGGGCCCAAAATTGCAAAGTGCCGAGTCGCCGAGGCGGAAGCATATAGTATATAGTATGTAGTATATACATGTATATATGTGTGTGTATATGTAATGTATATATGTATATAGTATACCGTGTATATGTATATATTATATATATATATGTACATATGTATACAGTATATAGTACTTAGTGGGCAGCTTGATGTCTGCGATTTCGCGGCACTGAGGCCTGGTTTTCTCTGCTGGGCATGCTGCTGTTTCGGGCTGCCTTCTCGCTGTCCCTGGGCCCGTGCTCACCTTAGAGCTTCACATTGCAGCGTTGCGTCCTAATCACGGTGCACGGTACGACTGTTGATGAGATGGTGCGGAAGTGAGAACAGAACGAAGTAGCCGACAGGGATGAGCCCAGCAGCTCAGAATTCGGAGGATCGAGGGTCGAGGATAGCCCTGCAAGTTTCGTGCAGCTTTGCCTAGGCTGCCCTATGTCATGACCTCCGAGTTCTTCAAGCAAGAAGCCAGGGCGGCAGGACCCCAAAGTGCGAACCATGGAACCCATGGCTACCCGATTTGGGAGTTTCCGAAAATTAGGGGTACCTTATTTTCGGTCCTTACAACAAGGATTCTAGTATTTAGGGCAATATATTAGCCCCCGGTATTTTGGGGAAACTCACATGTCTCACTAGTCGCCTTAAGAGGAGTTGGCCTGTGCTGGGCCATGAATTGGCTTGCCAACTTCGCGGTCTCTCTGAGCTTCCCAGTGTTAGCCGAGGCAGGGCTGCCATGAGTCTACCCTCAACCCGAAATCGACTTGGCATCCAACCTACATGGGTGGTTGTCAAAATAGGTCAAAATTAGGGTCCCTTTTTGGGTACCCTAAACATGAGGTGCCGTATTGTATTAAGGACCCAAAAAGGGACCCTAATTTTGACAACCCACCTACATGACTGCAGGGAGATGAGGGGCCCCGCAAAGAATCCGAAACCCAGAGACGGTGAGAGTCAGCCGCCCGGTGAAGTTGCTTTCAATCAAAGCTACGGGCACATGTGTTCTGTGTCGACCAGAGAGTTCCCACAGCTTCGAAAAGGAAGGGCACTCCTCGTGGGTGTACGTAGTAGTAGTCGTCGTCGTGGTAGTGGTAGTGATAGTAGTGGTAATAGTGGTAATTAGTAGTGGTAGTAGTGGTAGTAGTGGTAGTAGTAGTCGTAGTAGTCGTAGTAGTAGTCGTAGTAGTAGCAGTAGTAGTAGTAGTGGTGGTAGTAGTAGTACTAGTAGTACTAGTAGTACTAGTAGTACTAGTAGTACTAGTAGTACTAGTAGTACTAGTAGTACAAGTAGTACTGGTAGTATTGGTAGTATTGGTAGTACTGGTAGTACTGGTAGTACTGGTAGTACTGGTAGTACTGGTAGTACTAGTACTAGTACGAGTACGAGTACTAGTAGTAGTGGTAATCGCCGTCTTAATAGTAGGAGCGTTTGTGGAGCAAGAAACTTCAGGACTATGTTATTTTGTAGCCAGTTTATTCGCTTGCATGATGGGAGCAGCTGCTGAAGTCTGCGAAGTGGTTCGCATCTACTGGCCGCTCTTGTTGGGCAACATCTTGGAGTGGTATGAGCGTCTCTGCTTTGAATATTCGCATGCCGGAACTGCAGGGTTCTGGCAGATTCGGCGTGCATACTTCATGCATGGATGGTAAAAGCCGTGCATGCAGCAAGGTTTGCCATTTTCAGTTTCCTGGAGCCCTATTTCCAGACCAACTTCTTTCATGACTCAGCCATCTCCACATGGTGGGCGGTTCTTGCGGCAAAGCTATTTGCAGCTACGCTTTCTGTAGTTTGCAGAGCTTAATGTAGTGTCGAGCGCCGTGGCCCTTTAAACCTGAAAGGCTTGGATTCGCTTGCACGTTCGTTGCACGCCCATTCGGTGGCTTGTTCATCGGCTTGCTGGGCGATGTCTTTGGCCGCAAGATCTCTGCCTTCGTGTCGATCTTCGGCATGCTTATCGGTCACCCGGGAAAGTTCGTATTGCTGGGTGTTTTGTGGTCTAAGTCCACGCGCTGCGTGAGGGAAGAATTTAAAATCTCGCTCTGAGGCACGGTCGGCCAGGGCATCGTACCCAGCTACCGGTGTGGTGACTTCGCTGGCCATGTGGGCTTTGCCCTGCTGATAGCACTGCGGATCTTACAAGGCATTGCCACAGGCTTGCCAGTCAAAACATCTGTACTTTCTTTGGGCAGGGGCAAGCACGCGCACTGTAGGCTGTACGGTCTGCATCCAAAACTGTGCTCAAGCATACTGCCAGCAAGGTGGGGAAATTGCCGCAGTCTCCACTTACATCACGGAGGTGGGCTCCCAGCGCGTGCTGGCGAGGTCCATGGCCCTGTTGGGAATCACTTGCAGCGTGGGCGTCTTCCTGGCGCAATTGGCGAGCTACCTGGTTGTTGCAGTGTTCGGCACCTCGACACGTTTCGGCCCCGTTGGCATCCACAATCAAAACGTAACACTCTGCAAGTGTCGGCCTCTGGCCTGTGCCTGAGCTTTCGATCTCAGGCGAGCAGGCAACGTCTGAGTGGGCTTGGCGGCTACCGTTTCTCGCCGCCATCATCCCTGGGCTGATTTCAGCACGAGGGCGTCATGCCATGCCGGAGTCGAAAATCTTCCTGGATCAGAACGCTCGCAAGAATATAGGCCGAAGCCTCGAAACATCTCGAAGCCTTTGCATGTGCTCCATGAAGTAGGAACACGTGTGGCCTGCCACTGTAGGCTTGGAGACAGCCTCCGGATCATTGCGAGGAGTTGCAGGGAGACTTCATGCCGTCCTAAAGTCCCATTCTGCGGCACTCACACTGGGCACCCTATCTGTTGCTGGCACAGCCATGCTGTCTTATGGTGGCTATGCCTGGGGGTTGATCTACCTCCACAAGCATGGTGCCTCCCAAGCAAGCCTGATTCTGGCCGGAACGATCGGGCGCGCAGCCGCGATCCTGTTGGCACCTCTTGTAGGTTGGCTGGCAGACACGAGAGGCTGGGGTCATTAAGAAGCTGCGGCAAGTGCTAAGCGGCTAAGCTCCAAGGCTGCGGATTCGATCTAACTTAAGCGTGTTCTGCTCACGCCTGTCAGCAAGTTGCATGGCATTCTTTAGTCGCCTTTGGCTGCGTGTCAAGATAACCTGGTCTGTCAGCCCACACCAGATTCCAAAGGCTTCGCAGTTGCTTTCATCTGACTCTCGAAGCAGACCTCACGCCCCTACAAGCATCTTCAAGCAGGAAATGCGGCTTGTCATATCATGATCCGGACGAAACTCCCACAGACTCCGAACATTTCCGGGCTCACTCAAGGATATTTGTAATACTATGAAAAGACTGGTCTGCCGTGCCTGATGCTGCGTAGGCGTTTGAGGTTGTCGGCCGCGTCAAGTATGGTGAAAATGTGCTACGTCCATGACTCCAGGGACCCTTGGATCGTTTCGCCCAGTTGAAGATGCAACGACGCAAACCACAGCCACAGCGAGATGTAGCAGAGGAGGTCGACGTGTCGGTCCGATGGCACTGTACCGACAGAGATGCCAACAGGATCAACGACCGATGCGGAAATGGACTTAAACGGTTGCCACACGTTGTCACGGGCTATTGAGGAACAACGATCCTGCGATGGATTCGTCTCCTGAAAGCGGAGACTGCGAGCCCCTCGACGCCACACCTCTTGCTCCCCAGCACACATTCACTTGCATGGACGGTCCTGGGAAGTGAACACGTTGAGAAAAGAGTTTGCCACTCTTTTGCCCCGGTATCCCCCGTAGTAGCAGTCACGCTTTGCCATCAAAGTCGAACGCTAGCTGTCAGGGTTTGGCCAGCCGGCTAGCCTTGGCCTGTTCGTGTGTTGTCATCTGCTAGGTGGCCGGATGTGCATTGTAAAATGTTAGCTTGCGAAGCAGGTGTAGCCTGGAATCAGTTCTTCGGGTCCTGCATGCTGGCGCTGGCGGGCATTCCGTTCTTTCTCGCAGTCGTGCGGAATCTCGCTCTGAAATTGCTGCAGTTGCTGTCCTGGGATCCTGGCCGAGGGCCGATGCTAGCACAAAAACACTTCGACATTGCAAAGCTTTGGCACCAAGGAGCCCTGATGTTTTCGAAGTCGTGGTCTTCGCATTCGGGCTCGGATATGGCGTCCTCCTGGCGTTTAACTCCATGGTGCTGCCTTTGCATGTAGTTGAGCTGTTCCCGGCCTCTGTCCGAAATGTGGGCGTCGGAACGAGCTACAATATTGGAATGTGTTTGTTTGGAGGATTTGCACCTGCCTTGTTCGAGCTCTCCTTGAGGGTGAGCCCTTTGTTTCCCGGAGTCTTACTCAGCCTTTCAGGCCTCATTCCAGCGCTGGCTATACTTGTCAGCCTGCGATTACAGGCCCGGGGCCTTCTCCGTTTAGCACACATCCGGCCAGCTCCGTACTTCGGACGCTTGAAGCCGTGCAAGGAATGTCAGACGGATCTCTCCTGCGTCGATGCAGGATGCCCGATGCAGGACACAGGGACGATCCATGCTTCTTCGATCCAACTAAGTTAAGCTCTCTCCTCCGGGTGGGCGGCTGCAGGCAGGTGCGCCCTCTCGCAAAGATTCAGAGGAGAGCTACCAGTATCTTTGCCAAGCTGGCTCAGCCTCAGCGAGCTAGCAGCATCCTCTCCTCGCTCTTGCAGCGCTTTTATTTTGATTTCAAGACCCTAGACAGCCCCGCTTTATTGACCTGCCCCCGACTTTGCAAGGAGTGCAAGCCACAAGGGCTCCTGCACTCGAAAAGCGCAAGATGTTGTGGAAAGCCTGTTGTTGAGACTACGGAGCTTGGCTTTAAATACATGGCAATATACATTGGTATATTGTATGAATATAGGTATCAATACACATATGTATGGAGAACGCTATGGAGTGTTGTGTCCGTGCTACAGTAGAATAACATCAGATATATTATTGATTAAGTCTATGCACATTTCATCAGGCAGTTCCTGGAGCCTCTGGACAGGCCGCAATTTTCTGCGTGGCGCTTAGATTTAGATTTTGGGAGCCTGAGGTGCAGCCTTATGGAGGCGTTGTTGGTTTTAGGTCATTTAGAATTAGTCACAGAGTAATTTGCATCTTTTGCAACTCCATGTGCTACACTCTTATCCAGGCATTTACCTGTTCTTCTGCGTGGTGGCTCTGGCTCTGCTGACCCGGTTAGTACGGACTGGCACTTCGCTGACTGATTTTACATGCTCGCGTGTTGCGCCAGGTTTTCGTTTACTTCCTCCTGCCTGAGACCAATGGAGTCCGGCTTGAGGCCGTCACGGCCCGTCGTCCGCAGGAGGCACGCTCGTAGATGTGCCTTGCAAAGGTTTGACTCGTGATCTGGGCAGTCCAGGGCGCAGTTGGATGAAGTTCGCTCAAGATCCCAACTCCATCCCACTCCTGTGTTCGGTGCAGTCGCATCGTGCTGTGAATTTCGAGGCTAGCGTCAAGCTCAACTCATGCATGCGGCGGCCACGCTCACAAATTATACAGACATTGCAAAACGATGTGGCCATCCGCCCAGCTGGAAGCTCGCACGCAGCGAGTCAGAGACCCAAGGAGCCGCCAACGGAGCCACCGCAACCTGAGTTAGGACCGTTAGGCTGGAGGTTCATGTCTTCCAGGACAGCCGGAAAATGTGGGGGTTGGGAATCCCGGATTTGAGCGAATACCCGTGCTGACTCGGCAGTGGGAACCCCCAAGCACCTCAACACAGCAACTGCAAGCAGCAAACTCAGCACACTCTCGCTCTTGTCAAGCATACTCGCAACGTAATGTGAGTTTGACCGCCATGCACTTACTACTACTGATATTCATTGCCTGGCAAGGCTGACTGCGAGTCCAGGACCCCGCCGTAAGGCGTCGTGGCCTCGGCTGACGGTGATACGTGGTGAGGGTGATGCTCCCCAGAGACTCCAATATCCCTTACTTGAGGAAGATACCTTTTAAATCATCGTAGAATATGATCTAAGGCATATTCCTTAATTAAGGAATATTGGAGTCCATGGGTACTCTCTTCGGCCGCAGGCTGGGCTGGTCCTGGAGTTAATGAAAGGTTTCCGAAGACAGCCTTTTGCCACCCCCGATCTCACATGTGGATCGGCCCCTCTCCCACCTGCAGCGACTAGTGCTGAAGGTGTGCTGCACGCTTGCAGGGCGCGTCAGGCATAGATGTTTCGGCAGAATTCATAGTCATAGTCAGCAGTATCATCCTGACAGGCTCTTGCTCAAGATTTAAGAGCAGCGATGCTCAAAGCTTTAGCATTGAACGTATCTGACGCTGGACGTTTGGTCGGCTGCTCGGGTGAAAATTGCTTCCTGAGCAGGCCGGCACTTTCGATATTCTGAACGGGATGTACTGTTTCCAGAGTTACTATAGTTGTTTTGGCTACTAGAATTACCATAGCAACTTCTCTCAAAAATGCATTTGCTCCCTATTGTGATACTTTTTCTGCTGTTCTATTCCTTAGTAGGCAACACTAGTAACTAGGCAGGCGGCATTGGGCGAGCTGCAGCTTGTAGGAAGATGCGGAGCTAGGCACTTCGTTCTGTGTGACTGTTCCCGTGCTGCAGCGGGACAAAGCCTCTATAAGGATCCGCAGTGTCATGCATGAAGGTCATGGATTCCCAGCATCTCCCGGCACCTGACATTCCCGGCCCCGAAACAAACCTCCCGTCACATAGGAACACCCCAGGGCTGATACAACATGCTCGGTTACGACACGAGCTGCCAAGTGTAGCTTGACCGTCTTGACCAGCCTGTCGTGCGCCTTTTGACCCGCATGGGCCTCCAACAGAGCCGCGTGGGCCAGAGCACGTCTTACGGTTCAGCGGCACCAGCGAAGGGAGAAGGCCTCTGACGGCCTCTCGCGATGTACGTTTGTCTAGTGTGAGCTTGCTTCTACAACCGCAAGAGAGAGAGAGAGAGAGAAAGCGAAAGTCATGTGTGGTTGTACGTGGTCGGGGGCGTGGGAGTGTGAACGACTGCGAGAAAACACTGTTAGCCGGGCGATGGCTTCATGCTTGCTAAACGTCTTGGCCTCAGCTAGAAGCGCAGGGCAGCGCAGAACTTACAGTCACAGTAGCCAGCCGAAAGCCAATTTCGGTTCCACCAGACCAAGTCGCTTCGGTCACAGACGTGACCCGGGGGCAGTCGCTTGAGTCTGGACAAGCTTGTCTCACTATAGAAATCAGGAGTGCAGCTCGCTGGTAAAGAGCCAAATAGCTGACTAGCTCCTGCGGGGTTTAACAAGCGCGGAGAGTGCGAACGAGTATATGAATGTATATAGTGAGCGCATCAGGGATGAGTGAATAGGTGAGCGAGGAAGCGAGCGAGCGAGCGAGCGGTGAACTCTACATCTCTCTCTCTCTCTCTCTCTCTGTGTCTCGGTCCTTGTTCCGACACCTTAGCTTGTAAATTGCTAGGTTGTAGACGATCAAGACAGTCAGTGTAAGTCGCCTTTGCGTGCCAGCAAAGCATCTTCGACGTCTTCGAGCTGGGCTATCCCATCGGGAGCGGAAACTTTGGCCAGGCCGGCGGTCATAGCACTTTGCGACGAGCTCATCCGAATTGTCCCGGGAGGTCCTACTTTGCACGCGGCATGACCAACCATCGCAGGTGGCTCCCATCGGCTCACATTGCACTGGACAGCCACGAAAATGAGCTCATGCCCTTGCCAGTCCTATGCTGTCAAAGTCGTGGACATGGACAGCCAGGTGTCAAAGGCGATGGAGGCTGGGCTCAGAGTTTAAATCTAAAGCTCGACCTGATGAGTTTCCCGAAACTGCTTTTCTGTTGGGGACGACGGACTCTGAGCCACATGATGTGCCAACCCAATGTCCAAGCTGGATCATGTCGGAAGGCTTTCAAATCTGCCAGAGCGGAGGCAAATTCTGGGACCGTTGTGACCTGCAGGGCAGCTTTCGAGAGAGTCTCAAGGTGCAGGTCGTGCGCTGCATGCATTTACCAGTCATCTGACATTGGGAGATGCCCTGCAGTTGGATATCATGAAGAGGCTGGACCATCCCAACATTGCCGCCTGGCTCTTCAAAGAACGCAATATAAGGACCTTAATAATTAGAATAGGGCTTGGGAGGTATATTATACGATAATCATAATCAGGAACCCCAACACAGTATTGGAATTTTTTGAGGCTCCTACAATATCAGATGGAAACAGAACCCGACAGCAGACGATCGAACCGGGTTTCGGAACAGCAGCTTACATATTTTTGCATAGGCAATATGCCGTTCTAAGGTGAAGCTCATCCAGGTCTTTCAGGCTCGGTGCAATTGGCACGGGCACGTACCCTGAGTGCTTCTCTCTTCGCTCGCTTAGCTGCTTTCCTGGTTACATAGGTTACATATATATATATATATGTATATATATATATGTGGGTGTGGATGTTGCGCTTGGGCATGCTATGTGCTTGTCATGGCCCCACCTCGGCTCAAGCCTGTCTGGAAGAAATCATTGCTTGGAAATTCTGACTTCCCTATCAGTTAAATCAGCGTGGCATGCGCAGATACAGAGCTCATTTCTTCTGGACATGGCTGGCCGCTATGCAGTGTTTGTGTACTAAACTATGTGCCTCATGAAGCCTCGTTCGGCTTGTACTGCAATCTACAAGCCATGCAAAAGTAGCACATGAAGTATGAAGTGAGCTGCACTTCTTTGTCACTATATGTAGAGCAGCTTGTCTGAAGATAGGGGGGAGGAATTCATCAGCAATCCACGACTGGGAGACATGTCTCTAGAATGGCATTGCCTGGCATGGTCTCCTCCCTGGCTTGCGCGACTGCCTGTTTATAGTGCCTTGGAGCATTCGAAGTTCGGAGGCTTCGACAGTTGAGGGCAGCGAAGAGCCGTGTGCGTAGTCGCCCCTATCGTGCTGAGGTTCTTCCAAGTTCTTATGCCTGTAAAGGCGGTGCAAATCTGGGAAGTCATTGGTGGCGCAATTTCTGGTGGTCTGCTGGTGCGCACGGGCAGAGGACTAGGCCTGTACCCATAACTAGTCCTTTTTGTATTTGGGAGTTTCCGAGAATAAGGGTGTCTTAGTTTCGGGTCCTTATAATAAGGATCCTGCTATTTGTGGTGCTATATTCCTATGTTCGGAAACCCCATTTAGATGGTTGTTTAGTACATAAGGCACTAAATAAGCACAGACACTGTAGAACCTTGAGAACTGCTGGCTGGGAGCCTGGATCGGGAATTGCCTCTGCCAGCATTCGCTCGAGGAGTAGCTATGCAGCGAGATGCTGGCAGCTTTGATCATTTGACTAGTCTTTGAAATGAAAGAGGAGCTAACCCCTAAAACCCTAAACCCTAAAACCATAAACCCTCACTGTAACAAGGGTCCAGGTGCTCTGTAACTGACGGACTCCCTGTTCTGATGACAGGCTCTGGCCGCGAGCCGCAGCGCTTGCGGACAGGTGGGCTCTGCAGAATTGGACATTGGTACCTTCAATGGGATTGTTTAAAGGTTCCTAAACGGGATCTATAAGGGTTCTATACAGGCTTTAGGGTTTAGAGTTTCCGGAAATTTGGAATACCTCATTTTGGGGTCCTGATAAAAAGGATCCTACTATTTAGGGTACTATATTAGAGCCCCCTATTGTGACATCTTCTGGCAGTGTGCCGACAGGCTCCGTCGTTGAAGAGTTGGAGCTCGATGGCGACAGACTCCATTACAAGCCGCTCTCATGAGAAGGGCTCTGCAGGCTTTAGACACAGGCAGTGAACCCTAAACCCTTTAACCCCTTAAACCCCGAACCGTGATGACCATCTGTAAGGCTTCTGGAAGGTGCTGGGCCAGTTCACGGTTGGGTCAGCACGAAACTCAATGTGTCCCGGCAGCATCTTGCCAGCTCTGCCGCTTTTTAGGGTTTAGGGTTTAGGGTTTCTTTGTGTAGACCTGAGGCGTTTGTTCGATTGTTTCCATGTTCTCTCCTTGGCGCCAAACCAAATAATAATGTCTTATTTACGGGCTGAAGGACCGCGACCTGCTCCAGCGGTGCACGTCCACGGCCTGCGGGAGAACAGCGGTAAACTCCAAGGAGCCAAGTGTCAACTGTGAAGCTTGAAGGCATTCTAGACAAAATCCCATCGTCCTCAGAGAAGAGTGCTGCAACGAGCTGAAGTTTGGGGCAGGAGAAGTTGCAGAACGCAGCCACGTTGCAGGTTGCACAAATGGAACCCCGGCATGCAGCAGGTTGTCAGTTTGTGCCATTTCCACTACGACTGTCAGGATACTGCCTCCCAGACGCGCCTGGCAAGCAGAGTCCTGTTGTGTCCAATCATTCAGCCAATTGTGAAGTCTTATTGTTCATCTATTTGTGCAGGTGGGAAGGTGCACACAAGCGAAAAGTCCTTCATGCAACGACCTTGAAGCCGAATGAACTACGTAGCCTAACTTGCCTCAGCAGCGGCGACTGCCCAACACAGCATTAGACTCATCAGAGCTTGCGACTTATGCTCGTATGACAACTGCCAGCTTCTCCCTGACGGCGTATGCAAGGATGTGCTTGCAATCGCGCTGAATGTGGCTTCGCTGGTGCAAACGGGGCCGCACTTCAAAGTCACGAAGGCAAGTTCTGCAATGATGAAAGGTGGGTTTGTGGACTTTCCGAATGTCCTTCCTGACAGGTGTGCAGCGAGAGCTTGCTGGAAATCGCCCCCAGCGACAAGAGCGTAAGCCGCTCCAGCAAGATTCAGTTTGTGTGTTCCAATTCTTCTCATGATTCGAATGGTCTTGTCTCTTCACTTCCTGCTCTCTCAGTGGTTTTTTACATGTTACAAAGTTACAACTCTCTGCAGACACTCCCTCGCACCCTCTTTGCATGTGCTTCGTGCGTGGCTCCGCTTCGCCGCCAGCAGCGTCGCAACAGAAAGGTCAAAGATGCTCCTTGCGTTTACGCGCATATGCCGGACTTGTTTTCGTGAAGAGATTCCGATCAACTAGCACACGCACATGCAGACCCAGATACAGAATCACTAGAATCACTAGAAAAACAAATACACACGTACACATACACACACACACACACACACGCACAGAAGCAGAATCTTTCGAGAGGAGCCACCTCAGGGCAGGCACTGCAGAGCAGAATTGCTTTTACACGAAGACTCGACAAGCGCTTTGCATACAATTACAGCCTTGACTGCGGCCGAAGCACCTCGGCTCAGTCAACTCCAGAACCGACTGTACCCCTCATAGTGCCCAGTCATGCTTTTTACAAGACTCGCGAAAGAACTATGCCAACTACGTCCCAGACCTACCGCCTGCAGCTGTGCCTTACCGCAGCAATCTCCAACTTCTTCCAATCTGGATTCCACTTCAGAATTCGCAACCACAGGTTCCAGGAAGGAGCAAAGCAACAGCACGAGACACCCGCGAAATTCACCAGTGCCCTTGCTTCTGCATGATCTGCATGTCTCCCGTGTTGTGTGGCCAAAGTGGCCGAGTGATAGCACGAACTGTTTTGTTGGTAAAGTGGGGGGGTGCGTTTCACTGTTTCCAGATTTGCTGAACTGTCTGCCATCTGTCCTGCTCTCATAAGCAGAAATGCAGACAGTGTGCACAAACTTCCTTGCATGTCCTTCACGGCAACACAATCTCAGCACTAAGACCTAAGCGCCAAAGCTGCACCCTAAGTCCTCAACCAAAGGTTCATATCCGTCCCAATGTTTCATGGTCTTCTCGCCACTGTAGGAGACGAGAAAAGCCTTCCTTCTCGTCGAGATCTTGGGCCAAACATCATCATCATCATCATTATAAGGGCGGAAGGGTAACAAAGGTACCTAAGGTAACAGTCTGCGTGTGCTGTTTCCAACATCATGCCCGTACCGCCTGCACTGACTTCATATTCTTTGTGTCCAGTCTTCAAAACCAGGCATCTGTACAAGACAGGAAAAGCCTCAGGCGTGTGGCTATGTGCGGCAGTGACGGTTCATCGCAAGAAACGATGTTGCTTTCAAAGTCTTCTATGCTGCTTGCGAGCAGAAGCAACAAAGGGAGAGCAGGCAGTGTTTCAGGAGTTTCCCAAAGCGTGGCGTGGAAGCTACCTGCATCACACGTATGCTGGAAGAAAACGAAGCAACCAAACAAGGTATCCGGGTTCCGTGGCCTCTTCAAGTGTTGTCAAGTTGGCATGCTGCGCGAACAAGCTTGAACAACGCGACACGCCGTGCGTAATAAACGTTCCAAGCAGACTGACTTCGCCACAGAGGCTTCGATGATTTCTGGCCATCTGACTGCTCTTTGACGGCTGACCGTCGTCACTATTTGTACTGGGCCATTGTGGCTTGGGCGAGCATCAGCGCCTAGATGGTGCCGCAGAAGCGCTTTGGCCCCACAGTTGTGACTGAGGTGTGCAGTTCATCTTGCGACACTTGGACGCTCGCCTTGGCGTTTCTTGGTTACCTTTCTGAGCATAGCGATTCTGCTTGGATCCCTCGAAACTGAACATGGTAAACCTTCAACCGTAGACCCTCTGTTGTCTGAGAAACTCATAAGCACTGAACCCTGTAAACCCCCAAACCTTACACCTTTAAAGTAAGCTCTGAACCCCTTATCCGATAAGCCCTGAACCCTGTAAACCCTGATGCTTGCAGCATGGCCAGCCTTAAGCTGACGAGGTTGACGCTCAAGGAGCTCTCCGACTATGGTGTCATCATTACACATGACTCCCGAGTCCCAACTTGAACATGGGGGGGGGTGGTGGGGTTGTGCCATGGGCCTGTTCTTGGGTGAATGTCGGAGCAGCCTGGCTCTAGACGAAATCTGACGATTGAAGGAACTGTGACTCGAGGCTTTGTCACACGCGTGAAATAGGTTAGCGAAGTCTTGGCAATCAAAGCCTGCAATGCATGAAGCTCCTTGGAGTTCATGGCGGACCAGACCTGAAAGTTTCGCTATAGGGGAGACTTATCGTGACGATACATGTCTCAGCATGGCAGAACGCATGCACAAGGACCTGTCGTCAACCTCGTTGTGCTGAACACTCCTAGCATGGACGTGGGCGACCTTCTTCCTACTTCAGTGGCGACTTACAAGCACTTCTGGAGTTCTGACTGGCTTGGTATTGATATATACATATGTATGTATATATAATACATACATGTATATGTCGTATATGTATTATATGTACATGTATATATACATATATGTATATGTATACATATATATATATATATATACCGATACTCATGTGGAAGCCTCTCCACCTTTCTGCCTCCCCGCTCGAAAGGACTTGCTTGAGCCCATCTCGGGAGCTCGCGTCTCCATGCGCTGCCCTTAGTTCAAAAGACAGAATTCTTAAGCACTACGCAGGTTTAGGATGTTTAGGGTTTTGGGGGCTTTTAGGGTTTAGGGTGTACCGGTACTGCAAGTTCTTTGTGGGGGATTTCGGCATTGTAGCTGCCCACCTTGTCTGCTGGGCCCGGGAAGATGCGTTCTGAGACACGCGGGAGGTTTGGGGTGTGTGAAACCTATTTAGCGTCTCATGGACCACCGTACGCCTTCGCTCCTTACCCCCTTTGGTTGGGGTTGGCGTAGGCCGTAAAATTAGGGATTCTGGGCTCTGTGCAGGTTCAGCACTCCTGCGTCTCAACTGGCTTTGAAGACCCTTGGGCCTGAAGTCCAAGAACGACTTGGCTGGGGAGCCTTGGCTGCTCCAGCTCCGTCTTCCGGTTTAGGGTTTGGGTTTCCGGTTTCTGGCCTCAAGTCTTGCTAAGGTGTCTCGTCGATGTTTGATGATGACTTGCGCAATACCTTTGCCGAAAGATTCGGAGAGAGGAGCCTATCGCAGACTGTACCTCACTGGCACCTCGGCACTGCTCATCTTTGGCAACATGGAGTGCTCGTGCATCTGGGCTCTTGCCCGGTCTTCGAGGTGGATCGCTGCCATTGTCCAAGGAGACCATGGTCTTTACATGGTGCCGCCTTCAGAGCCCTAAGCGGTGGTTTCCGGATTCTTTGAGTCCCTTGCTGCTCAGGTTCATGTGGATCTGTGCGGTCCCGCTTACGGAACCTTTTGCCGCAGCACCAGTGCTTCTGGCTGCACGATGACCACCGTGACACGCGATCTGCCGCATTATGTGGCTAGCGGCTAGCTCCGGGATTGTGTTGTGAAGGTGCATTGAAGTCCATGCCCACTGGCAAGGAGCTGCCGATAGCCAGGCGCCCAGATCATAGTACCGATGTTTCAAGGGCCCCTGCGAGCTTGCAAAACTCCGCTGACCGGCATTCGGGTCGCGGTAACTTACTGTCATCCTGTATTGTGGAAGTGAATATGAAAGGCAAGAGCTGGTTGTGGCAGAATGTTATCTTTGCACACACACACACACACACACACGCGCATGGCCATTGAATGCAACGCTGGGCAAAGGACTACTTCATCACGCCATGCTACGTGATGACCCCATTCCAGTCACAGCAGAGACTCAGAAGCAGAGGTGCAAGACTTTTGCGAGCAAATTTCGTTACCCATCTGTTGTGGGGGTTCCTTGACTATGGCATAATATCCCCCCAAACCGTATTCTAATTCAGGCCCTTTTATTCTGAGATCCGCCTGAGGATGTTTTTTGTGCACCCCGAGTCCCTGAACTACGCGCCTGCAGATGCCAAGTTCACTGCACTTCATCAGATCCGCCACCTGCGTTGCTTCTACCACGGCCACAGCAGCTACTAAGACTTCTTGGCAGGGCCTCTGACAGCGAATTTGGTGTCATAGGAGCCATATACGAGTGTTTTTGAAGGCTCTCGTTGTACCAAGCTCGGGCCCTATGTCAGCAACCTATATGAGCCAATGCCCCCTTTCAAGCTAGCCCGTTGCTGCGTTTCCATTTGGTACTGCACCGTGGACGGGTAGACTCATACTCTCGGCCAAGAATACGAACAGTCATTGCAATGTGTTGCAGGCTATATCACAGCAACCCCTCTGCCAAGCTTCGTGGACGATGAGAAGTTGAACAGCTCCTGGTTACGGCTTCGATCGCCGACCGAAGAGGGAATTGACACTGACACCGTGCACTCATGGAAGGACAGCAATATGCCTTCCATCACTTTCGAACGTGGTCATTGTAAGTGAACCCGCTGTCACGTGGGCCAGGACGATGTCAGTGAAGAAAACCGGCCGAGAAGTTATTGTAGTAGACTGGGATCCAGAGTCTAGAGCTTCGGAGCACTTTTGAAAATCCTGGTCTGCTGAGATCAGAGCCTTAGGCCCTTTAGACTTTAGGCTCAGATCGCCACTTGAGGATTGACCTAAACCCTCGTCTCTTGACTTTGACTTTCCTCTACAGCGGCGGTTACTCATATCGTCTTTATTGAAATTGCCTTCAAATCATGGTGTGCACGCAAGGGCAGTAACATGGCTATATAAGCAGCGTGTAGCCGAACTATCCCCATAATGCATTTTAGATCTTGGAACCTTCGTTTCCTAAGCCGCCAGCCCGAAACCAAAGCGCTTGCGACGACTCATGGGTCATGTTTGGGAACTGTACTCGAGATACTGAAGTGCATGATCATAAAAGCTGCAGGTTTGGAGAACTCGTGTGCTCGCAAGAAGCCGCAAGAGTGCGCAAGGGCGGGCGCAAGGGGTTTAAATGGTCACTCATCGGAACAATAATATCGATCAACCCCCAGATGCCATAAGAGGGACCTATAGTATAAGCAATCTGGTTTCCTTACTATGGTAACTTAAATAAAAGCCCTTAACGTCCCTGAAGGAGGGATTGCAGTCGATTGCATTCTTCTTGCGGGCCGCTTGGCAGAATCGCTGCTATGCTATGCGGAATGTCACGTACAGGTGCCTGCGCTGCCTGGTGCGAAAGGTGCAGTACAAGAGTTGCCAGGATTTGCACATATATATATATATATACACACACACACATTATAGTAAATCTGCTAATACCAATAAAGCATGGGTAATGAAGTTTTTGTTGCCAAGGCCGAGATCTTCAAGGCTCTGGAGCCAGGAACTTACGTCGAAGTCGACTCTTCCTGCATCTCAGCTTACCCTCATATAGTACCCGAAATAGTAAGATCCCTATGAAAAGGACCCCATAATAAGGTACCCCTAATTTTCGGAAACTCCCAGGTGGTTGTAATGCAAAGCCAGCTGGGAATCATGGCATGTGGACCGCAACTGAAGGTAAGAGCGCCGATTGCGCGGGCAAGCTAGGCAAAGTCTTGCTTGCAGCAGAGCGAAGTACTGAAAATGCCAGGGGCTCAGTTTCTCAAGGGAAGGGCTTCAGTTCTTCCGATAATACCTTCCTGTAGATGCATTGCTGTGTGCATACAGCATACATGGCCAACCCGTCGTCAAGGCACAAACAGCACTGACAGAGTTTTTTTTGATCCGTTCCCATGTCCTCCTTGGTTCTCAGTAGTTCTCTTACACAAGGCCTCGGCGTGCTTCTATGGAAGCCATGGGTATGCCTCGCGTAGGAATATCGAGAGCCTACCACAGGCGGACCTCCTGATTCAGCTCGATGGTGTGGCTGAACCAGTTCGCATTGAATCCGTTGCCCTGAAGATCTATCCAAGGTACGTCCAGTGGCTTGCCCTCTTGTGATTGCACAGCTTGCTTCAAGACACATGCGATAACGCAAAGACATTGTCGATAGGTGATTCCTTATTCAAGTTTCCTGTGCGACACCTTGAGCAGCCGCGTCCTTCAAGGTATCTGACCCTAGCCGAGATGTCCGAGCTGGTGAGATTTCAGCTGGCCCTTCTTGACCCAGAGTTTAGGCATGCTTGCAAGCAAGCCCCGTCGCTCATCTGCGATCGGTACGATCCTGCTGCTTGCCAGTCGTAAACTCACGTAGGTGTTTTTGGATTCTTGCACCTTTCTGCGTGTCGTCGGATTCTTGCTTCTTTCCGCGACTAGAACGGCTCACCATCTGTATAGTCACATGTAGTTCGTGTAGGGTTTAGGGCCCTTTAGGGTTTAGGGGTTAGGGCCCCTAAAGCCCAAACCATAAACTCTGAACCCTATAGGCCCTAAACCCTAAGCCCTAAAGCCCTAAAGCCCTAAGCCCTTAAACCCTAAACCCTTAATTATCCCCAATTTCTGTGACGGTTTGCCGAGGCCGATGCCCAGTGATCTCATTGGCTACTTGCGCAGGGAACACTGGTGAGTGCCATTTCAAGGGTTTTAGGGCTTTAGGGTTTAGAGTTACAACAAAAGTACTACTAATAACAAGACTACAGATGCTTCGCAGATTTGCTTGGCTGCGCGCCTCGATGGGTTCTAGGTATGCAAAGAGAAAAAGCGCCCGATCTGCGGAACAGCTGTTGCTGGTTGTGCATTACACTTGTTGGGATCGCATCCTGCTTTGGCTTCATTTGTGTCTGACGCTTGAGCCATTTCCTGACTTCCCGAGCAGCAACGACTTATTTCTCTAGCATCAGTTGTTGCATGACCAGCTAGAATTACTGTGGGTGAGCTGACGATAGTAAGATTTTAAACAACATACGCCAAAAAGACTGTATACCTAAAGTCTGGCCCCTGTCTACGGTATTCCACTTTAACATGCCGCCGTCGAACTCCTGCCTTTATCAAACTCACTTGCTAGCAGTTGCGCCATCTTCGTCAGTGATAGCACACGACATTTCCAGCAACGCTCATTTCGCATGGCGGATCCCTTGACTGGGCTGCTTCAAAAGAAGAAGCAGACTGCGTCCGCCTCAGAGCAGTCGCCGAGAGTGTGCACAACCTTGAAATTCAGCCTTGACGCGGTATGCCCTTCTAGCATAATGGCAATAATGTCTGTAGTTCCGGTAACAACTATAGCAACTATAGTAACTACAACGCACCAATGCTTGTCATGCTCATAGGGTGGCTTTCTGCATAGTAACCTAGTGTACAGAACCCTTCATAGCACACCGCATCACCTGACCGAGGAGGCTCAGGCTGCGTCGTCGACCGCAAAACCTGCAAAGGGCCTTTTTGACTTCGATGTGGCACCATGGCCCATGGATGATCTCGGGTTTAAGGTAGTAATATTACACTTAGATGCATGTTACACATTTTTTAAGGTAACTATACTTTAATAACAGAATATAGATGATTATTTTGGATATTGGGATCCGATGCTTCAAAAACGCAGGAGCTGACAGGTCTTAATCGTGCCAGCCTGTCCCGCACTTCTTCACCGGATCACATTGGCCCAGCGTCTGCCTTGAGTCGCCGGGAGTCAGGAGTGACCCAACTTACCTTTGGTTAGTACGGAATGGAAGAATGGTAGTAATAGTAGTTATGATTGTACCCCATTCCCCATTCCCTACTAACCAAAGGTAAGCCAATGCAGCTTGCATGCTACGTCTGCTGCGTGCCGCTGATCCAAGGAGTCTACCTTGAGCCGCAAGCCAGCCTTCACATCAGGCGGGTTTCCAACCTGCCCTTAATCGATATGTTTGCGAAATATGTAGGAGGGCTCCTTTGCAGAAGCGCGGTTCATGACTCGAAGCAAGTTGGCGAGGCGTCCAGAGCACAAGATAACAAAAGCTACCCCTCCAATCTGCTCTGCGACTCTACTCCACTCCTTGCAGCTGAATCCCTAAACCCTAACACCTAAACCGATCCCTAAACCCCTAAAACCCCGAAAACCCTGAACCGCTAAAATCCTAAACCCTAAAGCCCTAAACCGCTAAAGCCCTAAACCTCAAACCCTAAACCATCTTCCAGGCGGAGAGCCTGCCGAGCCCACGATCGGCGAGCGGATCTTCCAGGTGCCTGGCCCTGCTGAAAGGATCATGGGACTTACTAAAACTAGGGTTATAATTAGGGTAACTGTACTTATAACCCCAATTAAGGCTTATAACCTTGCTTACTAAGTCCCATGATCCTCCAAGTGGTGTCGAAGAAACCTGAGCACACGACATCATACGACCGGCCACTATATAATCTTAATGTAGTCTAGTCTAGTATAGCTAGTCTAGCATAATGTATAGTATAGTATAGTCTGGTCTAGGCAAGTATAGTCTAGTTAAGCATAGTATAGATGGTTTCTGTTCGGGCTTAGGGCCTGTAGGGTCCAGGAGTTTGAGGGTTTCGGGTGCCAGATGTTCCTGGCCACGTTCACGTAAGTCGAATTCTGCCGCACGCTGATAGGTTCCCGCACTCCGCTTGCAGTCATGCGCAGACTATTCGGTTTGCCAGGCACTGGCAGCAGGCAGTAATGTCGATTTTCCCACAGTGTCTTGGCTGCCAAGAGCAAAGTTGTAAGCAGCAGAGAAGCGCCGATACCTTGAAGCGCCCGCGCCAGGTGACTGAGATCTGCGATCGAGTTGCAAAGGAACCTCGAGAGGCAGCGCTTGCGATCGCAGTGCATCCGCTTCGACCGAGATTGGCCCGTTGAAGAAACGCGCGCAAGGTGCCCGAGGCCGTGAGGCTCCTCGCTGGTGCCTTTGCCGAGAAGGGCGGTCTGCCCAGAAGGAAGCTCAAGGCGCCAGAGCTTGGAAAGTACAGCCGCTGCTGCATGGCGCTTCTGTGTCGCAGGTTTGTCCTGAAACTTTCTGTGTGAGTGAACGGGTCACGGGCAGGCCCTCACCATTATGAATGAGCTACTTGTCAGCATGGTTTAGAGAGATGCTAATCTGCAGAGCTAGCAGACCTCGCCATCGACAAATACAGTGTGTTTGGAGATGTTTGGAGCGCAGATTAAGCCAAGCTCAGCCAAGTCTCGTCAGCTGAACCCTGACAGGGTCCCTTCGCATTCATACAGTATATATATATATATATATATATATGTGTGTACATGGAATATAGCATATTGTATATAATTACATTATTTAGGTTATATATATATATATATATATATATATCTAGTGCAGAAACAGTATGAATCACTGAAAGCTCCAGGCTCCTTTACGACAAAAGGGCGGAGGCTGAGCTTCGGCAAGTCCACGGCGTGCGCGATGCCTTGTGGACCTTACAGGCCTGTGACTGAGCGCTGCAGCCTTATACCATGCAGTTGATGCATCCTGAATCCATAAATGGGAGTTTCCGAAAATAGGGGTACCTGATTTTGGGGCCCTTATAATAAGGATCCTACTATTTAGGGTACTGTATTAGGGTCCCCTATTTTCGGAAACTCCCAAATAGATACCTATACCCCAAAACCCTATTCCAATCACCAAGGCCCCTACATTGCAGCTGTTACTAAACGGGAATCCAGCTACGGGGGAGCTCCTCACATGTGCTCCTTACAGTGTTCCCTTCGCTGCCAGACAACCTCCAACAGTGGGCTTGGGCCGGAAGCAGATGAGCAGATCCGCATGTTTGCCACAGAGGCGGGCTTACTCCGGAATGAGATCTGAAGCAAAGGCAAGCCTGTGTGAGCTGCGCTTCTGATGCAACGCATGCCATGCAGGTGGAGAAGAAATGCTTCGGAGCCTCCGGTGACCCCTTTGCGGCGCCTGCATTGGTACCAGAGGAGCTTTCCGAACTTGCTTGCCGTCTAAAACAACCGCATGGCGAATCCAAGCCTTTGATGGATCCGTGGGGCCACGACAAGCGCACCGATTACTATACTATTATTTGTGTTTCCATTATAGTATTATTAATATGGATAGCATCTTGCAAGTTGATTTAGACTTAGATACGAGTGTCTGGCAGCCTGGCCGGGAACCCGGCAAACCTTTCCCGCCCACTTGGAGCGGAGTGGAGGGCGAAGCAAGAAGGCAGCACAGCATGTTCCCCCCCTCCACAGGGTCATGGCCTGCGGCGTCGAGTGTTGCGAAACCGCGGAAAAGTTTCACCCCAATCTGCGTGGACCGCGATGGCTCGGCTACCCCAAGCCTACTTACTACAAGTACCCAAGAGCTACAACCTCGGCCAAAACACCCTGCTCGTTAGCTGCAAATCCGAACTGTCGCAGATGCAGGATCCCTTCACGCTGCCAGTGGTAAATTCCGTTCCTGCTCCGGCCCCGTTGTCGCCACTTTCGTGCAGTGCTGAGTTTCTCCACCTACGACGAGAAGTGGCTCTTATGGTTTTAACGATCCATATTGGCATACTGCTGAGGCCTGCCAAAGACTCCATGAAAGACGTGGGCTCTTCGATGCTAGGCAACTCTGCTGCGATGTCCCATAGTGTCATTGATCACTGCTGGGTCCTGCTTGTGCACACTGGGTGTTAAGACCCTGGTCACTGCACCGTCCCAGCACGGCAGATGCATGAGCAAGCCTGAACTGCCGGCCGTGCCAAGAAGGGTTGAGGTGCAAGCCGACGGTGTGTGTCGGGGGTTTGCGAGGTTGAAGAACAGTGAAGGGAACTCACACCTTTAATACATAGTATATAGTGGTATAATGTATAGTCCAGTTACTATATTACATAATATGTGATGACCAAGAGCTGGCCCAGCTAGGTCAGATGTTGGGCTCACGGATCTTGGTTGCCCTGTGAGGCGCCTTGTGGCAGGTCGGTTCCCAGATGACGTCAGCGGTCAAAGCCCCTTGGCCAAAGAGATTTGAGGTCCCTGGCCCGAGGCATCACCGTTCGAACCTAGCTGAGTTAAGAAGTGCTCTGCTTAGTCAGCGGAACTCCGTAATGTGGATGGGCCGTTCCGCTCTGGCAGTCTAGGACTAGAAGTTGTTTGGAACTGGGCACGGCAGGCAACCGCTCCCCGGGTGGAGATCCCGAGATTTGCCATGAGGCACCGGGCTGGATGATGGTGGCAGTCTGTCTCTCTTTTTCTCTTTCTCTCTGGCTCTCTCTCTCTCTCTCTCTCTCTCTCTGTGTCTCTCTCCTAAACCCTAATTAAACTCTGAAATCATAGTAGCAGTATCCCATGAGTGTTCCTATAAGCGCTAGACCTCAAACCCTAGCCTCTCTTCTTTGCCTCTTCCGATGCTTTCTCTCCATGGACGGGGCGGCGGTTTTGAGGCCAGGGGCGTCTCGCCCAAACCTGGACGTCAGCTCCAGAGCTGCAAGCAGGGCCGGAGCTGACGTTTAGCCTATAGAATATAGTAATATAGTAAGTTATCAAAATAAAAATATTATAGTATATATATATATATATATAGATATAGATGTACTATAGTAACATAGTAATACAGAATATACATTATAGCACCATACGTTATTAGTATTTAAGACGTTCTATGTAGTATATCTTATATAACATCTAATACATACTCCATAGTGTAGTATAGCTGGGGCATGGAAAGCTAAGGTCATGCGAGATTGTAGCAGGGTGATAGCTTCACCAGATCTCGCGGTAAAGTCGTCTCACACTGAGGCTTTGAGGGTATGCTGCCTGGCGAGAAGGCCCTGCGCTTGGCTTGAGCTGGCATGGCAAAGCCTGCAGCGACTGGCAGCCCACGGCATGGAGCATCCTAAAGCGTAGACCCCAAACCCTGGAGCCTAAACCCTAAGCCTTGCGCAGGTTCACTATGCAGTTAATCCAGCAGCCCGGTCCCCGGCAGTAAACGCGGGCTTAGCATCCGATGCATCAGCCATTGCAGTTTCAAAGTCCACTGGGACGTATCAGAAAGGCTTTTGCAAAACTTGACTCGAGCGCAAGACTAAGGTGTTGCTGATCAACAAACCTTTTCGAGAGGTCCAGGCATCGACTGCCCTTCTCGTTAATCAGGGAACTTACTTGAGCTTGCCATAATAAGGAAACAAGATTTTTGCCCATATATGCTTCTTCTGGTGGCATACATGCTTGCTCTGGTGGCTTCCATTAAGATCCTTGGAAAGAGCCGAGCATCTGCCATCATCAGAAGCTCCCTGGCAGGGCAGACTGCTGATCTCGAACTACCGGCTAAAGTTCCAAGTTCCCAAAGGGACGTGGAAGGACAACTTGGCATGGTGACTTGGAGAAAATCCTGATGTTGCACCCGGCTTTGCGTGCCCCGCCCACCACCACCCCAAAGCAAAGACATGACATTGAATAGTAGTCCCCAAAGTTGCGCTCCCCCCGCTTACCCCCAAATCAAGGGAAAAGCGCCCTAGGCCCCAGACCGTCAAACCCTAGCGGGATCTGCGGACGAAAGATGACGGACAAAAGGGATCCCTGAATCCCTCTATCCTAAACCCTAAAGCGTAACCCCCCAAAACTTCAAGCAGCCACCATCCTTACACTCTAAGCCCTAAGACCCCATATTCCCGGAGGCCTAAACCCTATCTTCCCTAAACCCTAAACCCTTCTATTATGAGCCGACAGTCCCTATACCCGAGACCCTAGATTCCCTAAACCCTGAACCAGGATCGGCGAGAAGCAGTTGCTTGACATCCCTCTGGGACTCATAGAGACACTTGAGCTGGAGGCTCCCACCTCCCAGGCGCCACGGCTTATGGCATCTTTTGGGGGGTTTCACTTCTTTTTGTTGAAGGATGCTTCAGGCTTCGAGGATCTTGAAGGCTTGGGGTGCTTTGGATATTCGGGTTGGGAGATGTGGGTTTTTTTTTAGAAGTTTAGGTTTTGATAGAGCTCCCGCTTCCTGCAGGCGGGAGCCCAGCAGTGGCGGTTGGTGGTGTCCACGAAGGACTTTCGGGCTTAGGACTTGTGAACAGGTAATGATGCGTTTCGGACATGGAACATGTCGTGACTGCGGCTCATGATCATCTACTCAGTGTGATGCAGGACTTCCGCAGCATTGTGGTTCTGCTTCCGACCGGCAAGGACCGGGTGTGTCTCAAAAGCATTTCTCGAAGTGCTAAATTGAGCTAAGTCCCAACAGAAACGGCGAGGACTTGGGGGAGGCTGAAGAGGCCATCCTCGCGCTGTCTCAGCCAGGCGGCTTTGCATGCAGTGACTGATTGCTTTTGCTTTCGGTTTCTTGCAGCTCGATTCTGCTGCTCAGCAGGTCCAGCTTACACTTCTGCCCGGTTCTGAGTCACCTGTGAGAAATTCGGCGGAGGCTTAATGTCGTGTCGACGCAACAGAAGCAATCGTGTAACCCTTCGTAGACGCCTCGCAAGAGAATCCTCGACGGCATGGCCTGCCGAAGTCGGACTCGACGGGGCAGAGTTGAATCTGGCACACGTGAGTGCTTTTGTCTTTAGTGAGTGCCAGCACGGGGAGTGACTCTCCTTTACTGTCAATCTCTTCGGTCTCCAGGCCCTCTTTGCCTTCCAGCATGTTCCTTGGCAGCAGCTGGTGAGAGAGATGTAGGCGAAAAGCCCTCACTGCTTCATGGTTCATCGTTCGGACAGGCCGCCTGTCTGCAAACTGGAAGACGAGATGACGGCTGGAGTCTCTTTGATCCCCGAGCCTCGGCAAGCGACGAGATCATGGGACTTAGTAAGTAAGGTTATAAGTACCGTAATTGGGTTCTATAGGTATAGTTACCCTTATTTTAACCCTAGTTACTAAATCCTGTGATCCTTTGAGTACTGCAGTCGGAGCAGCAAGACTTGGTATCTGACCGAATCTGACTGCTGCAGGAATTGAGTTCGAGAGGACACCGGCTGCGCTTGTTGCCCCAGCATATGCCCGAGTGATAGCATGTGGCTTGTGCCATGAAAGGGATCCACTCCAGGATGGAAGTGGAAACTTCCCCTTCGTCTGCTTCTGGCTGCCCCTGGCTGCTGAGTCTCTGGGTCGCATGTGGGACTTCTGCCCGAGTCTCCGGTATTTGCCAGTCACAGTCGCAGTCAACTTTTTCACGTAGAGAAACTGGGGGCAGCAAGCTCAAGCATCGTTGTTCCTCTTTCAACTGAGGTAGCGTCAATAGAGCCTTTGCCGCATCTAGCAGCAAAAGTTCAATAGGCATGGTGGTGACACCGGGTGGGACGATGGAGTTCTGGGTTGGCATCGTCGATGAAGGCGCCTACCAGCTCTGCGACACTTATCCGGCGTTCCTGGCGCTACCGCGCTGCATCAAGGACGAGGAGCTGCGCAGCGTTGCAAGCTTTCGGAAACGAGGCAGGCCAGATACAAGCAGAAGTACTTGAAGGTTCATGCGTAGTTATTTGTGGGGCTATAAGTAGGGTAACTATACTTGACTTAGAACCAATATGAGGGGACTTATAACCCCACTTATAGCTACCCAGGAACCTCCAAGTAGCCGTGCATCATCTGGGTGATGCTTCCAAGTGGAGGTCGTGTCTAAGGCTTTTTTAAAGCCCGAGAGATGTCTTGAAAGACTTTCTTTAAGAGTCTGCCCATAGGCTCCATCGTAGTTCTTTTGGAATCCTATAAGGTAATCCCTAAAAGGAATTACTATGGAGCCTACTTAAAGGATCATGGGACATGGTAACTCGGGTTGTTATTTTAGTAACTATACTTGTAACTACTTACAACCCCAATTAGGGTACTTATAAACTTACTTACTAAGTCCCACGATGCTTCAAGTAGGCTCCAAAGCAGTTCCTTTTCGGGATTACTATGGAACCACTATGGAGCCTATGGGTAAAGAGGCCGTCTGCCAACGATGAGTTGGTGCGGCGGGCGCACGCGCAGCTTCGCTTCGCTCTGGCGTTGCTCGCAGCCTACGGAGGGGCTCATGGGCACCTTTGCCTATACTCTTCTGAGGATTCTCATTTCAGGTCCCCAAACCCGATTCTAATTATTCAGGCCCCTATATTAGGTCTCCTGAAGATACGTATCTGGGAGTTTCCTACGATATCTAGCATATAATATGGTATACTATAATAAGGAAGTGGGAGTTTCCGAAAAAGAGGGGGTACCTGATTGTGGGGTCCTTATACTACGGATCCTACCACTTAAGGTACTATATTGGGATCCTCTATTTTCGAAAATTCCCATCTCAAGACTGTCAGGAGATCAGGGTGCTGATGTTGTTTGAGTTTTGCTTGAAGAGAATCGGTTTCGCATGATCTGGAACCTTCGGACAAGCACACCTGGCAGCGTGTCTTCCACGAAGAGCTTGGCTTGAAGCATCCCAGTATCTTCCTTAGCTGGGAGCTGGTAGCGTCTGAGGTAACAACTGCCAGTCTGATGAGAAGATGCTGTATGCCATCAGGTGACTGACGACCTGCAAGTTGTGCGTTGCAAGGGAGCCGTTAGTTCGAGGTTTGGTTCAGGTCTCGTTCTTGACAGAGTAGAGCCCCTGAGTAGAGCTGATCGTTCTAGGCTTGGTGCCACCGCTGGGCGCAACCGCGAGCTGCTGGTGCTGGATCTGCGGCCCAGGATATTGCATCAGACCTGAAGAAGAAGTAGTAGGATGCTTCGGTTTCTCTGGGGCCAAGGTGTTGACCCATATAATTTTGTGACGGGACGCTTGCAAGTGCGATGCAGGAAAGCGGCCTATGCCAACAAGGTTGGCGGCGGCGGTTTTGAGAGCTCCTCGTCGAAAGTGCGAAAATTATCACTGGACTCGCAGGCCGTGTCACTGCTGTGGTGGTGCGATCGATTGCTTTGTGACGACGTGTTTCGCGGGCGCTTTAGAATTTGTCTGCGCCTTTTTGGGGTGCTGGCGGCGGCGGTGGTGGTAGCCTTTGTCGTGATGTTTGTGGCGAGGATGATTGCGGGGAATGTGATGCCCACATGGCTGCAACCGTGAAGGTTGACTTGCCTTGAACGTCATCTGCCTGGGACATAATAGCGGGCCATGCCCACAAGCAGACTGGCATAATTAGGCAGATTGTCACATCTGCAGTTCAACGGTCCAGGCTACAGCGGATGTCGGCTAGTCTTCGGTGGCATTGACAACGTGCATGTTGTGCGCCACTTGTTTGCATGAAAGCGAACGGGTTTTCCGGCATTTGTTTTGGCGACTCCGAGCCCATTCTCGATGGTCAATTGAGGTGACGCCTGGAAGAAAATGGGGCAGGCCGTGGCGAACCTCAGCAACGACGAGGCCCTGGCGCGGAAGTGGGACGGCTGTAACACAATCGAGTTGCCAGCTCGCGAGAGTCGTGCATGCAAGGTTGGGTCCTGGTTTCGCGATGTCGCAAACTCCGGCTGGAGCTTTGACTGAACTCAGACCCCAGATGAAGATCTCGTAGCTGCACCTTCCAATTCCAACTCATTCGGGAGATTATGCCTGGAAGAAAAACTTTAAAGCTCATCAACCATGTTCTCCTTTGGAAATACCACAGTCTTATCAAGTGCATGCTCCAATACGCGCCGATTAACTCGGCTTGGGCATTGCAATACGACGCTTTTGCATGGATGTGGCCCCTTTTGTCCAAACCAGATAAGGTACGATCTCATTGGCGCTATCTTCAACTGTGCGCTGATGATCGTCCACGAGATAGATCCTGCGCAGCACAACATGAGAACGGATCGAAGCAGGGTGCAGCAGACCACTCCCTGGCTGAAGCCACGAAAGGCAGCACTCGTACCGAGACTGGTACTGTAGTTAAGGTCTGAGACACAGAGATTCCCAGCAACAGGAGCAAGACAGCACACCGACTACAGACTCGCACTCTCGGGTGCGCATGTGAGCGTCGGCGTTCGCTTTCCATGCCCCGGACGACGAAGCAGGTGGAGAGACCGAACGTGAGAGTAGCCATCGAAGCTGAACCAGGCAGTGTGTGTATTTGGTCGCATCAGGGATGCTTTTCTTCAAGTCCATAGAATCCGCCCATGTTCCCGCAAAAAAAGAACCGGGGACAACCAGAATTGCGGGACAAACTCAGTGAAACGGCAGAAGCCTCACAGGCCGAGCTGCACCAACACAGGGAAGGCAGAACGGGTGTCAGTGAAAGACTAGTCAGACCAGAACACAGCACCAGGCACGTTTCCTTCCCGGCTCACAGATGACTTGATGCGAAGTCCACGCCACACTCGCTGAGCACATGAAAGACTAAAAAGGAAGTCGTGCAAGACGCAGATGGCCAAACGCAGAGCTTTCGAAGTATGTGCAAATCGTACGACCTCCTCCCGGAGGTTTCTTGAGTATCTGATGTTGTCCCAAACAGAGCGAAGCTTCCTATTTGTCAGCGACGCTGAGGAAAGCCATCACTGCAACGTGGTTATCCATTGTTCTGATGGCTGGGACCGCACAGCGCAGGTTTCATCTGCCTCCTGCCTCAGGGAACTAGAGGGCTACATGTGTTGTCAGCACCCAGTGCTTGAGTTGGACCAAGATCAAGGTTGCAATGCTGTGTATGGACCCGTACTACCGCACTGTGCGTGGGCTGCTGCTCTTGATCCAGAAGGATTGTACAACATGATGATGGCAAGCAGATAGGCCAGTGTTGCTCATGCTGCTCAATCCTACACCCCCATCTACACCCTTCTTAAATAAATTCCCACTAACCCAATAAACCTCAAAGCCCTCGATGCTCCGTGAGGAGTTCTGCTCTTTCGGACACCGCTTCCGAACCCGGCTGGCCAATGGGGAGAAGCCCACCAGTGAGCAACGCAGCCTGCAATTCCCGAAGGATGCGACGGGTCACCACTTCCAGGGCTGTATTTTCACCACAAATACTACCTCAGAAGGATCGCCAACCAAAAGCACACAAAAACAAAAAACAAGCAGAAGAGTTGCAAGCTTCTCCACCTGCAAAGCGCTTCGCTTGCATCTCAGGTACAGCCCCGTCTTCCTCCAATGGCTTGAATGCGCACCCTGTGCCAGCACTTTAGGCATTTTTCAGTGCCGACGTGAGTCTTGTCCCTTCCCCCAACTAAACCCCCGAACCCCTAAACCCCTAAACCCTAAACCCTCAGTTCCAACCGCACTTTGAGGTCTATCAGCTGCTTGTCCAGTTTCCCACCGCCTTCGAGTTCACTTCCGACCTGCTTCTTTTTCTCGCGCGGGAAGTCTTGACGACGCATGGCAGTTTTCAAGGGCAAGATCGGGCACCTAAATTCGAAACCCTAGAGTTTGGAGGTTGCTGCCCCTTAGGGCCTTCAGCGAAGTTAACATGGATAATTTCCTTCATTCTCGGATTTCTCCAGCCGCATAGAGCCTTCACTTGTGTCGCTTCACAGATTCGGCTGCAGCTGTCGATCCGTGCAAGTTTCAGTACATGGGGGGGTGAGCAGATCAAAAGTTCAGAAGCACAAGTTGTCACGTGGGGGTTTCCGGATATAGAGGACCCTAATATAGTACCCTACACAGTACGATCCTTATTATAGGGACCCCAAGATAAGGTACCCCTAATTTTCGGAAACTCCCAAGTTTTCCGGTCGCGAGTTATCTGTACCGTTGCTGGCTGAACTTTGAAGCAAGGAACCGATATGGAACTTTCCTGACGGATTGTGAAAGGGAGCGCACGGAGCAGGCGGGATGTGCCCATGGTTTCAGTAGATGACGTCCTCGCCCCCATGCAGAAAATAATCGACACTGAGCTCTGTGGAAGTCTTGCTTGTTTCTCTCGCAGTGGAGGGCGAAAGGCGCTTGATGAGCAGGTCTCCATTGTTGGCTTTTTTCAAGCACGGCGATTCCCTAATCCCTAAACCCCAGAGCCTGAACCCTAAACCGTGATTCCCTTGCGGCTGACAGAGGTCCAGCCACACACATTGTCGGTTTGGACGGCCATCCTAGATTCAGGCGCGCTTCTCTTCATCATTCGAGTAGCTGAATCTAGGTTTTTGGTATTATACTATCATACTATATCATAGTATAATATGTTTTAGTCAGGCGGGCTTCTGCTCGTCATGGCGATATTTGTGTTTGTCGTACCCCTGTCTGGTTTTTGAGGACCAGCGGCGGAGTACGTCAACGACAGGCCAGACAAGTTTAGGGTTTAGGGATGTTCAGGGTTTAGGGTTGGGAGTTTCGGACTTGGAGTGTACTTGAAGGATCGTGGGACTTGCTTAGTAAGGTTATAAGTACCTTAATGAGGGTTATAAGTAGCTATAAGCATAGCTACCCTAATTATAACCCTAGTTACTAAGTCCCATGATCCTTTAAGTAGGGGGGCTGGGCTGCTAATGTCTGCAACTTCCTTCGCGTATCATCCCGGGCTTCTGGGCAGGTATGAAGCTGTCGAAGGCTCGCTCAGGCCAAGTCCAACGCAGGCAGGGTCCGTCGGGCTTGGTGGAAGAGATCTCCTACATATACGTTACCATGATATATATATATATATATACATACTGTATACACATACAGCTATATGTATATGTATTATGTATATATACCTTCATCGAAATGCTGGTGTCGTACGACAACAGGTCAACTTCAAGGCCTGGGAGGCGTGGTCTTGAATGCCAGAGCATCGCCGCGCCGCGATCAGACTCGGCTTCGTCAGCTCAGGACTACTGGTTCCGATACCGCGTGCACCCGAAGGAAGAGCTGGGAGGTAGGCAGAAAAACGGAGGAGTGTAAAGCTCCTTGGGGCTGTCTCCAGGAATCTGGAGGCAGGCCACAAATTGCAGATGGCCAGAGCAAGCATGACAGCCTGACCGACTTTCAAACTCTTTATTCTTACCGTTCGTTGTGTCATTGCCTTCGTATTGCCAGGAGTCCGATAATCTGTGATTCTGCAAGATTCCTTGGGGTCAGGCTGCCTGCCTCGGGCCTGGGTTAGTGTAAATGCTCAACCAGCTTGTTTTCGAGTTGGTTCTGTTCGTGGTCCTCGCACCGAGCGCCGCATCACCGACAGTGGCCGACTGCCAATGCTGGACATAATCTGACGCAGCGAAATTCGGTATCTAGAGCCAGCAATGACAGGAAGAACAGTCGATGTTTCGCTTCTGCCCCGACCACAAGCCAGCGGAGAAAAACAGTTGCGACAGCTCACTTTGGTTCGAAGGTGAGGTGCTTCAGAAAGTGTGGTACTACTTATGGGAAGACAGCCTGCTTGCAGAGGGTTGCACACTGCCTGCCTAGCCGTAGACTCGGTTCTACTTGACAGCACGAGTGTTGCACCGACCTCAAGCAGATGTCCGAGGATAAAACAAAAGCAAAGGTCTTCGTGGGGCGAAATGGGAGAACGTGGCAGGACAAGCGGTTTCTGTATGTGATCATGGAGCGCATCAAGGGGGGCGAGCTGTTTGAGGCGAGTTGTTGGAAGCAAGGTGAGCCTCGGTTCAACACGCTTGTGCATGCATTGCTTGCACAGGCTTTGAAGTCTGAGCTGGCGGTTATCACTGAACAGGACAGCGTCTTTCCGGATTTTGACTAGGTGCTAGCTTGTGATCTCATGCCCCCTTGAGCTTGAGCATGTGAGAGGATATGTCGAGAGTAAGCTTGCAGCTCCTCAAGGCAAGGAAGGGGCGGTTGCCATGTTTGGCTCTCCTCACACCCCTGACTAAGAGTGGCTCAGATTGCTCAACGACAGGCGCTGGAGTATCTCCACAGCTGCCGCGTTGTCCACAGAGACATCAAGGCAACGGCACCGATGCCGATGCTGCTGGGTGTGGAAAAAGAGGGAGAAGAGAGACAGGGCTTCATGTGGAGGGAGATATTGGGTTGAAGTCGTAAGTCCATGCCAGATCAATGGTACATGTTGCATACCGTAGCGATAGACATAAGTGAGTGATCCGGCCAAGCCGCAGTTTCCAAGGACAGTGTGGCTCTGGCTGCTAGTCGCAACCTCGCATTGCAAGGCCCAGAACATCCTTTTGACTGAGCCGCCGCTGCTTCCTGGCAGAGCGACAAGCCAAGCTATGATGCTTCAATCGAGTGCGGTACACGACTGCCATATGACAGATGAGCATCTAGTGTTCGGTTGGATCGGTGTGCATCGGTGCTCGTTTTGATGCGTTTATGAGCTGGCACATACTCTCTCAGGCGCTATGCAAAGCTGTCAGCGCCTTACCGCTGCAGTTTTGGAACGGATCTAAAGTCCTGGACAGGCATTATTGGTGTTCTTCTGTCAGGGTTCTGGCATTGTACTTGCAAGGTATGCTTCAGTTTGGCAAAAGGGACAGTGCGCAATACTGAATCCAAGTCGGAGAATTGATGATGAGCTAGTGTTTCAACATCTGACCTCGCACCCCAACAGCCCAACAGCCCAACTCCAAAGCCCAAACAACCTGAAACCCCCAAGCCCTAAACCCTCAAACGCCAAGGCCAAAATCCCTAAAAGTCCAAGGCCCTAGAACTCCAAACCCTGTTCTCTCGATCTTTGTCGGAGTCTCGTCGGGGCGGCCGCGTTGAGGACATCAAAGTCATCGACTTCGGCCTGTCAGCTCGCCTGCCACAGGAGAGAAGATGGGGGTCCTGTGTTGAGTTTACTCTTTCTGATTTAGGCACTGTTAGGGCTCAGTAGGGTCACTGCTTCTTAGCGGTTCTCAGAGCTTCTGGCATCGGGGTAGCTATGCTGAAGGCGTCTTTGAACCGGTAAGCCAGTAGGCGCCGCAGTCTTGAATGAACGGTCGGGCGAGACGGACAGGATGGAAGGCTCATGGTCATGTTCACGGTGACCAATGTTTCCCTTGATCCCAACTTACACGGCTCACTGCAACAAAATCTGATCAAGCAGGAGTGCTGCTGGCGACAGAATGATCGCTCTTTTGACATCGTTTGCGGGCCCGTGTCTCAGAAGTGTGAGTGGCCCCTTTCGAGGTTCTTGTAGCGAACCAAACCAGGAAGCATCTCCGCTACACCTTAAGCCGCCCCCGGCCCGAATACTTCTTGAGTCCTGTGGCCGCCAAGTTCCGCTCAGGACACCAGCCTGTTGCGCCCCTGAAATCTGGGCTACGCAGGAGACTTGATCTTTTGTCGGACCACTTTCGATTCGTAATTGTGTTAGGATTAGGGTCTTGGGATTTAGGAATTTAGCTACGGTTCAGGGTCCAGGGGTTCTTCCGTTTCCATATGTTTTGAAGTCGATCTGCCCCTGTCGGTCTGTCGTAGGTGACTGGTGTTCTTCATCCGGTGTCGATCAGGATCAGGAGGATCCCGTCCCCGGCTTCGGATTTCACACAGGAGCTAGGTTACAATCAGAATCTAGAGGAGTCGGAGTCTCGTAGCCTATCGCAGCATGGCAACCCCTGCTTGCCGCGGAACAAACTGTACAGGAGGGCGCTCTGCCGATTTGGAAGAAGCGCTTTGGCTTCAGGCACCGCCGCAGAGTTAAGCTTTGAAGGTAACTACTAAATTGCATGGGCCTCTTCCAGAATTTGCTCACTCAGCCAGGTATGGAGCAAAAGTGGACGTTTATGCTGCTGGCGTGGTGATCTACATGGCACTTCTCGGTTCACCCCTTACTTTAGCCTGCCTGAGGGGTTCTCGCTCCTCGAATCTAGAGCCTGTCCTGTTTGCAGTTTAGCGCAAAGCTGCGAGAGTAATGATTGGCATCCGTTTCGTTCATGGGTTGCGCAGAAACCCTGAGGCGTGCAAGGACAGGCCGTAGTGTCTTCAGGTGTTCTGAGATTGGGGTTCACGATCCGACAGGAGCACCTGTGAGCTCAAATTAGACATTCCTTCTCGGATTTCTCGGCAAGCTGCAAGATCAGCTTGCTTGAGCATCGCGCTGTCACCAGCCATTGCGGCTTGCGCTTCGAGGTCAGTTGCCTTACTATGCGGAAACCTCTCTGAAGCTCGCGTCTCAACATATCTCCTGAGTTTGGGCAGTAGTGAGGGCTGTTAGCACTCTACTTGCAGATTGGCAGGCAGGAGTCCCCAAGTATGATCAAGGACCACTTAGCACACTGCAGCTGTCGGTTGACTCCACCTCTCGCGCCTCTTGTGGTGCACCTCTTACACACTTACATACTTACCTTAATTGGGGTTATACCTTCCGAAGCCCTCTTCACGCGCACTTTGGAGCATGTTTTAGAAGCCTTTCACCTCGGTTTTTTACAGGGTTTTGCGTTTTCGGTCTTCGGATTTGCCGGTGCGCGCAGGGTTTTGTGACTTCGAGGGGTTGGGGTGGGGGGGTGGGGGGAGGGGCTATTTCCGTCAGGTCGACTGCTACAACTTTACGACTCCTACTGCTGCTGCTGCTGCTGCTACTACTACTACTACTACTACTACTACTCCTGCTACTACTACTACTACTTCTTCTTCTACTACTACTGTTGTTTCTGTTGCTTCTGCTGCTGCTACAGCTGCTACTGCGACGGCTACTACCACTACATCGGATAACTACGCTTACAGGATTACTACGGCTATTGATACTGCCACTTCTACTGCTACTGCTGCTACAGCCAAACTTGGGTTTAGGGCTTTAGGGATTCAGGGTTTAGGGTTAAGGGGTTAAGGGGTTTATGGTGTAGGCAGTAAGGGTGTAGGGTTTTAGGGTTTAGGGCTTTAAGGTTTGGGATTTAGGGTTTAGGGTTGAGGGCTTGCTGGTTTAGGGTTCAGGCTTTAGTATTTAGGGTTTAGGACTTACGGTGCTGCCGTGAGATCTGTATGCAAGGTGCTTCTTAAGGCCTCATGGACTTTGAAAGGGTTCTGGAGCTTTGAAGACTTTCTTTTGTTGTGCTCGATCGAGAGCCTGGTATGGGTTGCGGCAACAGCTGCTCTGGGAGCGGCAGCACTCAGCCCAGGGTTCTGTGGCTACTCGCCACAAGATATAAATCCTGCAATACTCATCATAAGGCGTAAAGACTATACCATACTTCCTATAGTTTAGGGCCCTTAAAGGCATACATACCTAGATACACACATACACACACATCACATATACATACGTCTCTGCGCCATGGTCAAAATACCTGGAAAGCGGTTCCAAGTATCGCCCAAATCACTACTGAAGCTTTGAGAGTAAGTTCAAAATAATGCTCCGAAGGCCCTGTACAGAGCGATTTCTGTGTATCACACTGCCCACTCCTGCAAAAGTTTCCTCACAGCGCGTCCCACTGCTGTCACGCTGCAAATGTTTCCACAGAACGCGTCCCACTGCTGTCACGCGGTTACAAAGTTTCCACAAAACGGAAAAAAATGATAAAATCAAAAAATGCTAAAAACACGTTGAAGTCACCAAATGCCAGGCCTGCCACGATTTTCGTAAGTATCACAAAAACTTCAAATCAAGAAACTGCTAAAATTATTGAAATTGCGTCCACGTATCTGAGTGAAAACTTCCACTCGTGTGCCTGCTGCGTGCACTTCAAATCATGCAAAAATGTCAAATTCCTCGAGTTTTTGAGGGTTCACTGCACATATGTCACCTCATCACGTGCTCAAGGGCCTCTGCGACCTAGTTTTTACCAGCCGAAATGATCCTCCAAACTTCAGCTGTTTTGCAATTCCGTTGATTTCTTGTTGTTCTACCGTCGTCGAACGCGCAAATTCCTGGAGTTTTTGACACTTCCTCATGGAGTTCAGTCTATGAACAGAACACACAAGATTCAGTATGTTGGCATCTTCATAGCTTCAAAACACTCTTGTTGGCAGCTGTTCCGAGGCCAAAACTCGAGTTTTAACGCGTTTGTGTGCAGAATCGTGGGTTTTTCACATGCAGGCAAATCAATGTAAATATTGTGTTTGTCGTGTCATTTGCAATACAAAACGCTTCTCTGTCCTTCCGTGCGCCCGTGAACAAGGCTTCGGAGCGTTATAAGTAATCATAGGTATATTTACCTTAATTAGAACCCTATAGCGACTCTAAGTCCCATGATCCTTTAGTGAACCCTAAATCCCCTCTTATAGAACCCTTTTAGATCCCTTTGAAGGAGCCCTTTAAGGAACCCTAGTTACTAAGTCCCAAGATCCTTTACATAGGGCCTGCAACTTGGAGGGTCATGGGACTTAGTAAGTAAAGTTATAAGTACCTTAATTGGGGCTATAAGTAGTTATAAGTATAGTTACCCTATTTATGACCATAGTTACTGTGTCCCATGATCCTTTAAGTAGGCCCTAAACCCTAAACCCTATAGATCCCTCTCAGGAACCCCTATAGATCCCTTTAGAGGGACCCTTTAAGGAACCCTACCTGCAACAGACTGAGGCTCGCCAGACTTGTTTGCAGCAAAGACTCATATCCCAGCTTCGAGCTCCGAGCCGAGCTTGCATTGTGTTTGCCGTCGAAAGCCTCAGTTAAACTAGACTATAAAATGCTACAATATGCTCTATAATATACTAAATTTACTATGTAATATATTGAAGTATATTATGTAGTGTACTAAAATATGCTCTAAAATATACTGTTATACTACAATATACTACAATATGCTCTGCTATACTGTACTGTATGTTGTGGAGTCCAGAAGCAAAGCACAGCTCGCAGAGACACAGAGCCGAGGCTTTCGTTAGAGTTGAAAGTGCTCATGCGCCCATATAGGGGCCTAGATAATTACCTATGGTTATAGTATAATTACCTTTACTAAATTGGGGATTCCTTTATTTAAAATGATAGTATGAGTACCTATACTATTTTGGAGGTTCCTTGTTATAAGTATAGTATAATAGGCCCCAAAACCCCATTCTAATTATTCATTACTACCCGGTGCTTTTCCCTCGCTCTGCGGCTTCCGCCGAGCACAGGTCGAAGGATGGAAGCCATCAGGCCACTCGCATGTGCTGGGTTCACGTGGGTGGTTGTCAATTTAGGGGTCCCTTGTTGGGTACCCTAAACATTAGGTGCCGTACTAGATCAAGGACCCAAGAAGGACCTTAATTTTGACAACTACCCATGTGTCTGTCCATGTCCAGCATAAGCGAGATGAGTGCAACGCTTAGGATTGCACGCTGCAAGAGTGGGAACTTGAGTAACGTTTCATCGTTGGGGAGAGATCGGCGTCTGCTCGTTGTCTGATGACAAGTCTGACAGGTTTCATCGAGGTGCCGGGAGTTCCTTTCTAGGCTGCTGGAGAAGGACTCATCGCAACTGCTTGCGCAATCCTTGGCTGCGGTTAGCATTAGCACCAGTGCAACGCAGGATCCAAACAGTCGTTGTACAGCGGCGCAGGTAGCACGCTCAGGCCTTGCATGTGAAGTGGGGGTGAGTACGTGCTCATGTTTGGAGGCTGCTCGCCATCCGTGGCTCTCCGGACGGGCGAAGAGATCAATCCCACAGCCGATTCCTTTGCAGGCCGGGATTGTCCAGGAGTCTTGCAACCGTTAAGTTTCTGGCTCTAGCAGCTAAGTGCGAGGGGCCCCACTTTCCCAAGTGCCCCGGAAGGTTCGGAGCAGTGCGGCAGCAGAGGCAAAGGCCTGCATCTCAGATGCTGGAGAAGCTCCACGAGCAAAGTTGAACTGTTTGAGTAGTTTCTATATTATCATACTACTATATAGTTTGTTTATATTAATATTCATATTGATATATATATATATATGTATATATATATATATATATATTACAAAGAATTGTTGATTCCCAGGCCTCCCTGGAGCAATGCCTCCCAGAGTGCGAGCACAACGTTTCGCCAAAGGCATGCGGCAAGCTCTGGGATTGCAGTGCTATCGTCAGAGTTTTTCCCATGCAAAATGCAAGAAACGTCCGATACACTTCTTACTATCTTCTTGCTTTTTTGTGTCCTCAGAAAGCCCAGAATTGAAAGCTGAACATCGAAAGGAGTTCAGGATAAAGTTTTTGGTTCAGGGAAAACACTGCCAGCTGGTGCGGGAGCGTAATCGTCTGGATCGTTCTGGATGATACCGAACGTGCACAGTCTAGGAAAGCAATCTGTGGAGGGAGTGTAACCACAAACAGCATACTTCTCAAGGCACCATGATTGGTTCGGCCCCAACCCAAAATGGAGCGTTGTTTTGATTGTGGTAGCCGCTGAGCAGCATCGGAACCAAACCCTGGGAGTGAAGTTGCCTTGCAGTCTCGTTCTGTTTTGCAAGCCGACTTCACCTGGTGTTGATTGGCACCGCCAGGAGAAGAACGAGCGCGTCCTGGCACTCGCCCAGGCCTTGTGCTGAAGTGCTTCCGTAAAGCTATCGTGAGTTCGGACAGGTCATCTGAATATGTGTATATATACACATACATACATACATACATACATACATACACACATACATACATATATATATATATATATGTTTATTTATATATGTTATTATTGTTATTATGACTACTATTGTTTTTCTATTTTTAATTTAGTTTTGTTTCTCATATCATGTTATAATGGTATATCATGCTATATTACATCAGGTTATATTGTATTATGCAGATAATATGGTATGCAAATATTTACAGTATGTATTTACGACCTAATACTATATGACAGATCAGTCGGTCTGCTTCTTTTGTTATCATTCCTCGGGCTCGGCTTGGCCTTGTCCTGGCAACACAGCCTCGGCTGGCTGTACGTGCTTTGCTCACGCTATGCTCCCATCATTTGGTTGCAAACTCGGGCTTGCAAAGTGCGCATTGGGTGACATCTCCTTGCGAACCGAACATCGCTCTCTGAATCTGGCCCTGTCCGTCTGACTGTCTGTTCAGCCAGCTAGGTAGCATCTTACTAATACTATGTATCCATCGATCCGTCCATCCAGACAGCGAAAAAGAGCGACAGAGAGGAGCGAGAGGCTCAAGCCTTGCGAAAGAAAGAAAGGAGCGAGAGGCAGATAGGCATGGATAAAGTCTACACCTGCACATATGATATATGTGTATCATATGCATGAATACATGCATACATACATACAGATACACATACATCTAGCTTTAGAACATTCAACATAGGTATACATACACATGTACATCACGCTTTTCGGGCTTGGGTTCCGTCCGGCCGGAGCCATTTGGGCACCTAAATTAACAGTGCAACACGGTCGAGACACATGTACATGCATACGTATCCACATATATGTATGTCAACACACTTGACACTTATATACAGATGTGTGTGTGCGTGTTTACTCATGCAGATATGTAGGAATGAAAGAACCAACGATGTCACCAAGGAACCAGGGATGTTGTAACGCTTCAAGCCGCAATCTCCTTTGGTGCTCTGACCAGGCACACCGTGACTGGGCCGAGGCTCGCGGATATCTAGCGATCTGAACCGACCACCGTCTGCTTGAAGCTCAGGGTATGTGGGGTGATCGGGGGCATGTCTTTGTCGGGAGCACATGCCAGGGGCTGGAGGTGTCAAGTGACTCGGAATCCGATGAGTCGACCGACACCTGGCCATGCTAAGCTCAGCATCGAGAAAAGAAGAGCGAAGGCAAGCTCTCTTCCTTCCCATCCCGTTCTCAGGATCCAGATTTTCCATTGACCCGAGCTAGGTTTAGCTGTCTCAGTCTTGCCTCCTGAATGTCAACTACCTGGTGATGTGTCTATTGGCGTGAGCACCGCAGCCGGTTTCCACGACATGGGGCAGTTCTCATACTGCCAATGAGCTCCTCTCCTTGGGCCCTTTTTCTTGCCCGCTTCCTCCACCAGACCAGCTAGCAGCTTGATTCCCGGGCCCAGGCGCTCCCTCAAGTAGGCGTCATTTTGGTGATGTCCTCCACATGATACTGCATGATCGCTGCCTTTCTCCCATGAATTCCTCACAGCACAGCTCTTCATCCCACCCCGTACCCCGAACCCCGCGCAGTATCTCGCTCTGCCCTCACTCACCGGCACTCGCACTGCTGCCCCCACTCTGACCGACTCTCCTTCTGTCTCTCTGTCGCTCTGTCTCTCCCCCCCAACAATCTCAATGAATTTGCTTGATATAGGGACAACCGAAACGGCTCCGTGAAGTTTCAGGCATCTTCGCGCGGTTGGAGGTGGCAGCTTAGCTACCGATACGAACGGAAGTTCATGAAACCAGGTTGGCCAAGCGGGCGGTTGTGCAATGATTTGCCCCAGGGAGGAGTGAAGCCAGGTCTGGGCAACAACAACCGTAGTAAGAGGCACTTGTGGTAGGTAGGCGCTTATTTTCCCCAGAGTCCCGGCCCAAAGCGGCAACGCCATGCAAACAGAACCCACAGTTCGGGCCAACCGGCAGCAGGTCCTTTACAGCAGAAGGTGCAGCTGTTGCTGCTGCACAAACAGTGGCGTTTTCAGTATTTGAAGCAGTCCCAGGATGCGCAACGAAGCACACGCCAGCTGCATGAGCAATTCAAAACGGAGCAGGCTCTCAACACAAAAAGAATGGCAGCCTCCCCTTTGCCCTTCGCAGTTTCGTTGCCAAAACTGGTGCAACAGTATTTTCCCGCGAAACACTTGATCTGGGAGCTTGCAGAACCCGAGACCAGGAGTGGTACGGCTCGCAGTAGCTCAGATGACTTCGTTTGGTGCGAATTGGCTGTGTCGGCTCCTGCTATCAAGTCATGCCATGCCGATTTAACTACGCTTCTAGCCGGGGCCCTGGCCGTTCACATCAGCTGCCTCCGAAGCTGTTTCAAAAAAGATTTTTCTCTCTGCTGCCCGCATCAAGGTTAGCGCTTTATCTGTTCCGCAGCTGCCTCCAGGCGCGCTACGCTACAAACGGGTTGGGTGCGTGTTTGACTTCCCAATACCAGGCGAAATGCCTCGAAGAATGCTGCCAGGCTCTGGACGGCTTCTGCGGCAATTCCCTTCAGGCTTGCGTAAAGAGCTCGCGAGATGTCTGCGAACATTGGGCATCGAGCACTGACGTATGACCAACGACTCGACAGTGTCAGAGTTTTGCCCAGGATGTTTGCCCAATTCTCGGATTCTTTCCACCACTCCATCTCCACAGTTCTTCAGCCGTGAGCCTAGAGAGGCATGATATCTCTGGCCGAGCCGCCGAGGTAACATGTTTCGATATGTTTTGCGCGTAGGACCCGTCACACTCTAAGTGCTGGTTGAAGCACTGCGTGACGCTTCCGCCGACTTCCCCCTTGTTACCTTAAGGCCTTCATTGAGGAGTGCTGGTGGGGTTGGGCCTTAATTATGCTTCACTGATAGATTGTGCCGAGGGTATTACTCATTGTCTCCACGGGCAGCAGCACTGGAAGTATTCTTGGCGTAGAGGTTGCATATATATTGGTCCGCTAGTCTCAAGGTTCGGCCGCAGCACCCCAGAATATTTGAGCCTGGAGGCCTTCACGGTTTGATCTGTTCATCCACTCTGTTCAGGTCCGTCGGGGTGGAGCTTGCGATTTTCGTTGTCACCCTATCGGTCGCCTTCATCTTCAGGCCTGACAGCCTTCCTACAGATTGACGAACCTGTTTTCAGGATGTCCAGAACCAATCGCGACAGAGAGAGAGAAAGAGAAAGAGAGACTTAGCCTCCGAGGCGGGTTGGGGTTTAGAGTATGAGGGGGGTGTAGTGGACGACCGGTGACTCATCCGGTGGAGTTTTTATCTTTTCTCACCGCCCGAAATTCCCCGGTGCGCGAAATGTTGCCGTGATCAGGCAGACCCCAAAAGCCGACCACTCACTACTACAGGTGGGGGGATCTAGGCCTGTGGGTCGCATGCCGACCCGAATGCCCGGCAGAAAGACTAAGACAGAGACACAGACGCGCGTGGGGCCGGCTGCACGCGCCCTTCCACCTGCCCGCCCACCCATTCGCCCACTCATCCTTTCGCAGCCTGCTTGGGAAGAATTCCACAGAGAGTTGTTGTCCTGGTCCAGTCAAGTCGGCAAGAAGAACGTCGACGCAAAGAAGCTCAAAGGATCCAGTGATGAGGAGACCGCTGCAGGGAGCGATGCTTTAGCGGGCGATGGGCGCAGCGAGTTCCTGAAAGGAGAGATGCCCCTCTTGGTTCTCCTGGAAGCCTGAAGCTCAGATGTTCGCAGACTTTTCATATTCTCTGCAGACTTCAAGACTTTGCAAGCTCGGGACACACAAACAGACAGCTGTTTGCTCGGCATGCGAGGCTGCCCGTCGCAAAGGCTGTCGAGCTGCGGCCCTAAAGCACTATCGCATGCGGCTCGCTGCGCTGAGGGGTCAAATATTTTTTAGTATAATAGTGTACATAATAATACAAAGTACAAATAAAAATAATAATAATAATAATAATAATAATAATAATAATAATAATAATAATAATAACAATAATGATAATATTAATATTAATAATAATAATAACAATAATAATAATAATAATAATAACAATAATAATAATAACAATAATAATAATAATCATATTAATAATAATAATAATAAATAATAATAATAATAATAATAATAGTAATAATAATAACAACAGTAATAATAATAATAATAATAATAATAACAATAATAACAATAATAACAATAATAATAATAATAATAGTATTATTTAATAATAATAATAACAATAATAACAATAAGAATAATAATAGTAATAATTAATAATAATAAGAATAATAATAATAATAAATAACAACAATAATAATAATAAATAACAATAATAATAATAACAATAATAATAATAACAATAATAATAATAATTATTATTATAAGAATACTAATAATAATAACAATAACAATAACAATAATAATCATAACAATAATAATAATAATAATACCAGTAGAGCTCGTAAGGCCCTGCAAGGCGCCTCCAGCTCCAGACTCAGTGACTCAGTGGGGGATGTTTTGGGTCGCCCGGCCTTTTGCTTGGCACACACAGCGGCGACAGAGAGGTACAGAAGAGGCCCCTCTGCAAACAGGAGCAGGGAGGCCCAGAAGGGCCCAGCAGCCCGCAGCAGCTTCTTTTTCCAGAAAGATACGGAAACTCACCGCCAAGGCCACAGCTGAGCTCTGCTCGGAGCTCCTCGTCCGGCTCCGCGACTGCCTCAGGAAAGCCCCGAAAGGGCCAACGGGACTGGGCAAAACAGGCAACAGCCTGGGTCGCCCAGGCCTCGCGGCGACTTGATGAGATCGCCACCTGTGCACGAGATCAGCCGGAAAGCTCAGAACTCGCTGCAATTCGAGCAGCGGCCCTTCCTGGCAACGCTCCCAGGCATGCAAGCCGAAACGTTGGCCAGGCCTCGTTGCCATGGCTGTGGCTCTTGAGATAGGGGGCCCCTTAGGGGTGAGGGGTGAGGGCTATTAAGGCGCCCATAGGCCCCCTATCCCCTGCCCTCCTTCACCTCCCCGTTGCCCCCTAAGGGTCCTTACGAGAGTTGGACTTTATCCCTGGCCTGACCCAGCGCTTGCCCGCGGCCAGAGCTTCAAGAAGAGGATTGCCGCAGGTGATCCAGATGTATGACGACTTCTTATCCATTCTTGCCGAGAAGCACATGCAGATCCCCGAGGCCAATGGGCTCTTCACGAAGGATCACCAAACCAAAACTTCCCATTCCCCCTATCATATCCAGGTCGCGAGCAGCGCACGACACAGTGCCGTGGAATTCTTCGCAGCTCTGGCACCTGCCCTGGAACTTTCTTCCAATATAGGGGCCTTAATGATTCGATTGGGTTTTTTGGGGCTCGTTATACTAATATTGCACTAAGGAGGCCCCAAAAATAGTACTTTGCAGCAGTCGGCATTTGAAGCGCTGTGTGCCGACTTTGACGACCCGTGCTCCGCACGAGCCTGGCATTTGCTGTGTTGGAGCTTCAATACATGGCCGTGCATGTCTTGTCGGAGTGCTTGCCTCGAAGTGAACTCTAGCCGTCCGAGTCCGTCGTTCAGCGATTGCCTCTCCTGATTTGCTTCCTCTTGGTGCCTTCTTCGGGTTATCCTGCAGGTCTACTGCGTTGTTCGTGCTGGCCGCTTCAACTTGGTGGAGAGGTTGCTGGATGACATGGTCGCACAGGCGCTTCAGAAAGCATCCATCGAGAGACCACGGGACGCTACGGCGCTACGTTACTCGCCAGGGAGTCGCCCGCCCGCTGCAGTTCTACGAGAGCACCATGAAGCAGCTTGCGGGTCAGCTCGAAAATTGCCATTGTCAATCTCTGGTGATCCTTTTCTGGGTCCCTGGCTCCAGGAGTGAAGAAGTACAAGCTGGCCTTGGCTGTCAGGTGCTCAAAGGAGACGCGCTTTGATCTGGCACCATTGGGAGCTGATGGAGCCTAGGTGTACGATCGACTGTCAGCAGACGGCCTGCAACCTTCTGCGGTGCAGCTTGCATGGTTTCATGATAGTTCATGATTCATGTGCACGCTCGCTCGCATTCACAGTCTCTTGATGCCCGTGGCAGGTCACGCTGAGCTGTCTCATCAACTTCGCCGTTGAGGCAGGTAGAGGAGTACAGGCTTCAAAGAGGCATCTCTTCAAGTCGTGCTTTCAGCCCTTGACCACTCGTGGACCCCCGCCCACCTTTCTACGAATGCCGGAAACCACAAGTCCTAGCAATATCTTCATTGCGATCGTGGCGGTCAGGTGGGTGAGCTCAACAGGGCCATCCAGTTCTTCAAGGGTGCCGGGCTTGACTCCCTCAGACCGACTGAGCATGTGTCACAGTTGATCATGTCTACGTACTTCTACCAAACCGTAGAGCCTCTTGAGTGACCATCTCGACAGTCATGTCAACTGCAGCACCACTTCATTGCTTCCAAGTTCTCTCGACGGTGAGCACGCCGTCTATCCGGGCGTGCTCTCGGTGTATTGCTACCTCAATCTTCAGTGTGGTCGTTCTTCGGGCTTCGGCCTAGCATGCCCACAATGGCTTCTAGCTGTATTTTGGTTTCCAGGTACATGACCGTGCTGCGTGTTCACAGCATGCGCCAGGCAGGATGTGTGCTGGGAACTCACCATTCCTGCGCAATCCTGACGAAAGTAGCCTGGTGACAACAGGACTGGCCTGCAACACTTTGGACGATCCGAGACATGAGACGTGCTTCCCTCAGTTCACAAGATCAATTGCAGGCACGGTACTGGTAGCAAATAGCTGGAAGCGACCGTTCCGCGCGTCGATTACAGTCGATTACACATATGCGGCTTTGACTTGCAAGAACAGGGTGTACTTGCCAGAAGCTGCCTCAAGCACACTACTCCATGTCAGTTGTGCCGCAAGCTACCTATCATTCCAACGACATGATTTGCCTAAGTCTTGTTGAGACATTGCGTAGCCTAGCCGCTCTGGAGATGCTGCGCGACGATTGTCGCGAGATGTCGTGAGTTCGGCAGCCCCCAAACAAGACCGGAAGTCCACCCTAGCAACACCCCTTTCAGTCGGCCGAAGTCTTTCAGGCTTGGAGTGCAGAGCGTCGAAGGCTACCTGTGCTTGTGCGCTCGTTGCAGGTCGTGGCGTGGAGGTGGACACCTTGGCCATGAATGTGGCCCTAAGCACTGGCGTTGTTGCGGACCACATCGAGGACTCGGACGCTGGGGTCTTCAAGCTCAAAAACCCTGCTTTCTGCCACAGGAGGTGGAGGCCTTGCTGGCGGAGGCCCGAAATGCATGCCATTCTGCACCGCGCGTCTGTGATGGTTTCCGAGGTTGTTTGCAATTGCTACTGCCTCCGCCTCCTGAATCGTTTTTCGAAGCGTTCACGGAATTTCAGCTTCGACAGTGGATCCTCCAGTTCCGCTGTTCGCTTCTATGGCAGGCTCCCAGTGCGGACATTGTGTCGCAGGGAACTTAGCCAGCCATGCCAGGGCATGACACTCTTGAAGGGTGATGTCTGCTCCCAGCCAGCAACGTACGAATGGCATCACCGACACCGTTGGTCAAACAGTGCCTTCGGGCTTGGGTGGAAGGCTCACTCGCTGAGTTATGGCGGCTGAGGTACAACACCCTGGTGAAAGGCTATGCCCAACGCAGCGATCTGGCCAAAGCCCAGCAGGCAATCATGCCTGGACATTTAAATTCCCAATGCGCAAGTGATATGTAAGGCGCTGGCATATACTCAGCCCCGACCGTGCAGCCAAAATGCGCAATCCTTGTCCTGGCGACACCACAGCCTCTAGAGGTGTTGGCTAAACTGCTGGCACGGGGGCTGCGGCCAGCGGCTCAGACATGCGCCAAAGCGATCCGAGCGTGCTCTTGCAGCCGCTCCTGTCGAGTGCCCCCGATTTGAGGCCCAATGCAATCACGTTCAACACAGTGATGGTGCGCCCTCTTGCGTCCTTCATGGTCGCTTATAGCATACAACGGCTTATGCAGTGAGTCGGGGAGACTCTTGGCCGGTGGAGCTGGCGACTGGCCAGGATGCTGCTGTACGCAGCGGAGAAGTCTGCCAAGCGCAGCCACCTCAGAAGCGCAGCTCTGCCACCTTGTTGGTATGCCTGCTCAACGTCTCGGCAATCAGCCGAGCGATACCATATATGTTCTATAATGCATAATAACATATTATATATACTATATAATATTAGTATATTATATAAATTGTACTATATTACGAACTGTATATAAATATATTGTTTAGTAAAGACCTCAGACCCAAGGTGGCAACTCTTCGACAGCATGTCCGGACGGGGTCTCCGGCCAGATCGGTTGGGTTCTCACGGCAGCTTCGGGAACTTCGGGTCGGCCTCGGCTTCGCAAGGGCAGTTGGAAAATTGGGGTCCCTTTTTGGGGTGTCCCCAAAATAATAATAATAATGATAATAATAATAATACCAATAATAATAATCATAATCATAATCATAATCATAATAATAGGTGACGTACTGTACTAAGGACTCAAAAGGGACCATAATTTTGACAACCACTTACAAGAGGAAGCGATTTCTGCGCTGAGGTTCACTTGCTCCATCCTCGTTAAGGGCTTGACAAAGCGTCCGACAGCGCGATTGCTCAGAGAGAGCCTTGCACTGTGAGGGCAAGCCGGAAGTCAGTGTGTCTTTCATGTCTTTCGGCGACGCTGCCTACTGTGCGAAAGCTTGAGGTGTGTGTGTGTGTGTACATTAAACACAAACACATACATATATGTAAAGTTGCATACATACATACACATATATATATATATATACACACACACATTTTGTGTGTATACATATACCTATCTGTATCAGATGTTGTACACACACTCTATATATATATATATATATATAAGTATATATATATATATACAAGTATAGAGAGAGGCCGCATTGACTGTCTGGCACTTGTAGGTTCGTCGATACGAACAGCAGATAGATGCTGAGGAGACGCACATCAAGAGATCGCTGACGTTGCTCCGCCAGGCCGCCAACCCTCACGAACCACAAACAAACAGTCTCTGGTGTTTGGAATGTCTGGGACTGGGAGATGGGATGGTCAGGTGGCTCCTCTTTGTGTCATGGCCTGAGCACTCACGGCGGCCTTTTGCTGCTTTGACGGCTTCTTCTTCAGGACAAGACCTTCTTGAGCGGCGTGTTCCAGTCCCTCTTCGACGCTTGCCAGGCTCGTCGGGACCGGCTTCCTGAAACTCCCGGTGCTTCAGAGGCGCGCCCTTTGGATGGGCTTGCGGCTTGCAGGCTCTAGATGAGGGCCTGCAGCTGGCCAAGCAGGCGCAACAGCAGATCTGTTGCTTGCGCCTTGCAAAAGGGATGTCGTTTCGAGGTACAAGTACCTGCTGTCGAATCGACAGAAGCTGTGTGTATGTGTGTGTGTGTCGTGACAGTAGGATCGTTCCTGGACTTGGGACTAGGACGCACTGCAGTAGGTCTTCGCCGAAATGCGGCGCCTGGAGGCGCGAGTGCCAGAAAGGGCTGGCACTGGCCGGTCAAGAGATGTCAAGGGCAAATGCAGTAGAACAGAGTAGAGGAAAGCAACCCATGTTTGCCAGCTGTGTCCTGTGTTCCGCAGCAACGACTCGGTCCAAAGCCAAGCGATGGAATACAGCATGCCCTTGGAAGTTGCTGGTGCTCACCTGGATGGCAAAGCGACAGTGAGCTCATCTGCTGAGCAGCAGCAGACGTGACGTTGCTCGTCTGACGCTCCTGGATGCGCCTTCGCCGTGTGCTAGGTTTTCAGCAGTCGGTCTGTGCCACCGCTGTTGTCTTTCTCCCCAGGCTATCCGACTGTCTTCTTCCTCCATGGTCGCATCAACAGAACCTGCGACAGCTTTCCTGCGGGTCAGGCGAAGACTCAGTTGCCGTAGCCGATGTCTGGACCCTCCCTGTGAGCCTTTCAAACTGTCTCCCTTGGTCCCAGATATACTAGGCGAAAACCCGTCAGAGTCTTAATGCTTCATCTTTAGATACAGAGTAGACGACTGCTATCCTCCAGGTCCAGGGAAGGAAGAAGGGCGGTGTTGAATGTCGCAAGAGCAAAATGTCAGAGAAGTCTTCGCCCTTGCTGTTGGCCTGCAGGAGTTCGCGGACTGCACAGAGGTCAGTGTGGCAGCTGCAGGCGTGGTGCACAGCTGCTGCTCATCATCGTGTTGAATCGAACGAAACCACACACGAGTGTCAGCACGGCCGTATTGTTTCCTCCGCATCATCCACCGGATATCTATCAGATTATGTTCAGGATATGAAGAAGAAGTGCGAAGGGGAAGGAGTCCCGATGTGCACAAGCAGAGCCCATTACGCAGCCTCTGGCCGTGCATGCCAACACTTCCGATGTGGGTGGGGTGGGGGGTGGGGTTATCACTCACATATCACTCACAATCCGTCGCAGGGGACATTGTTGTCCCTCAGTTTGTTGTCTGTTGAATTGCCATAGTTGTTCGAAAATCATCGAGGACATGCGCACGCGCATAGGTGGGTTCAATCACAACACTGCGAGCTCATTCGTAGGGGGCTTAAACAGCCCTAAGTGCAGATTTATCATGTAATGTAATATCATATCATATCATGTTATATCATGTACTATATTATCATGAACTACACCGAAATGCACTATAATCACCTAAAGCCCTAAACTCTAAACCACACCATGTGCTCTTAGACGCTTCGGGGTGTGGGCAGGCTGCAAGCACAAGAGGCACGGCTCCACCGATCGGGAGGCAGGAAGGCCCGAAAACCATCATCAATGATAGCCAGTACCCCTTACAGGTTGGCGGGGAACTCTCCAGCACTTGGTGTGAACTCATGCCTTTTTCTTTTGAGGGTTGACGTGGTTCATGCGTTGCGACAGCAACGGCATTTTCTCTTATTTTTGCAGAGACGTACGCCGCAGCCGCAAGTAGCAGCAGAAGCGAGAAGCAAACGCACCAGCATGATAAAATGTCACCAGGCGAACAACGAAGGCCTTGAGGAAAGTGTCGATACGTCAGCACGTCCTTTGGCCTCATTGTCCTCATTGCGAGACTGCCGATCCTGGGGAGTCGCGAACATAGACTGACCACAAGGCCCGAAAACTACAAGCCCTACTTTACGAATCTGAATCTGGCAGAAGGTTTCTTGAACATGGGCTCGGTTTGCTAGAGTTGAAGACTAAGAGAAACCTGGGTAGCTTGCATGACGCTTTGACTGCAGGGTGGTCTCCCGCCTGCCTGGTCGCGCCGTCGATGCTCAGACAGTCCCGGCAGAGGCACACCTGCAGTTTGTTTTTTTATTTATGTTATTATTCTTGTTTATAAATACTTATTACTACTGTTATTCTTATTATTATAGATATCAAGAATAAGAGGAGTCTGTGGGGCCTAATTTTTGCGCACCAACATTTCCAGCGGATCTGTCTGTTTCTGCGTGGTTTGAGCGCAGGTGCCGTTCTGAGCGTTCGCTGACGTTGCTGAGTGCACTGCCTGTGGTTATGTGTCTCAACTATGATCAGTAGAAACCTCCAATCTGTGGGCATGTTTCAGCCCCAACACGGAGCAATTCAAAACTGTGTCAACAACAAGTCCTGTGATGTCCTGTTGTGACCATCAAGCCTAACAGGCTGTTCCATGGCTACTTCTCCTGTTCGCGGTGGGTCTGCCCTTGACCTTCCTGGAGAGTGCGCGCGCATTCCCCGCAACCGGGCCACAAATCACTCAGAAAAGCTATATGTTCGGCCTTGCGTTTGTGATATTCCAGATCTTGATAGGCCGACAGCTCGCGTTTGTGACATTTGACGGGAGCCCGAGAGCTTAATCTCCCAATTCGAAGATTGCTCTTCAGGTAGGCTTTTTTGAATTCTTCGGCACACTCTTTGGCAGGACAGAAGGGCTTTGGGAGGTCTTAGAGTTTCGGAGGATGGATTGAGCAGCTCTCAAGATCTAGCTCTCTGCTGTCCTCGCGATGAGGACGTCCCGACCACGGCAACTTGTGCGCCCGAAAGCTACCTTGACCGGAGCGGCTCGCCCGACCTCCGTACAGGCTCGTGACAAGGTTCTGCTGTGTCGACAATGCCTAGAGACCTAACAACTACTCAAAAGATCTCAATGTTACAGTTTCTCAAAAGAGCTTCTTGATTGGAGTCATTCCGCTGGTTTCAACTCACAGTCGTGCGCTGAGTTTTTGGTCATGCCGGCATGGTGTAGTGTGCATGTCAGGAGGAAGCTCCACCTGAAGATCTTGCCAAGGACGCGCTTTTCCGGGCCATTGACGCATCGATCTTGCTCTCCAAAATATTACCTTTGATTCGTAGGGAATGGAAGAATGGTAGTAATAGTAGTTATAACTCTACCCCAATTCCCTCCATTCCCTACTAACCAAAGGCAAAGATCCCTTTAAGGAACCCTAAACCCCTATAGATCCCTGTAAAGGAACCCTATAGCTCCCTTTAAAGGAGCCTTATTCCCTACGAACCAAAGGTAAGAAATGTGAATCGGCGCAGGTGAGCTGGGAGGCGCCAGCATCGTGGCAGGACCAGCGGTCATACTTAAAGGATCATGGGACTTAGTAACTATAGGGGTTCCTAAAAGGGCTCCTTAAAAGGGGTCTTAGGAGTACTTAAAGGATCATGGGACTTAGTAACTAGGGTTATAAGTTGGGTAACTATACTTAGTATACTTATAACTACTTATAACCCCAAGTAAGGTACTTATAACCTTACTTACTAAGTCCCAGGACCCTCCAAGTACAGTGCAGCTTGTAGCCCTTGCCCTTGCGACGTGTTGTGCCAGGACCTGCTCAAGTCAATCGCCCAGCTTGAAGAGCAGATTCAGATGATGGCATCGCCAGGCGGCGCATAAACCAGCAGTGGAACCAGCATGATCGCGAGCATAAGCTCGCAGGGTGAACGGCTGATCCTTCACCCTGTTACGCACGGTGTCGCTACCAAGACCTTGTCAGGCAATTTCCAGGCGAAAGATTATGTGCAAAGTGTGGAAGAAGTGGCTCGCAGCGCTGAGCGGCTGGAGAGCGATGTCAGGGAGAACCCCGCCGCCTGGAACCTTGACCTGGAGGCACCGCTGTGACTGACGTCAGATTCCACTTGTGATTTGGAGACGTTCTCGCAACCCGAAACTGAGGGCATTGTTCCAGCTAGTAGCATGTGTGTGTGACTTCGGCATTTGTCCCGTTCCGTTCACACCATTGATGCGCAAGCTCTGTGCGAAGATTGACAACGGTCCTGCTACGTAGCTCAAAAGCATCTGCAGACCGGAACCTTCGTTTTAAACACTGTGGTAGTTTATAGTAGCCTGCTTTCCCTGAACAGCTTCTGCGCCGGTTTTCCGAGCGTCTTCGCACAGCACCAGCTGCTCCAGCTCTTCGCGAGCAACCGAGCTGCAGTTCGCGTCCAGCATCGCGTCTTCACATCATAGGAACCCTTCAAGGACCCCGAATAGGACCTCTCATGATCGCATCATACCAGCCGTAAAGCAAACTCTATCATAGACTCCTCAAGTAAGGCAAAATGGGCCTGTGACGCTTCCGTCCGTGTTTGTAAAGCATGCCTTGAAGTACCAAGGTTACTAAAGCACAACTAGAAGTACTACATGGGCGGTTGTCAAAAACATGGTTCCGTTTTGGGTCTCTAATATAGTACGGCACCTAATATTTAGGGTTAGAGAACTACCCACATCTGGAGTCACGGTCTTCCTAGGACTACAAAGCTGATCTCTGCCTTGATCTCGCAGCTCACTGCGAGAAGCCCGGGGGACTCGCAGCTGCTGTGGCAAGAGTACTTTGGTTTACTATATGCAAAACCAATTGCCGTGAAGCAGGCAGAAATCATGCGCAAGAGATCCTGAGATTTCAGAGGTTGCAAGAGGAGGCAAAAAGCGATCCAAGCGTGCGCTCTATGTTGACGCTTGTCTTCATGCGATGCTTTCTCGTCCTTGCTGTCTCTGTTCTTGGCCCCTTGGCCAGCATCCTTTCCCGTACCACGCAGAAGCATTGCATGGCCTTGGAGCAGGAAAGACATCCTTGATCCGGCTTCAGAAGTCTGAGACTTCAATCCCTGCGGCACCAGAGCAGCTTGTGAAGCCCTGAAGTACCGGCACAACGTGGCTGCAAGCTTCAACCGCCGTCCACATCGCCAAGATGCAGTTGCCGTCTGAGCCACTAAGGGCTGCGCATCCCTTTCTGGCACTTCCAGTCCACTTCAGCCTCCCCAGACGCTGCGAGTCCGACACACAACTGGCCGTCGAGCAGGTGTGCAGATTGCGCAATCCTCAGAGGCAGCCCTGCAGTGCACGGATTGCACAAGAATTCGCAGCAACTCTTGGAAATTGCTGCCTTCGCCTCATGGAATGCCTCAACCGCTCGCCAAAATCTCGTTCATCACAGAAGACTCGCTGCTGGTACATCACCGTCCCGAGTCCAAATTCTATATTCTCCTTGCAACATGTTAACATGGGATTGGCGTGACCAACTTATGATGCAGCCCTCGCTTGCTTGCTGTGGGCCGCAGGTCACCCCTTCCTCAAGCGCCCAACGCCAGCTGCTGCAGGCAGGAGTGTTTAGATCGTGGGCTCGCAATGTTTTGTTTTATACAGAGTTTAGGGCCTGGGGAAGCTTATGGTCACGTTTTGATAACATGGTCTCGCCTGCATCATGGCTTGCAAGTCCGCTCAGTGCCCGAGCCGGGGCTGCAGATATCCATGTGATTGCACAGGCATTGACCGGAGCAGCTGATAAGACTGAGGTTACGAAACCGAAGCCATGCTAGGATGTCGTTGATGCCAGGAAGCAAGAGCTTGTGACGCATTGAACTTTTCCTGCATCTTGTTTCATATGGCAGCCCGCATTAAGTTGACGTCGTTCGGAATCTCCTGGCATCAACTTGGACGGTCTAGCCGACATCGTAACGAAAACCAGAGGGTACGGCTGAGGCTTGCAGAAATCTCTCTGCAAGATAAGGGGTTCATTCAGGGACCTGCCGGTTCAGATCATCATATTTCATAACCAATCGAATAGGCATATCATCAACACGTTTTTATATCTCTTCAGAAAGGTCTACACTTACTGCGACAAAGCTCTTTCCATTTAAAGATCCGTCCTAAATGTGCTCGAAATAGAGATGTATCAACGACATATAGAAAGGAATTTTCTCTTCAGGTTTAACACAATGTTCGAAATTTGGTCTTCACAACAGACATAGTCGAGGAAACTACATCATATCTAGGAACCAGTAGGCGATTAGATTCTGGAAAGACATATCACATGTCATGATATAAAATATGACCTCCGATTAAATAGAATATAATCTTGATTTCGGTTAGAGCGATTTGTGTAAGTTTTCGGTAAGGAGAGTATTTGGAAACTGAACCTGTATATGTTGGAAAAGCTCCAAAATTGAAGGGATAACATGAGAGACGTTTTATGAAACTTCATGAGCTTCCTAGTTCCTTCTACTCGGATTTTAACTAATGGAACGACATGCAATGGGTGCATGTGAAACAGCTGAGATTATATACAAACATGTATCATGTATATGAATGCTGATAATGTCGGTTGTTTGCTTCATGTGTGTCAGCCTTATCATACTTAAGTTTGCTGTTTATATTTCCATGTTTGAGATTTTTGTTTTTGATTGACCTCAAATAATCGTATGTACAGGGTCAAGGGGGGTGCGTAGTTCTTAGGATTGATTTTGTGCAATTCTATTCATAAAGTCGATGAAATGTTGGCTTTGCGTTCTGCCTATGATTGCTTTATTAGAGGGCTTATTTATGTTGATAAGATTTCTGTCGGTGTCTGATACTACTTTGTCTCTGGCCGTGTCTCTCAAGCGTGTTCCAATTGACTTCGGTTGGTAGCAGGCTGGCAGATATGTCATGCTCTGGAGAGCTCTTCGGCTAATCTAGGCTTTCATTTTTCATGATATGGCAGCCTTGGCTTTCAACGGAAAGGGTGCGAGAGTCCACGTATACCCGGGCACACCTAGTCAGTAAGGGCACTTCGTGCAAGAGTTCCGTTGGTGCGCCTGGATGGCTCGTGCTGGGCCAATGGTCCACCCCTCAGAGTGCAAGAGACCACGCTGCTCGTTTCAAGCCTTTGTTTTTGGAACTACAGTTACAGCAAGCCGCCTGTGGTGCACATTAGCTTCCAACGTTGTGGTCGGAAAATGTTCGGTATCACAAATTCAGACAGAAGCTTGTCTGAAGACGAGGGGTCAGGAATTCGAGGAAGCAGCCGGCGCATGGTCGCCGCCCGGACCTCACAGCCTTTGCATTTTGAACGAGTTTGCGTGGAGCCGACAGAGGTTCTGACTCGAAGGAGGCGTCTGAGTTTTGTCAGAAGCACTCAGTGGATTCCGCCCAGAGCTCAGATGTGTTGCCTGTTGGGGTAGAGGGGTCACTTGTCACTTCTATTTTGTCTCACTTGTGACTTCTCACTATTTGGGCTAGAGAAATCCTGGACTCCCTCCTTCCCGCCCTCTCTCCCTCCACACCCTGATACCAAACAAGCCGAAACAGGCGGGCGAGCCGCTTTGGTCAGATGGATGTTGAGCCAGACTCGCCAATTGAGGGGGCGTGTTTAAGATAGATGATGAAGTAGCATTAGCATCGCCAAATGCCAAATGAGGGGGGTGTGTTTAAGAATATGAGGAGCGGAATCGCCAAATGAGGAGACGTGTTTAAGATAGATGATGAACCGGAATCGCCAAATGGGGGTGTTTACGATATATGTTGAACCAGAATTGCCAAATGAGGGGGCATGTTTAGGATATACGGTAGGCCGGAGTCGCCAAATGGGGGGGGGGGGGCGGGTTTAGAATAGATGATGAAGTAGCGTCACCAAATGAGTGGACATGATTAAAATGGATGTTGAACCGGAATCGCCAAAGGAGGGGGCGCGTTTAGAATATGCAAAACCAGAATCGCCAAACGAGGGGCCCCGCAGCTTTGATTCCAAACGAATGCTGCGCAGCCCCTTGCCAAACGAAGCGAGTGCGACTGCAGTTCGGTGCCTTTCAACGTGCAACTGAAACATCAGTCCCAGGCTGGTTCGGCAAAGAGCCCTCTCTTCCACAAAATGAATGAAAAAGGAGAAGACAGAAGGTGCTTGAGCTACCAATGGACGTGCTTGCCAGATAGGTCTAGAAAGTAACCAGGAGGTCCTACATTCAGAATTCAAGGATCCCTAGGAGACACTAAGCCCTAAACCCTCGCCCCTTAAATCTTCACTAGGTAGGGCTTTGGGACATTTTCCCTTATTGGGCTTAGGAGGATCTTTCTTACCAATATGTTTCAAAGGCTTTAAAAGCCCCACCTAGCTCAAGATGCAGCACCTTCGGCCTTGCGAGGCTCCGCTGGGTGCCGCCTTGGGCGGTGCTGCGGCCGTGTCCTCAGGATGGTTCAGGCTTGAGAGGTTGCGGTTTTGGGTTTGAGGGTTTAGGGTTTAGGGTTTTAGGTTTAGGGGTAGCTTCAGAAAACTTCTGACTCTGCATTGTCAGCCTCAGGCAGGCTGAGCAGGCATGTAATTACCAGAACTGTTGACAGAACTGCGGCCTGCGGTCGCAGGGGTTCGTGCCCACAAATCCCCCACCAGCAGGACGTGACCGAAACCTCTCACCCAGACCAGCGGCGCCCTTCCTCTCGTCGGCGCAGGGCTTTCGAGCGCAGGGGTGGCAGCGCCGCACTGCTCGCGGCGGAGGCGGCTCTTGTCTTTCTGGTCTTTGGGCTTGAGGCCAGGGTGTCGTCTCTGTCTTACTCTTCTTCGTGCCTCCTTCTTTTTGGCTTGTTACAACTAGGGGGCTGTAGGGCTTTTTGTGCTTGTCCCCGAAGCGACAAGCAGCACGGTAATGAGTAATGAGTTCTACTTTCAGGACCATCTTTAGTTCGACTATGTCATCATTCTTCTCCAACCTAAGTATGTGAAACGAGGTAATTAGAATTCACTACACTGCACACCCAGAATCCTAAACCTGGCATACCAAATCCCAACCCCTAAACCTTCAAGCCTAAGGCTACACGTTGCGGAAACTCGTGCACCCCTACTCCACGCAAACCTGTTCTGGGTTCTTGTTATTTTAAGTTACCATGAGACAAGGGAACCCTATTCCCTACTGTAGATCCCTATTGTAATCGCTGCTTCTGAACGCCTGTTCCGAATGTGGAGGTTTGGGATATGCCAGTGTCACAAAGAACTAAGCAGACATCACATCAGGTCAGAGCCTCAGTGGCACCAGCGTGTTGCTGTTGTGGGGAGCAGCGGCAGCAGCAGTAGCAGAGCCATGGCATACTGTAGTCAAGACTGTTGTCTTACTGGCTCAAAACCCAACTTTTCAACTTTTGGGGTTCTTATAAGGTAGCCTTTTCTGAAAGCTATGCGTTTGTGTCCTGGGGTTTTTGGGGAAGTGAGTTGTGTCACCCAGCGGAGCGTCGTTCGCACAGCACGCGCCTTGCTTCCTCCGCGCTTGTGGCTTTCGTTCTAAGGCCGGTGGAAGCGTCATCGAGCCGCGTGAGGCGAGGACCGAGGGGAGAGATCCGCCGTTTTGGCCGGAGCATGTGGATCAAAGAGTCTAATCTTCTTCAAGTCGGAGAAAAGCCAAGAACAAAGGGGTCATGGGTCGAGGTTTGGGGAAGTTGGTGGTGATGGGATCAAGTTGGGAGTGAGGTGGTTGGATGGTTGCTGGGGGATTGCGGTCATCTTGGCCGAATCGCTCTGCACCGCGGCTCAAGACCTCCGAGAGTGCAGGAGCAGAAGGGGCTTAGTTACAGGCTTGGAAATCGAGCTCATGGCTTGCTGCAGAGGGGGGATGAAGTCCGGAACTGCCTTGGAGATCTACGCCAAAACGTTGCCGGAGGACACTGGGGTCACTTGGCTTCACTGGGATCCCGCCCAGGAGAATCCCGAATCGTGACTTGCAGCCTTAACCGATGAGAGTTTCACCTTTCTCCGTCATTGGCTTGCAAGCTGCATGTGGCTAGGTGGGGTGTGGCTGGCAAGCATGGCAGGAAAGCATTCTCAGGTTCACTCTTCAGTTGACAGGTGGAAGGAAGCAGTGGTACAGAAACCAGGCTTCCTGACCCCGCTTGGGCTTGCGGGCCCCAGCTCTTCAAGCGGATTTGAATCTCGCGTTGCTCCAGCTTTATGAGGGCTGCTAAGATGGAAAACGCCAGGCCTCAAGACAGGACCTGAATTTCTGGTGCCAGTTCTTGCTGCGCGCTATTCATTATCAACAACACTCCCCAGACATCCGAAAGGGTGGCTTTTGTAACGACTTGAAGCTGGAAGTAGAGCCTGAAGTTGGAAGGCCTTGATGCAGTTGGTTTGGGGTTTTAGGCTTTGGGCTTGCAGGGGTTGAAGGGTTGGTGTCGGTGGCTTTCAGGGTTGAGGGTCTTTCCGGGTTCAGGACGACTCTTGAGGCTTTGGAACCCTAAACCCTAAACCCTAATATTAATATCCTGCCTCAATCGAGGCTCTCTAGACCTTCTGCGGGAATAGTAAAACATACTATGGCCCACCGGGCCGAGGCTGCAATGCTATTTCCCATGTACACGGTCGCGGTCGAGCTGCTGCTGCAGATGACGAAGGTGCAGCCTCACGAAGAGCTGAAGGCCCCCGGAGCTTCTGCGAGGGCCCAGAGACGGCACATGCACCCCCGACGGAACCCTGAAATTGGAAGCCAAGCCCTCCACCTTAAGATCTAAACTTGAAAGGGATGGAAACTTCTCCGGGCTGTTGCAGGAAACGTAAAAACCTGGCTCACAACTGTAGACAGTCCCGGGTTTGGGTATCGTGCAATTTAAGGGTGGATTTGTATGTAGGCTGTAGGGTTTAGGGTGCAGGTTCTAGGGTTTTGTTGTGTAGGGGCAAGGGTGTCCCAAGTTTTGCTTCAGGTCTGTCCCAAGGCAGTTTCCGGCAGTCGTTCGTTCTCGTACAGAAGTTGCAGTCAGGTACCCCAGCGGCGCTAGGTTATTTGGAGGCTCATGCGTATTTGCAAGTGGGGTTATAATTATAAGTGGGGTAACTTTTGTCATAGCCCATATTCGGGGACGTATAACGCTACTTGTAACTACCCATGAACCTCCAAGTAGGGTTCTGGAACCCGATGGTAGGGCATCGGGTACGGCTTGAGTGTAAGTATGATGCCGTCCTCTTTCGATTTCGACTGCATCGTTTTTTCCCGGATGTCTTACGCGATGCGCACATGGAAAACGAATCGGCTTGTGCATGCGTGGTGATGCTCGGATCATGAAGAAAGGCTTCCTCCAGAGCTATCTCCTTTGAATCAACCCTTTGAGCCGTAATCCCTAAACCCAGCACTTTTCTTCAGCCGATACTCGCTGATAGCATGGCGATCTCGACTCGGACGACGTTCGCCGAGGTTCTGGCATACTCATTCCACGCAAGCACGAAGAAGTTTAGGGTTCAGGGTCTGGGGTTTCGGGTGTTGTGAAGCGGGAATTCTACTGTATCTCATACTTTTCAAGAGCACACAGCTTGCTCGCTGAGGGAGACAGGTGTAAGTCGATAGTACTGGTAGTCGATAGTGGTGCTCAGTTGCTCCGACGTTCGGCAGAGGTCAGAGTCAGGCTGCGTGGGGCTCTGAAGCCTCGTGCCCAAGACCCTCCTTTTGCTTTTAACCGTGGAGGCTTCAGGTAGAGTCTAGAGTTCAGGGGCCCAGTGGGGATGGATCTGCGGAGGCCCAGGGGCAACTCACCGTCTTCGAGAAGGACGCGACGAAGAAGGCGGCTTTTGCTTCGCACCAGTGGGTTTCGAAGCACCACCCAGACCCCGAGTTCCGGCAGATGAAGGTCTTGCAGGACGTGTTGATGCGGCTCTTGGACGGCAGCACACATGTGCCCGTGGACTGGATGACAGAACTTTACGTCTTGCGTGCCAGGCCTCTTCCCAGCCGTGATTTCCAGACCTGCTCCTTGTACATCTGGTATGATTACTTCTCATGCCCACAATTGGAACAGCGCAGAACGTTTGGTGCTGACGAGAGCGATGGGAGCCAGCAGGCCAAAGCCATCACCAGCATCCCAGCCTATGTGGCCCAGTGCGACTTTTTCTTTGTGCTATGCCCAGCACTTGAGTGCCCAGAAACAGTGCTGGGATCCAGGACGTGGTCACAGCGTGGTTGGTGTCGTGTAGAAAGGGCTGCGCGGGAGCTGTCTCCAAACAGCACGTGGATTTTAGTCCAGGACAGTTCTTGCGCGGAAGTCGTAGGCTCAGGATTTTCGTTTCCTATGGGACCAGTGGGCGAGGGCGACTTCACGAAGGAGGAAGACCGAAAGAAGTTAGCACCAGTGATGAGGCACATCGTGATGCGAAAGTTGATGAACTGCTTGCGGGCCGGAGACCTTCCCGGATTCCGCCGGCACCTGAACTTGCAGAGCGTCCACCTCCGAGGACTGGACATTGAACCCATCTTGGGCGTCCTGCCTCTCGACACAGAGCAGGCTGCGACGAACTTCCTTCACCAGAACGGCTTCAGGAAGGCCAGCGAATCCGACGGCGCAGGCTGGTGTCCGCTGCACTATGCAGCGCTGTCCGGCAACACCGAGGTGATCAGAGGATTGCTGCAGCAGCGGGCTTCCGTGAATCGCAGGACCTCAAGGGACGATCCTTGCCTGGGCCTCTTGCCTTGGATGTCTGCCCTGGACATCGCAGCGTTCTACAGACAAAACGATGCGGTTCAGCTGCTGATCACCGTGCGGGCGCGCTTGGAGGGTGGAATATCTCCAGCCGTCACTACGGCATCAATCTCAGACAACGCCGAAGGAGTCCGCCTATTGTGCGCTGCAGGAGGCACGCCACTGAGCCGTACTCTTTTCGGGGACACCGCCTTTCCTGTAGCAGCCGTGAACTCATTGGCGTCCTTCGAAGTGATGCTGCAGCAGGTGGGGGTTGTTCTGAATTATGGTCCCTTTGTGGGTACCCTACATAATGAGGACCCTACTACTATAAGTGCCCATAAGGGGCCATAATTTAGAACAGCAGAACAGCCCCCAGGTCCAGCCGGATCCGCGGGAGGTGTCCTACTCGCTCTTCGCTGGCGTCAGTTCTCGGGCATGCTCTGCGGAGCTGGTGCAGCGGCTCCTGAGCTTGCGCGGCGATGTGGACTTCCAGTTTGACCAGCGTCTCGTATGGAAGCGCTTTCGGCTGTACCGTGCAGCCAAATCCCTGCAGCACCAGTTTGGAGGTGTCACTTCTGCATCAATCCGAGCCTACCACATGCAGGGTAGCACGCCGCTGATGTTTGCCATCATAGCGGCTCAGTACGAGGCGGCAGCTGTTCTCATCGCGGCCGGTGCCGATCTGCAGCGGCAGAACAGCCGAGGCTGGACGGCAGCAGACTTCGCTCGTGGTCGATCCGTGCCGCAATTCCTGCAGAGCGGCCTGCAGGGAGATCGAGTCGCGTGCCAGGAGGTGACCACGCTCGTGCTGAAGGACGGCATGATCGAGGTCTGCTTGTGAGTTCTGCTGGACTGCAAGGTTCCTGGAAGATCCTAAAGTTGAAGGTGGTCACAGCCAGGTAAAAACCGCTGTGCCCGAAAGCTTCGTGACCATAGTTGGCTGCGGCATTAAGGCATCATGTTCCTTCTGGCACCCATGAACACATGTCAACGCAGAGAGAACGCCAAGCCGAAGCCACTCTTGCATAGTGCCAACGCGGCTGGACAGGCTGCCACGGAGTTTTTCCCTCTTAACATCTTTTTAATCCGAAGACACAGCAGCCACAACGCGCGTTTTGGTCGGCCGGGCGGACGTCTCCGTCGCGTCTTGGGTCTTCAGCTGTTGTTTCCATGCTTACCCAGGTTTAGGGGTTTAGGGTATAGGGTGGTGGAGGTGTGGCATCTCACCCGAGGGGTTTCGCTTCACAGAATTGGCTCCCTTCCTCAGTTTCATGTGCTTTGATGTGTTGGCAGCTTTGACTGTGCAAAGGTATCCCATGTGCCCTAAACCCTAGCCCAAAGCCCCTACCCTAAACCCTAAACACTATGGACCCCAAACCCCGAACCTTGAAGGATCCGCATGGGATGCCTTAGATCCCGGACCTGGGCCCAGGCATGTCGCCAGCTCGGGGTTGGCGTTGAGGGTTTCGGGGTCTGGATTGTTTCTTGTCAAGCGTTTTGCGGTCGCTAGCCTGGAGACAAGGTTAACGTTTTGAACTTTTCGCTTAATATGCCGGGATTCACAGGTGTGTTACACATGGGATTGTTTACGGCGCAGCCTCTGCCTGTCAAAGCATCGTTGCTTAAGGCTGATTCGTGCTAATTCTCATGCACAGCAAGCACGTACTGCGTCGTAGTATCCCGTCCTCCATGCACTAGCTGGCCGAGTAGGGAAGGGGGATCCCGACCTGCTGCAAGTTTCTGCAAGACGCTGCCCGCATTAGTTGCAACTTCTCACCAGTGTGACGTCAGAATCGCTGTTGTGTGGCCACTGAGCCCAACATTCCAAGCTCCCGGAAAACCTCCACAGCCCCTCCCCGTGTGTGTACAGTGTACAGACATGCACGCACACACTCACACACACACACATGCGTATGAGATACGTAATGTCTGAGCCCCGCAGGCTTCGAATCTCCAGGCCCCCTGCATGTGGAGACTCTTCTTCTGCCTCCGTTCTTTCTAAGTTTCAGTGTTTTGGGGCTGTCATTAGATAAGGTCTTGAGGCTCCAGGGTTTTAGGGTTTTAGGGGTAGGGTTTGGAGTTTAGAGTCAATGTTCAGGGCTGGGAGTTTGCGCTTTACAAGCCGGGGGTTCAGAGTTTGGCTGTGCTACCGTGCCAAGCTTCAAGTTCAAGTATCGATATTCCCGCGGTGTAGTGTGATGTACACCAAAAACTTACTCTAATTGCTAGTACCCTTACACTAATCCCAAACCCTAAACTTTGTGCAAAATGGGTGTGACCTTCGACTTCTTTGTTCGAGGCTGCGGGCGCCTAATGTTTGTGAGTTAAGCCTTAACTGCAAAGTCTTAAAGACTTTTGAGGAGCCGTACAGGCTCATAGTGCAAGGAGTTGTTCAGAATTCGGGCAGGCTCAGCAGTTTAGGAAAGTACAGCTTTTTGGCAGTCGCATCAGTTGCCAAGAAGTGGCACTACAAGATGCCAGGGACAAAGCTTCAAGATGTGCGGCCGCCAGGACATGTTTGGAGCTTGGCGTTGATGGCTTGAAAGTGTTCGTCGGTCGGTTCTGAGGGTTCTCCGGGGCCAACCAGACACACCGTGGGTGTGTTTGGTTGATGCTTCGGAGTTTTACACGGGTTTAGGGAAGAGAGTCAGGATTCGGCTCATGCGGGGGTAGGATTCACTGCAAGTTTCCGGGTAGTTGGAGTGACAGCTTGAGATCTTCGGATGTGCCGCGGTGCTGTCGATGCTCCACCCGGGCATCTTGCTTGAGAAGCAGGTGTTGATGAAGGAACAGCAGTAGCCCTGGAAGTATCCGCTATGAGTCCTTTGCAAACCCTGTAAAATCCTTGACGTTGCAAAGCCTCTGCGGCCTTGGCACAGCCGTACATAACCCTTCTTCAAGCTTAGCCCTGGAAGAACCTATAAAGTGAAGAACCCTGCATAAACCGGATTGGGGGCCTTCGGGCAACCTGAGGTTGCAAAATGCCGCAGGCGCCTGTGGGAAGCTGTCTTTGACGTTGCCTGTGGGGGTCTAGATGGGATGATGAAGGCCATTTTGATGGGGTGACCGAAGCTTGGGAGTTTAAGTTCTAGGAGGTAGGTTCGCGCTGTGGGGATCTGCAGGGGTGAGTCTCGCTTGAGAACCCTGAAGTGCACAAGGGCCTTTCTGTGAGATGGCACGGTTTGTGTTACTAAGCGTGCGCAGAGCGTCGCCACAGGTTTGCATGTGTAGCTGTGCGAGGAATCCTCATGTTGACATTTCTGGACCAGACAAGTGGCCCTACTGATCGTCCCATCGGGGTGTCAGTGCAATACCGTGGTTAGGAACCTCTGCCCCATACGGCTTGGAGTTGAGGTGTGTGATTTCTTGTGGGCCTGCATGTGCCCGCTACGCCTTGAACTGCGCAGCATGCACGCTGCACGATCATTGTAGCGGCCGAAGGCACCCAATCTAGGAGGTGAAGAGGCTTGGACAGATCTTGCAAGGTTTCAATTTCTTAATTTCTGGAGGGCCCTTAAACTATTGATCCCAATTCTAGTCCCGTACATCCCATGTGAAGGAGCGAAACCAGATTGGCAAACGACTCGTGCTCTTCTTGCTCTCCGACAAGGCCTAACATCTTGAAGCTTAGGGTCGGGATTGTAGCTTGGGCTCGCTCCAGAGCTTGCTAGCTCCTTCAAAGCCGAACTGGAATGCATCGCAGTTCGCACTGCAGGCAGGATCCGCCAGACCGCAGGCGAAGAATCTCTTGCTGCCCGAGACCGTTTCTGATGTCTGTGCCCGCAGTTCGCAACGATGGCAATCGCCCGGTCGCAAACCTCTCGGGCAGCAGTCCCACCAGCCAGACAAGCCGGTCACCAAGACTGCCGACCTCAGAGATGAAATGCAGAGGCATGTTATTCGCCGAGCCTGGAGGCCATGCTAGCGGCGCATCGAAAACGGTGCGTCGAGATGTGAAGCCATTGCTGAAGGCCAGTGGGCACCTGCAATGCGAGAAGCACAGCAAAAAAAACATGCATGTTTTCAGGCGGCAACAAGCGGCAACATCGGAAGGAGTCCGGCTGCGCAGCCGACCGATCTCCAGTGAGAACGTTGACCGCCGTGGCCAGGCCGGCTGGGATGTGTACCTTAAACTTGCTGTGCTGTAGTTTTGTGTGTCGCGCACGCAACGGTGACTGGCAACCAAAGAGCACGAAAAGTCAAAACTTCGAGTTTTCTGTGTCAAAGTCTAAAGTTCGAATTTTTTGGTGTGTCTCGTTCAAAAAGAAGAACGCGAAAACTTCAAAAGTTTACTTTTCGAATCTTTTAAATGTCGAATTAAGTTTCGTTTCATTATGTTTCAATCAAACAAAGACGAAAACTTGAAAACTCGATTTTTCGAAAATGACATATTGGAATGTTCGAACTAACTTTTGTGTTATTGCGCTTCAACCAAACACAGGCGAAAGTTTGAATTTTCGATTTGTTGAGTTAACTTTGGCGTTATGGCGTTTCAACCCAATACAGACGAAAGCTTGATAATTCGATTCTTCGAGTTTTGAACTGTCGAGTGTTTGAATTAACTTTTGCGTTATTTCGTTTAACTAAACACAGGCGACAACCTGAAAATCCCAAATATCGAATCGACTTTTCGCATGTTGAGAACAGCCTGCGGTTTAGTCCCTATCTGCATCCGGAGCCATGTGCAAATGTGGCGTGGAGGGCTTTCGAGTTTCAGCAGTTCCCGTTTAGGGTTTAGGCGTCAGGGTGAGCTTTGGGATCAAGGCATCGGACGGCCATGAAAGGCTTAAACCAAAACGCGAAAATCCCAACGACGCGGATCTAGCGCCTAGCTACGTCGAGCGGCATTTACCTGAGGCCCACTACCTTAGAACTACATGTCGAGTCTACAGCTGGAGCCAAAACCATGCAGGTTTTTTGGGGCATGTTGGCCTGAGCGTCTAGTATCCTACACCCTCGCGCTGCGCTCCCAAGCCACAGTGTCGAAACTTCCCTCCCCTACTCCATAAAGGTGCAGAGGCAGACCAACACCCTCAGGCAATGGCTGTGAGTAAGTAGGGTTTAAGGTTTAGGAGTTAAGGGCTCAAGGCTTCCGAGTTCAGGATTTGACGGTGTACTTTTCGGGTTTTGAGGGTTGAGGGTTTGGGGCTTCAGAGTCTCGCACGTGTCGGATGGAGGGTTTACGGGTTTGGGGTTTCGCGTCGCAGCCCCCAAGCGCTCATGATGTCGCACACAAGACAAGGGGTACGATTTGTTACACGTTTCTGGAGTGTTAGCGGCTGACACCCAAAATGCTGCGTGCCCTGCGCACGGTTGAGAAGCTTCATGAGTGGCCAGAAGAAAACACATGAGTTGGATGTGGATGTCATCAAGGTTGGGCCCTGCATGGATGATCTCTGCTCGGACCGGCTTAGACCATGGACGTCATGGACGTCATCATGCTTGGGTGTGAGAGGGGGCAACAACCTAATCTAGCACTAACCCAGACCCTATGCCCAGCTTCCCCTTATCAGGGTAAAACTAAAAGCTGCGCCCCAAACCCTACGTGCCCGCCGCCTCCGTGTTGGAATGCCAGGCACCCTCAGCCCCAAGCCGGGTTTCCCCTAAAATTTGGGGACCTCGCCGAAAGCCTATGCCCGGCTTCCCTGCTCGGGAGACTTAGGCAGGTATGTCCTAAACCCGAAACGGGGGGGCTGAATCTGGGGGAAGGAGCGGCGGGGAGGTGTAGACCCTGGATTTCGCAAGCACCTGCTCGAGAACAAAGCATCAGTGGCATCGCCGCAAATAGCTGGTCCTGGAGTCCAGGAAGACCGTGCGCAGTACTAGATCGGGCAGAACATCAATCCCGGGACCTTGGTCTGAAGGATTAGTAGTGACCTATAGATCATTGTAGAGGTTAGGCGAAGTCTAGCATCTCCATGGATTTATGGGGGTGCAACGCCGAGGGGTTTTAGGCATAAGGTTCACGGTTCGAACTAGCATATACTTGAGCCGTCTTGAGCCAATGCAGGTTTGGGTCAGAATGGTCAGCAAGGGACAGAATGCATATTACGCCTTATTAGCAGGTATCTGGAGAGTGTATGGGTTTTTGGGGAAGTGGTCCTGCTTTCTTTTTGCAAGAAAGCTAAACCTGAAGCCTTGGACGAAAATTGGAGGAATTGCATATTGGAGTGTCGAAGATTCGAAAACTCGAAAGTTAGAACTTTCGAGTTTTCGAGTTTTCTAGGAACTCAGCAAAATTCCAATCTTAAATATTGAGTTTGCGAATCAAGTGAGATATTCGAAGACTTGTTCGCTAAACATTTCGAAGGTTCATGAATTTTCGAAAGTTTCGAGTCAAACAAAGGAAAAATCTAATTTTTGCAGTCGAATCAAGCGAAACCTTCGAACACTCGAATTGTCGATGTTCGAGTTTCCGATTGTGCCGAAAACTTTTCGGGGTTTCGCAAACGCATCGCGTAAGTTGCGCGACGCGCAAAGCCGCAGCTTAGTAAACTTGTGGTGCTTTGGCTGAGTTGTGGAGTCCCGTCGATAGGAGATCCAAAATCCAGAAGGAATGCAGAACATCCGCACGCGACCACGCGACCGAAAAATGAAGACAAACTCCAGGCTTTGCACGACTTCATGCAATTGCTTTCAGAAAGATGCGACCTTGTGACAGACCCTTGTGATCTCTTGTACACATGTGACGGAACATCCAGAATTTGGTTACTAGTTCTGAACTGTATTACAGCATTGTGCCTGCCGCTTCTCTATTTTGGTGGCTTGGATTGTTTGCTGCCATGTGTTCCACTTACGGATAAATTCAACAGGGCCCTCGCGAAAAGAGGCACACAAACTTAGACACCACACACGTTTTTGTCCAGTACATGGTTGTGTCAAGCTTGAGCTGTCAGTCTGAGTCTATGCTTGGAGTGCCTGGCCTGAGCGGCAGATTTGGACAGACTTGTGGGGCCGTGTCGCCGAAACTGGTGGAATCACCTCCGCAGTCAGAATCCGTTGAGCCGTCGCGACCTCTTAAAGTCCTGTCCGTTGCTTCCTTCCAGAAATTCTGCCTGCACCTTACAGAGGGCTCGTGTCATTTCAAGCAGTTTCGGCAGGACACATGAAGATATAGGAGCCCCGGTCACGAACCGCAACCCGTCTTCGCAGGTGCGGTGCCGGTGAACCGGCCACGAGTTCAAGGCCAGCTGAGTCCCACTTGGCCGCAGAAGGAGAGTTCAATTGCTATGTGCACCACTACGACACGCTTTTGCAGGTCTCTCCTCGTGGTGCCACAGGTGATTCCAGCAGGGTCGGCAGCGCCAGTGCAGGTTCAGGTGCCGGCGGATCTTGCACTGATTCTGTGATGGAGTTGGAGCCGTGTTGCGCAGTCTCGATGCCAAACACTGTGCCGGGACTCTTTGAATTCACCGCGTAGACAGAGGCAGAGGTGTGCAGGGCACGGTGCCTTCGACAGGTTCCGATTTCAATGGTGAGCCGCAGCTCCATGGGACGACACTTCCTGCACTGCTGGCTGGCTTGCCGTGGCCTTTCTGCGGAGCCAACTGTAATCTTATGGATGGAGGTACTCGAAAATGAGCTTCTCCACTGTTGCAACGGCCTATCCAAGTGCCAGGGTCCCGGAGGTGTTGCTGCTTTTGCAAGTCGCATCAACAGCGGGTTCAAGCAACACGAAGAAACTTGCGGTACACCTTCCCCAATCAGACGGGACGATGATGCTTTCGGGCCGGGCATCGCCAGGCATCTTTAGCCCGAGTAAAACTGCTATATCCGACGTCACACTTGAGCATGGTTGCACCTCCGGATCCCGAATTCGCAGATTCACGATGATTCGCGGTTGTGGTCTTCAGACTAGAGACACGGGTCGCAAAGACACGAGGCCATCACGCACCGTCACGCGCGCATGGCCAGCTTCCGAGAAAGGGTTTCTAACGAGTGGGGTCATGCGGTGAAAGGCATTTGCTCCATATCTCCTTAGGCCTCTTTGAATCGCTGGCCGGTGGCGCGCTGATGCGAGGATGCGATGCGCACAAAAGGTGGGCCACAAATGCAACCCGCTGCCGAGCACCATACGGCCAAAAATACGACCTGCCTCGAGCTTTTCGCGACGCAAAGGCTTCAAATCTCGATAGATGTGATTGCATCCCCAGCAGCGTTTTCGAGCTCAGGCGTTCGAATCATGTGTCAGTCTTAATACTGCTGGTCTGGTATAATTGTTGTGGACGTGAGTCTGTGCTCAGCAATTTTTCGCGGATTGCCATGTGCCAGAGACGGCGATTGACACCTTCAGTGCGATTCTGTACTCTGGCCTGCGCAACGTAAGTCAGGAGCTGGCGCGGCACAGGCCTCGACTTCTGCGTGGAGTTCCTGCGCCTGCGCTGTGATCTGGCGACAGGATCACTTGTGGACGCCTTCACCGGGTCTCCCGCGCTTAGGAGCACCCTTGTGCAGGTATGTATGTCCGGCGGGACAAAGCCCAAGCCTGCGTGACGAAAGCTTGGGCTTTGTCCCGGCGGACGGGATACATACCTGCACAAGGCTGCGAGCATTGCACACGGAAGCAAGAGCCAAGAGCAGTGATCAGGTGGCCGAGATGGCCTTCCGAATTCTTCAGCCGCAGCGCCACCCTGCACTCCTGCAGACGAATGTCAACGTCAAGGAATGTTCATCTTGAAGCATGTGAGGAAAGCAGAAGATGTGCAGCGCGTGCACAGTTCGCAATCGGCTGTCCGTCAGCTGCGACTTGCCCCACAGGGTCTCGCAGGATGTGATTTGCCGTGACGATGCGTACTGGTGTGATCATACACTTGAGCATTCTCTGTCAAGCAAGGTTACAGCGGGATTGACGGTTGAACAATTGAAACTCCAGTTCAGATGTTCAACCGTCAGTCCGCACCATGCGCATGCACTTGATGTGCTCGCACAAGCATGCTCCGGGACTATCCGGTGTCCACACATCTTCAGGCCACAATCTCGGCTCGGCCAGCAGCCGAAAGTGCTTCTCGGCTTGCAGCACTCTTTACTTTGTTTCGTATCTCGTTGTTTGTTCTCCTTCTTCTTTTCGTTGCTGTTATTGTTGTTATTGTGGCCTTGATGGCCCAGGCCTCTAAGTTCCAAGCTGTTTGCCTCAAGGCTCGGCGTCCCCGGTGGTTGCTTCGAGCATGGGCTCCAGAACCTCGACTCCTGCCTGGAATGCGGTGTGGCATTGGGCCAGCACAGACCTCAGCCAGGATGCTTCAAAGAAGCGATCGACAACTTTTTCGCAGCAGCTTCGGGACCCCGGCGCTGGGATAGGCCGTTGCAACTGTGGAGAAACTCGACAAAAGGGTGGGACTCCGATACAACTCGCTCTCGTGCACCCACACCCAGAGCCTGCCTCCCTCTAACAGGTGTTTTAAGTGTTTTCCTCTCTTGCTCTCTCGCTCTCTCTCTCTCTCTCTCTCTCTCTCTCGCCCTGTGTCTTTCTCAAGCGTGCTTCACTTGACATTGATTGGTAGCAGGCTGGAAGTGATTTGCGAATGGATGATTTCATGGCCGCCGTGCTCTGGAAAGCTCTTGGTGAAATCTAGGTCTTCATCTGTCCTGATGTGTCTCCTGGGATTTCAACGAAAAGGGGCCGAGCGTGCACGTATACCCGGGCAGACCTAGTCCGCTGCGTAGACAGTAAGGGGACTTCGTGCAAGAGTTCCGTTGGTGTGCCTCGATGGCTCGCGCTGGGCCAATGGTCCACCCCTCAGAGTGCAACAGACCACGCTAGTCGTTTCAATTCTTTGCTTTTGGAATCTATCGAGCTTACAGTAAGCCAGTAAGCCACCTGTGGTGCCCTTTAGCTTCCAACGTTGTAGTCGGAAACTGTTTGGTGTCACAAATTCAATCAGGAAGGCAGAAGCTTGTCTTGAGACGAGGGGTCAGTTGTGTGAAGCTGGTCGGTCACCTCAGGCGAGGCACGGCCCTGTGATGCGGCCGGAGGCACGAGGTATCGAGGAAGTGTAGCTGGCTCTTGTCTCGCATTGCAGGTTAGCCGGCCATATCCCGTTCTTCTCGGCGCAGATCGTAAGGAGAGCAACCCTGACGGGGTTGCTTGTGCCCGATGTGACGTGCAATAGACATGCGCGTTCCTGCATAGCGGCAGCGGAACCCGGTAAGGCAGGCTTCGTTACTTCGCTTGAGGGTCACTGACTTGTGCCCGCACCATCTGGTTGCTGACCCCAACGCTGACGCTTTCACGAGTCGAAAGGAGGCGAAGGTCGGCGATTGCTGGTTCTACCGCTGCATGGAAGACAAAAATGGAGGGGAACAGCCAATTCAAAGCCTGCTCGAGACCAAGGTGAATTGGGCCCAGTCACAACAGGAGATTGGTGAAGTAAGTCCAACGAAGCGGGCGACCAAGCAAAGAAGGAACGAACAAAGCAACTAGTAGTTCGGCGTACTTCACTCGAGCTGACGGCAATGGAGAAAGACAGGGAAAAGGAAAAGCCAAACAAATACCACGCCCGTGCAAAGGACTGGGGCTAGGGGCTGTTTGTGCAGGGCGTCCGGCGCCGCGGATGCGCGCGCTCATTTGGCCAAGTCAGCAGCTGATAGACTAATAAAAGACTCCATCTGAGTGTTTCCAAGGGAGCCGTCATGCGTCCTTGTTAACTATCAAGATGTAAGCTGATATGTCCTTTTCATGCAGGAGAGGGTCACACCCCAGTTGGGCCCTGAGCAGACTCCTGCTTCTGTTGGTTGCGTGGGCTGCAGTTTGTGGTCTAAGCCTAAGCTGTCCGCGGAGGAATTCGAGGAAGCAGCATGGTCGCCGCTCGGACCTCACTTCCTTTGTGTTTTGAGCGAGCTTGCGTGGAGCCGACCGAGGTTCTGACTTAAAGGAGGTGTCTGAGTTTTGTCAGAAGCACTCAGTGGATCCCGCCAAGAGCCCAGATGTGCTGCCTGTTGCGTGAAAGAGTCCTTTCTGTGGAAGCAGCACGCAGGCAAGTGGAAGGTTGCGCCGCCGCAATGAAACAGGAGCGGATGCAGAGTAGCAAAGTTTGATCCAGGGCATTTCCACACAGCGAAGTGCTGCATCCCCCCGAGTCCCAGTCGAATCATGATCAAACTGGTACGACGCGGAAGCTAGATGCGCTGAGGAGGCCGTAGCACCGTCCCAGACTCTGCCCAAAATGGGGAGATCACCGTGCAACTTGTGGCGTTGAGCTCAATGCACGATGTGATCTGCCGTAACGCTGCCTACCGGTGTGATCATCCGCTTGAGCATTCTGGCCAGACGGTTGAAGTCGAGTACGAGCCGGATGAGGACCAGAGGCAGGAACTGCTGCTTGAGTAGGGGGGAGGGCCTGGCCATGGGCCGAAACAACAACTCTGTCAGGAAATTCAGAGAGTTGATCGACAATTGGCCGGGGGCCGAGTTACTTGTGCCATTTGATTGAAGCTTTGAGCGTTGTCATTGTTCCTTCAGAGCTACTCCAACTTCTTTCAAGGACCCCCCCGGAGGCTTTCCCGTTGCCCATCCAGCCGGTGGGCCCGACTTTAAGGCAGCGTGAGCTCAAGAGACCATGTCGTTCGACGTAGCATGGAAGCAAGCTTTGCTGTGGCATGGTGCTGCAGACGGTGTGGAATTTTTTCCAAGCACTAACTGATTTATCATGTCTGTGCTAGACTGCAGATGTTTCAATTTTGAAATGCGGTGGGGAAGGGAGGATGCGACGTCTGACGCCTGAGGGCCACTGGGATCGTAGTCAACAAGCCCATATCCAGTATACATTGATTTCCCAGAGCATGTGTAGTGTGGGGAGGGTGTGAAGGTGTGAAGGTGCAGGTCCGCAAGATTTGTGAGTTGTCCATCTAAACAGGTGTTGCTGTTCCGGGCTCGGTCGGATCATGTCAAAGGACCACTATAGCCATCCTGCGCCACCAGAGCCCCCCCAAGCCTAATAGCCAAGATGGGTCTGGGAGTGCTGCGATGGGGACGTACGGGCGTCAAAGGAGGTTTGGGGAGGGGGGTGGGGCCCCGCGACTCACTGCTCGCGCGCAGGGCCATTCCTGAAGGCAGGGACCGGTGTGATGTACTTGTGCTTTGACTTGACTCGGGTTCGGCCTTTTTGCCGTGAGGCTCAGACGAAGCGATCGAGGAGCCCTTCATGATGCAGTCCTACGATATCTTCGTTTACTGTGGCTCGGATGCAGTTGTTTATGGCTGACGTTGGTGATCCTTGACTCTTGCTCTAGCCTGTGACTCGTGCTGTGGGGATGCCTCGGTCCCCACAGGCTTTGATTCGCCAGATCTGAATTACGACGATCACTTCAGCATGCCGCTCGACGGTTTGCACGGCAATCTCTGGCCCTAGGGTAGGAGCTTTGCACCTGAGCACAGGGCGATTCCGAATCCGTGGCGACTCCAGTTCTGGAGACGAGGTTGCCGGCCAAGCTTTGTGCGTGGGATGTCAAAGGGGTCAGCCGAAACGTCAGGCAAAAACGAAGCAGTGGCGCTCCGTGGCCTCCATGATCATCCTGTGATCAGCGGCTATATCTTGGAGGACCACACACGGCCTTCAAGGACTGAAGCACCTGTGCTCGGCGAATCATTGGTTTGGAGTCCGTCTCTGCTACAGTGAATGTTCAGTATTGGCTGCAGCCAAGGCTTTTTGTAGAAATCTTTGTGGGCATTGCTGAGGCGCTGCTTCTCTGCTGTTGTGGTTGCGCTTGCAAATGCGTTGGCCGCCGTCGTCGTCGTAGCAGTAGGATTAGAGTAGAGGTAGAAGTACTATAGTAGTAGCAGTAGTAGTAGTAGTAGCAGCAGCAGCAGTAGTAGTAGTAGTAGTAGTAGTAGTAGTACGACGACGACTACTGCTACTACTACTGGAACTGGACCTGGAACTGGAAGTGGTAGTAGAAGGTAGAAGTAGAACTAGGAATAGAAGTAGAAGTAGAGGTGGCGGTAGTAGTAGTAGCAGCAGCAGTAGCAGCAGTAAGTAGCAGTAGAGCATGAGCAGGCCCTAGAGCAGGAGCAAGATCCCCCTCAACGTGACAGTAGACATAGAAAAGCACACCCCCTAATACTAAAAGCACTTAGAAGTTGTTATTGGGAGGCGGGCCACACATTTAAAATAAGGGTGATGGGATTAGCAGTAGCAATAGTAGCAGTGGTAGTGATAGTGCTGCTAGTAGTCGCAATCGCAGTCGCAGTAGCAGCAGCAGCAGCAGCAGGAGCAGGAGGAGCAGGAGCAGGATCAGTAAAAGTACATAGCAGTAGCAGTTGTCATTACGCTGGCTGTTGCTGTTGCTTGGGCTGTTATTGCAGCAGTAGTAGCAGTACTTAGTAGTAGTAGCAGCAGCAGGAGCTTCCAAGATGGTTTTCGTTTGTTGTGTAGCACACTTGTGTGCGCAGTAACAACCGTGAACGGCGTAGCTGCCTACAGCACTCTGGCTCGACGCGACCTTTCGCCTAAAGCTTTTCTGCTAGCTCCTCTTGTGCCTTCGGCGGTCATGGCTCTTCATCCGACGATCGCTGCTCAGATGATGGCCGACGCCCTGGCGGCGGCTCGGCGCACCGGCTGGGTCCCGGTCATCGGCCTCCTGACGACGGACCAGATGACGGACCTCATCGACGCCGGGCACGCGGCGAGTCAGCTGATGGTGGGCCTGGTCCAAGGCACGACGACGGAGGAGGCGGCGGAGGTCGCGACGATGACAGCGGGTGGCACCGGCGGCACTGGGAGCATGCCCTTCGTGCCGACGCCCATTCCTGAGGGCGACGAAGATGGTGACGACTATAAGGGTTTACGAAAACCGTTTCGGCATGGACTTGTGGCAGGAAAGCCCACCCAGACCTCTTTTTCATTCAATCCACACCCCACCCCCGCCCACTAGTAAACCCCACCACCCATCCCAACGAACCACCCACCGAACCGCCCCAACCCACCACCCACGGGCTCAAACGGCTCAAACAGGACGTGTCAGTCGTGCGTGTGCAATCAAAAACATCCTTACAACCCTTAGACCCTAACCCCTAAACCCGAAATCCTAATCTTGAAAGCGAACTGAAAGTTGTTTGCTGTGGAACTCGAAAGCATCCTTTCTAGCTTTTTACGGCGTAGAGTTTTCACATGCTGTTGTAATTATTGTGAAAGAACGGCCACGTGTGCGCGATCCAAGGCCTGCAGATCAGCAGATTCCCAGTGGGTGGGTGGGTGGGTGGGAGGAAGGGGTGTGGAGGTTTTTTTTGGGGTGGTGGTGCCTAATTACAGCGCTTTGTTCAGTGTGTCGCCATGAATAATTGCTATGTTGTGTGAACAAAAGTGTTCTCCCTTAACATGTGTCCCTTGTGGGATCCGCCGTGAGTCCCGCCCCACATCAAACGATCACCTCGCAACCCCGTGCCCCGAGGCCACTGCCTATCAGCGCCCCCTGTCAAGGACACCCCAACCCACCCCAAAACTCCTTAAAATGAGCCCCGCCGCCTGGGGTGATCATTTGATTTTGGAGCCCCAAACTCCCTCATAACCGCCTGCTCCAAACACCTGCCTGTCAGTGTCGCCGGGTCAAGGCCAAACTCCCCAACCCGCCCCAAACCGCCTTAAAAAAAGCAACAAGCCACCCCAAATCAAACCATCACCAAGACACTGGGGTGATCATTTGGTTTTGGAGCTCCAAACCCCTAAATCCCCTGCTCCGAGGCCACTGCCTATCAGATGTCTCGCTAAATGTGCCGTTTCAGGCAGATTGGTGGGTAGCTGCGTTTTTTAACGCGCCTCAGGCATCATGAGGCTTGGGGGAGCTGTTTGGTGCTGTCTGTGGGGTTTGCTCGACCTGCTCGACCGTGCTCGACCCTCTGCTCGACCCTGGGCTCGACCGGCTCGACCCTGCTCGACCCTCTGCTCGACCCTGGGCTCGACCTGCTCGACCCTGCTCGACCATTTGCTCGACGCATTTCGGTGCGCATCTTGTCTCTGTGCGTTTTTGGTGGGTTTTGCAGGCATCATGGGCATCGTTCCGTTCTTTTCCCTCCATTTCTGGGCATTCGGGCATGAATCACTCCGCTGGCGATGATTTTGGAGCTGTTTTGTCTTCCTTCAAGCCAAACACTCCCCGTTTGGCAGAATCCAATCCAAATCAGCTTTGTGTGACCATTTGCTCGTCGACTGCCAGACTTTTCGGGGTGTGTCTTGTCTCTGTGCGTTTTTGGTAAGCTTTGCAAGCATCATGGACATCGTTCAGTTCTCTTTTCCTTTCATTTCTGACGGGCATTCGGACATCATTCCACTAACAATGGTTTTGGAGCTATTTTGTATTCCTTTTTGTATTCCTTTCAAGCCAAACACGCTCCGTTTGGCAAATTCCATCCAAATCAGCTTTGTGTCCCATCGTTTCCGGATGAGTTTCACGAATTTTCTCATAACGACGAATTGGTAACCTTGAGTTGTCTGTGCATGCAAAAACTGAAACCCCAGAGTCCCTAACCCTAATTAACCCTAGCGCCAAGGCTCAAACAATGCCTCAAGATTTGGCCCAAGGTTCCGCGCGAGAAAACCTGGCCCTGGTGCCATGTGTGGCCCCCTAAACGCACGTACTACTAGGGCCATTTTTGACCCACATGGGCTAGATCACGGCTCTGAGGGCCAAGGTCCTGGGTGGAGTGTGGGTGACAAGCCCAGAACCAGGGGGAAGCTGTGCTCAAACTCAGAAGCTCCATCATAGCAGCTTCAATCCAACGCTTTTGCAGTCTGCCCCCATGTTTCAACACAACGTGCAGCCATGTTTCCGCCTGGCTTCGACTAGACCTCCTGTGTCTCACCATGTGTGTGCATTTGCGGTACCGCAGTGTCGCTTGATGCACGACCCCCTCTGCCAATCGGTTTTCGTAAACCCTTGTAGTGACGACGTGGTGCTGGAACAGCCGGTTCTGATCGGGACGGCGGAGGTTGGGTCCCCGCCCGTTGGTCCTTCCACGGCGGCGGCGCCGCACCGACGCCCTCAGGCAGATCGACGCCGGCCATTGTGAAGGCGACGCCTCCTGGGGAGCTGGCCCCATTGCCATCGGCGCCACCTTCTGTGCCAGCATCAGGGACGACGACACCAGCGCGGGCTGATTATTTCATCGACGCCGCCACCAAGGCCAAGGCGACGTCCTTGTTGGCGTCCCGGGCCGACACATGGCAGGTGGCGGCGCTCACTTCAATGCCCTCCTCTGGGACGACGACACCCGCACAGTCGGGGCGGCGAGGCCCGCCCAACGCCAGGGAGATTGTCGCGGCGTTGAATGTTCAGGCGACGCAGTCTCGCCCTGACTCATCTTCGACGTCAGCCGGGCGACGTCCCTTCTTTACTGGCCTCGACGCCATGGAAGAGGCTTCGGCGGCGGCCTCAGGAGCGGCGTCTCCCACTGGCAGCGCCCGCCACAAAGCCCCTCCGACGCCGTTGGTGCCTCCCACGGCGTTGGTCATTGATCCCAACAGGGGCGGCGGCGCCGAGGCGGCGCCCATACACCCGGGTCTGGGGATCGCTGCGACGGTCACCGTGGCGGCGGAGAACATGGAGACGACGGAGCCGGTGGTCTACCCGCCGACGCCCAACCCCTTCGACGACCCGCCCATGAGCACCTCGGCGAGCCACTCAACAGCCGCAGCCTCCGCGGCGGACAGGCCCCTCCCACAGACCTCGACGACGACCAGGCAGGGCCCAGAGGCGGCATCGTCCTCGGCGAGCTCATGGATCAATGAGGCCTCGGCGTCGGCGGGCCGTGGCCCCCGCTACGGGTGCGGCCCCCGCCCAGGCCGACTGGGGCGACGTCCCCTGGGAGAACCCTCTCGACGCCCAGGCCATGGCCAGGATCGCGGCGGCGGCGAGCAATGAGGAGTTCCCATACATCCGCCAGCCGCCTGCCGACGCCAGCCGACGACGGTCCTCAGTGCCGACGCAGGCCATGCGGGCAGAGAGGCGGCGCAGAGAGGCATCGGCCCATGAGCGACGCCAGTATGAGGCATACGATCCGCGGCGGTGGGGCAGCACCCCGTGGACGGCGGAGGAGGTGGGCCACATCTCTCCGGCGTACTTCGAGTACAAACGCCAGATGGAGAGGGCCGGCGCGTCAGCCGAGGACACGGCGGTGCCACCACACCTTCGGCGCTTCGCCTACACTGGCCTCGGCGAGCTCAGGGCGATGGAGGCCAGCGGCGCCCTGCCCAGGCCCGTGACGCCACGGCGTGGCGAAGACCCGCCAGAGGCGGATTACCCCTTCCTCCGACGCTTGCCCACCGGCGTGGTCGGCGCCAGAATCACGGTGCGGCACAGCAAGGAGGAGCGGCGGATTGTTGGCTGGTGCGCGCACCCGTGCACGGTGCCACACCGCGACGCCGTGTGCGGCGGAGAAGGTCGCTGCCTCCGACCTATCGCCCTCGGCGCGGCCGGCTCACACGGCTCATCCGGGAGCCACAAATGCAGGGCCTGCGAGCCCAAGGGCGGCGCTGAGAAGCCACCCCGACGCTGGGCAGCTTGGATTCGACGGGGTTTTTCTTTGGATCCGGCGTTGGCCGGGATCGACGACACCCTGACGACAGAGCTCCCGGCGGAGATCCACCAGAGTTTTTCTTGCGGCGTTCGACGAAGCTCGACGCCTGCCACAGACCATGCCTGGAGCTGCGCCCCGGCGCCAAAAAGAGTGATTGCATCGGAATGCGGCGGTCGTCGAGTGCCTGCACCTCTCTCTCTCTTCTCGGTTGCCCGGCGCTTGACCCTAACCCGCAGCCGTTTTGCCCAAACGCTGTCGCCAGCCCGGCGCTCAATTAGGATCTCGGCTCGATGGCTCAAGCCTCCGCGGCGGACCCCGCTCCAGGCACCTTCGCCTTCGCCGCCTTCCTAGCTGAGGTGGCGGCGGCCGGCGGCGGGGCGCACATGTCATGCTTTGCGGCCTTGGGGGTCACATCTCGGTCGGGCCGGCATTGGTAGCCGCCGGCGTCCCCGAGCAGGTCGTACTCACACTGGCCACGGCGACCCCACCCGGGCCAGCCAGGAGACCGACGTCGGCCATGGTACCACATCGGGCGGACATCCCGTACCGACGCCCCGCGCAGAGGGCCTCACTGCAGGCGGCGCTGGGGGCGGCCGACCCGCAGAACACCCAGAGGGCCATCGACGAGCTGGAGTCGGCGGTGTTCGCCTCCACCACGCGGCGGTCGGTGGACTCCCGCATCAGGTTTTGGCTCAAGATAGCAGAGCGTCACGGCGTGGAGCCCTGGCCCCTCGACCACTACCGGATCAAGCTGCTGGCGGCGTGCCTCAAGGACGGCGGCTACAAGTCGGCGCAGCTCTACCTCGACGCCGCCATCTATCACCACGAGCACGTCCTTCAACTCGACGTGCCACCGGCCCTGAAGAAAGCAGCCCGACGCTTCGCCCGAGCGGCGGTCCGGGGCATGCCGGGATCGAAGCTGAAGCAGGCCTTCGACCTCGGCGTCCTGTCGACCTTGGTCAGATTCCAAGCGGCGCCTGAGCCCCTGGACTGCCGACGGCCGCACCATGCTGTCGACGTGGTGATCATAGCATGCTGGTTCATGCTCAGGGAGGTTGAGATCGCCGGCGCCCGGGTACAGGACCTCACACTGTCCTCGGCGACCTTCGGCGGCGGCATCACCCTGGACCTGCCTCTGCATAAGACGGCGCAGAGAGGACAGACCGAGCTGACACGGCGATCCCTCCGCTGCGTCTGCACGGCGGTGATCCACCCACTGTGCCCGGCGTGTGCCGCGAGGAGACATGTGGCCAGGCTCCACGCCGACGGGGCCAAGGCACCCAGCTCGGCGCTTTTCCCCACCTCGACCACGGAGCCCCGGACGAAGGCGGCGTCCATCGAGATGTTCCTCCTGGTCCTGGCGGCGTGCGGAGTGGAGACACACATGGATCACCCCGACGGCCGGCGGGTGCCCATCTTCGGGGGCCACGCCGCGAGGGTGTCCGGCGCCACCTTTCTGGCGGCACGGGGCGTGGCTATCGCCATCATCCAGCTGCTCGGCCGATGGGCCAGCGCGGCGGTCGAACGGTACACCCAGTCGGCGCCCCTGACCTATGCAGCGGCGGCCATACCGGCACAAGCCCTGGCCACTCGGCCGGCAGAGGCAGCCGGCAGCACGGCGGCGAGCTCATCGCACAGCCCCTTGGCCCTGCCGGCACCAGACGACGACGACGACGCGGAGAGGCCGACAGCAGCCAGCCCGACGAGGTCCCCCGACGCTATGCCGGAGGTTGACTTCGTGCCGGCGCCACTTAGACCGGCGGCCGTGGCACAGGTGGTCGGTGAGAACGCGACGAGGTTCATCATGAACGCCCGTTCCAAGATAGTGCATCTCCCCGGCGCCGACGAGACGGCGACCGAGAAGCACGAATGGACGGCGAAGTGCGGGTGGCCATACGGCATTCGCCAGTTCTTCCGGCTGTCGGCGGAACCGCCCGACCCCCGGCGTTGCCAGAGGTGTTTCCCTGTGGTGGCGCTCGACGCGGCCACGGAGGTAGGGTCTTCCGACGGAAGCTCCTCATCCTCGTCCGAGGGGTCGACGTCTGATAGCGACTGAGCTGCGACGGGGTTTAAATGCTGCCCCCTTTTCTCTCGTATTCGACAGTCGGCGGCTGAGCTCGCGCTTAGCACACCTACCGACGCAGTGTTTTTAGGATCTTTTAGGCTTCCTTACCCGACGCCCCCTCCTTCCTTTGCTATGGCTGGTGCACCGGCGGCTGCCTTCCCTACGGTGGCGGCGGCCATGGCTTCCCTGGACGACCTCATCGTCTCTGCCGGTGCGGCGCCAGCGATTCGGAACTATATCGCGGCGAGGGGGATCTCTTCTACACCGACGCTCGCACTTGTGGCCGAGGACACGACGAACTTTGTGGCGAAGTTCGTCCAACCCTTCCTGTCCGGCGTGACTTTGGCCGGCACGGACCACAAGGCGGCGCCTGGCAGCGAAGACGTGACGCAGGCAGTCCTGGTCCACCTCTTTACGGAGGCCCAGCGTCAATGGAAGGCTGCCACGGCGCTGCCGATCGCAGTCCCGACGCCTCCGCCTGCAGCCGCGCCTGCGGCGGGGCTCGCTCCAACAGCCACCTCGGCAGCCGACGAGCGCCCCCCAAAGCACTTCGCCCAATGGTCGGCGCAGGTCAATGCCTACGAGGCCAAGACCATCGACGGGGTGAAACGCCGCTTTCCAGCGGCGCGCCTCCTCGGCGCCGAGGAGGTGCTGGCCAGGCTGTGACCAAGGACTACAAGCCCTTGGGCCTCGGCGAGATTGTCTCCCGACGCACTTGGACGTCGGGGATGGACCTGAACACTATCTCGGCGAACAAGTCGACGGGCTCAGGCAAGGCCCTCCGGCTCGTCGACGGCGCCCTGGTTCGCGACAGGCGACGATCCCGGCGGTCCACTCATTCTGGGCCGACTCCATGTGGAAGCTATGCGCCGACATGCGGCGCGGCCTCACCTTCGGCGCGGCCACCAATGCGATCATGGACGACGCGGCCTCCTGGAACGAGCACGTCATCGCCCACTCCGCGGCGGCTGCCATGAAGAAGCAGGTCCAGATCACCAAGGAAACCGGCGGGCCCAACTCGACGGTGACCGAGACACACCAGGAGATCGACGACCAGCCCACCAAGGGGAAAGGACGGCGATGGCCGCGACGACGAACCAAAAAGACAGAGCAGCCCAAGGGGCTCGGCCGCGGCGGCGGCCAGCAGACGCCGTACTTCCCCCACCAAGGAGGGGGCGGCGGCCGCGACGACAGCCAGGGATGGCAGCAGCAAGGCGGCCGAGGCGGCGCACAGACCTGGAACACCTGGGGCGGCGCCAAGCGCAGCCAGCAGTGGGATGAGTCCCAACAGCACGGCGGTTGGAAACAATCCGGCTCCCAGGGCTCCACCGGCGGCGCCGGAGGATGGAAGAAACAGCGCTAGGGACAGCACGGCCGCCGGATCGGAGGGTGGGGTACCCGACCCGGCGCAGAAGCGCCCCCGCCTCCAGCACCGACGCCCGGCGGGCTCCGAAGTCATCTTGCTCTCCTTGTTCGACGGTGTCGGCGCGGCGCCTTGGCTGGTGTGGGATCTGGTCGGACAGCCGGCGGCCATCCTGTCTTGGGAACTGGACCGCACGGCCACGGCGGTGGCCGATCACCAGGTACCGGGCATACGACACCGCGGCGACCTCTGCCAGGACGACCCGGCGAAGGTCGCGGAGCTCATCGAGCAGACCCCGGCGGCGACTGTGATGTCATCGCGGCGGCCGCCCCACCATGCCAAGACTTTTCCAGGGTAGCCGACGGCCAGGGCCACGACGGCGCTCGGGGCGGCCTGTTCCTACAGTCAGTCGAGTTCGTGCTCGAGGTGCGGCGGCTGGTGGCTCCGCGGCGCTTCGGTTACCTCTTCGAGAATGTCGAGATGTCCACGGCGGATGCCAAGCAGATCTCGGCGGCTCTGGGGACACAGCCCGTGCTGGCCGACGCGGCAGACTTCGGATGGATAGGGCGGCCCCGCCTCTGGTGGCTTTCGGCGGACTGGGGCCAGGTCAGGCTGGACCCCGGGACCGGCGAACCACTTCAATGGGCGCGGAAAGGCCCCTGGGACCGCCTCAGGCTCGAGGAGGCCCGGCGAGCGGCCGACACCATGACACTCGACGGCCTCACCTTCGACGACAGTGTGCTCTCCGGCAGAAGGCGCCTCCCTTGCGCCACGACGCCCGCAACCGACGAGAACGGTCGGGCGGCGCCCAGAGGTTGCAGGGGGAAGATACCAGCCGACGCACAGCAGCGTTGGCTCGCAGACCGGCGGCAGTTCGCTCCATGGCATTACCTTCGCGAAGCCATGATGGTCGGCGCCGACGGGAAGCTCCACGTGATCCCGCCCAAGGTGAAGGAGCAGCTTCACCACCTGCCGGCGGATTACACCCTCCAGGCCGGCGACAGCACCCTCGACGACCGGACCCGCCACCGCCTACTCGGCAATGGGTGGCACTGGGGGGTGGCACGGCGCCTGCTGCTGATCCTCTTGGTGGCCACCAACATGGGAACGGCGACCTCCCAACCGACGGGACCGCCCCGCCAGTCGACCATCTCTTGGGTGGCGGCGCTGTGGAGCCACGGCGGCCCGATCATGGGCCCGGCACCCGAGCAGCCGACGGGACCCGACGCATTGGAACACCTCGACGAGGACTCCCACTGGAGAGCTTCGGCGCTGCTGCCGCACCCGCTCCAGACAGACCCGGTCCTGGAACCGGCGTGGGCGGAAGGGATCACACTGCGCCGGCGCTGGAGACACGACCTGGCACGCATTCGGCGTGAGGTGCTCGACGAGGTGCGGCAGCTCATCGAGGACTTCACCGATGAGACGGCGGCGTGGATGGCAGCACGCACACCAGCGGTCCGGGCGACCTACTCGACGCCGGACAAACCGGCGAACGCCTCAACTACCCCGACGTGGCGAACCTTGAGAAGGACCTCACCGACGGCTTCGACATGATCGGCGCCATCCGCCCAGGCCCAGGCTGGAGGAAGAGGACCGACGACCGCTACAGGTTCCCGGCGTCCATGGAGTCCCTGCGCCAGGTGAATGCCGACTATGTGCGGCGCAAGGTGGCAGCGCCACACACCGGCGAGCACACCGACACCCTGCTGAAGGAGCTTGTCGACGAAGTCCGCCTATAGGGCGGGTCATCGGCCCGGCGCGCCCACCGACGTGGCTCAAGGTCAAGGCTGTGGCACTCCCCTGGGTCGACGCCGCGGCGGTCCTTGTCGAGCCACCACCCGGCGAGGCATTCCTCGCGGCCTCCTTTGCCATCATCCAGCTCGACGAGAATGGTGATCCCAAGATCCGCCGGGGAGAGGACTGGCGGCGCTCAGGTCACAACTCGACCATCAGCGCCGACGACGTCCCGACACACCACTTCATCGGCGCCTTCGTCGAGCTCGCCCGCAGCATGGCGGTCGACGGCGTGATTCTGGTGTTCGGGCACGACCTGCTCAGCGCCTACAGGCAGTGGCCTGTCAAGCACCCGGCGCAGTGCGGGACCTTCTTGGCCACGGCGGAAGGCTGGACCTTCTGGTACCACCTGGCCATGAACTTCGGTGCCACCGCCTCGGTTTGGAACTTTAACCGCGGCGGGGATGCCCTCCAGCAACTGCTGCGAGGGCTCCTGCTGCTGGCGACGGGGCACTACGTGGATGACTTTAACGGCCTGGAGTTTGAGGAGCTCGGCGAATCGGCGACCGAGTCCTTCAAGGAGCTCTTCGCGGCGCTGGGCTTCCGCATCAAGGCCTCCAAGTCCCAACCGGCGGCGGCCCAGCACGTGGTTCAAGGCGTCACCTTCACCATCTCTCGACGAGGGGTCACGATCAGCCCCACTCCCGAGAGAGTGCGACGCATCTTGGCACAGATTCGCAAGGCGCTCGACGAGGACCAGCTCAAACCCGACGATGCGCAGAAGCTCGCGGGTAGGCTCTCCTTCCTCACACAGGCGGTCTTCGGCGGCGTTGGCAAGGCATCCACCAAGGCGATCTACGCTCGTGCGGCGGATACGTCGGCACACTCTGCCGACGGCCTGAACACGGGGTTACGGGCGGCGCTGCTGTCTCTGGAGCACATCCTGCCGACGGTCCGCCCTCGCTTCATACCTTTTGCCACCGACGAGCTGGACACTGCTGTGCTCTATGCCGACGCCTTCTTCCTGGACGGCGAGCGGATCCACAAGGCGGGGCATGTGCCAGTGTCGGCGGACGCCTCCAGGCCCAACCGTGCCAACAACGGCTGGGGGTTCGTCTTGCGCCTCGGCGGCACTGTCTTCTACGACCACGGCGTCGTCCCGCAGTGGTTCCTGCAGAAGTTCCAGGCGCGGCGGGCATTTATCTACATGCTCGAGATCTTCGCGCAGGTGGTCGCGATCACGGCGTTCTCCGCCCACATGCCCGGCGCCATCACAGCCTTCATCGACAACTCTGCGGGACAGGCGGCGTTGTCTAAGGGCTATGGAAAGGACCCGGCGGTGAACGGGCTGCTGGCAGCCTTCTGGGCCCTGGCGGCGAGGAAAGGAACCCTGATCCAGTTCCGGCGGGTACCGTCGAAAGCCAATGTGGCCGACGCAGTTTCCCGCGACGACTTCTCCAGGGCACGACGCGAGGGGTGGACAAGGGTCCACACCCCGGCGTCGACGATCATGAACATCCTGGCGAAAGCGGTCGACGACATCGTCTATGCAGTGGACGCGGCGGCGGCCGATTTGGACTCCTGCTCTACCTCCTGGTTCTCTGAGCCGGCGCGTTGTGGGGCAGGGTGCGCCGGACGGTGCTGAAATGCGCACCCGGCGCCGGCTGTAGGACTTGAACCTGCACGCCGAGCGGCGCTTTCAGCGCTACGCATCCACACGACGAAAAGAGAGTCGTCCAGTTTGGCGTCAGAGCTAAGAGTGCGACGGTTGTTGTGTAGCACACTTGTGTGCGCAGTAACAACCGTGAACGGCGTAGCTGCCTACAGCACTCTGGCTCGACGCGACCTTTCGCCTAAAGCTTTTCTCCCACCCACGCCACCCTTTATGGGTTCGGCGGCGGTCAGTCCGCAGCGGGCCGGTGCTGAAATGCGCACCCGGCACCGGCTGTAGGACTTGAACCTGCACGCCGAGCGGCGCTTTCAGCGCTACGCATCCACACGACGAAAAGAGAGTCGTCCAGTTTGGCGTCAGAGCTAAGAGTGCGACGGTTGTTCGGGGTGTGCGTCGTAATGAGTACCCCTTCGCAAGTTTGCATTGGTGGGCGATGCGTGCCTCTGCAGCTGCCTGCTGCTCTGGGCTTTGCTGTTCGTGATGTCGACAGCAGCCTGCGAGGAGCTGCGAAGAGTGGCTAAAATATCGCTACCCTGTTCAAGGCGGCGAGTGTGCTGTCTGCAGTCAGCTGCATAACTAGATGGCAGCCGGCATGGTTGCCTCCGGACCTGTGGAATGCCCTGGAGCACCGAGTCTTCTCAGCAGGGTGCTGCCGCTGGGGTGCTATTGCGATGCAGGTTTCTGCAGCATGGACGCGCAGTTTGTCGTGACGCACTCCGTGGACACGACCGCCATATGGCGGTTGGATCGACTGTGGCAGGCCAGCTGTGGGAGCGCTTGTTGTAGCATCTTTCGATCATGGCATAGGCAGTTTTCTTGGATTTTCTTGGCAGGTTGCAGAAACTGCTGCCTTGGGCCACAAGAAGGAACCTCCGACACAGCCTTGCAGGGCCATGCCATGCGTGCGATTCTTTGTCCTCGCTCTTGTTCTGACCGTTTTCTCGATAGAAGTGCTAGCTAGTGCAGGATCCAAGAAAGCTCATCGATCGCATGGAGACGATGGAGAACAAGTCGCGGCTATCGGACGGCTACTTGGGAACTGTGCATGTTATGCACAGCATGCCTCAGGAGGAACATGCCCCGATGTGCACAGACTTCTGCAGGAGTGCAGGGCCGAGCTGTGGCTGAAGAACTCGGAAGGCCATCTCGGTCACCTGATCACTGCTCTTGGCTCATGCTTCGGTGTGCAGTGCTCGCAACCGTGTGCAGGTATGTATCCTGTCCGCCGGGACAAAGCCCAAGCTTTTGTCGCGACGGTGGGTGAGTACCTTCCAGGTCAGGGTAGCGGAAAGTGAGATCTAGTGCATGAAGCACGAAACGTGGACCCAAAATTTGCCCAAAATGACACTTAGGTCGCTGCGCCTGCCTCAATGCACAGAAGAATGTCTAAACAACGGCTTATTATGGCTTATTCCTGATCCACCTGCTGTGCTGCTCCCATGTTTGGCATTGAAAGCCAGCTGAGAGGTTTGATTTTGTTCTGTCAGTACGTCTACACTTCCTAGGTCGCACGAGGCAATTTCGACTTTCCAATCAACTTCCGATTGCCGTGCCCCCTTCTCTAACTCTCTCTTCTCTCTCTCTCTCTCTCTCTCTCTCTCTCTCTCGCTCTCTCTCTTCTCTGTTGCGAGCAGGAGTGCAGATCCTGCTCCATATCGCAATATCTCACAATTGCAATTGCATAGGTCACCTCACAGTCTAAGCAAGACATGCAACAGCCAACATATCCAACTTGAGAGCAACAGGTACATTCCATCAGAATTGTGCGCGTTTGCTCTCGCTGCAGGACGGCGAAGCCCCGAATACCGTCCTGACGATCGCAACGGCGGCGTTGTCCTAAAGATGGACAGCAGTGGGTTGTTGATTCTCACCGTCGCACGTGGTCCCGAAGTCCGCGGCTCAGTGTTCGGGTAGCGGGTGCTATGCCCTTAGGAGGGCTGCATTCGGCAGACAGGCCGAAGGTCAGCTGGACATGTGACAAAAATGTTGTTTAGATACAAGACGCTGAGCTTAGCGGGACATGCAGAGTCAATACGTCCCAAACGGTCTCGGACAGTTGTCCTTGTCTGTCAGCCCTGTGGACATGTTCCCAGCTGCTTGACGCATAGTCCGGCGACTTTCTTTACAAAGCACGAGAATCGAGAATGGTAAGTCGGGGACATGTTGAACCGGTATTCTCGGTGCAGATTCGGGTGGTTTTCTTCTCTGCGGAAAGCTGGTAAGCGGCTGACGTATCGTGTCTCCGCTCGTGGTGCAAATCGCCTGTCGGGTAAAGTGATCCACATCCCGGCAGGTTTTTACGATGCAAAAGGCTTGCGGCTATGCATTTCAATAACATCCGTTGCGTCTCAATCAGCGTTCTAGAATTGCGGAGCTCAACTTGTCGAATCATGAGCTGGCACTGTACCACATGGAAAGCTGCGCATGAAGCTAAGCTCAGATTGACGTGTACGCGATCTTGCCTCACACCTTGGACGTGGTGCCAGTGACGGTGGACGATACGTTCAGTGCGATTCTTGGCTCGTGCGTGCGCAACTTACTTCAGAAGCCGGAGCATGGGCGCAGCAGAGGCCTCGACTCCTCCCTGGAACTGGTGTTCCCGGAGGACCCGGCGTCGAGCATTCCCGATTCCCAGGCTGTTTTCGGCCCTTGCGCCGGTCAGGTCGGCGGCCGCTTCCGAGGACTTCGGGCACGACTGGAGCAGCCGGATAGCACCACAACGCGGGCGACTCAGGCTGTCATGCGGGGTTCAGAAGTGTCCCATGCAGTGTCGTTTTCGTCGTCGGCAGCAGCATCTTTGCTTGGCTGGTGGTGGCGATAGCGTGCTTGCAATCGTGATGATGCTTTGCGTCGAAGTTGATGTTGTTGATGTGCTTTCGCACTTCTCGAGGTCTTACAGCGGGAACGATGTGCAGGAAAACAAAGATTCCCCGTTCGGTGCCCAAACCGCGGCCAGGCATGCCGACCACCGTTATCAGAGCCTCTTACGACCGTGCAGTTGGTGTCGTTCACGAGAAAGCGTTCTTCAAACATCCAAGCAACCGGAAGTGCTTGTGAGCTTCCAGCACTCTGGCTGTGATGGCCCAGGCCTCCAAATTCGAGAAGTTCGGATCATCTAAGCTCAACGCCCCCAGGCGCTCACTTGTTAACGGGGCGAGCCTGCATCTTGAGTGTAGCACGTCCAGCCCCTGACTTCTGTAGATTGAATCCTGCACAGGTCAAAAATCACTTGGCAGCACGCCGTGCGGTTCCCAGAGGTCATCAGAGAGGGGCTCGAGGTCACGGACACTGTTATCGGGGCCCAGGCCAAGCTCCGTCCAGGACGGCCCTCCTTCCCAGCCGAGGCCCAGCAGACCTTCGCGGTCAGAGTCAGTTTAAGCCACGCGCAAGTTCATGCATTCCCCAACAAAGGGTTACGCCCTGCGTCAATCCCTCTGAGGCCGAAGTCCAAGGCCGGCATTGGCCAGCACCAGGTCCGCACCCCGCGAGGCACCGTCTCGTGAGATCGTGAGCAATTGAAGGGGAAGGGCAGAGGCAAGTTTCCTGGTTCCAGGTGCCAGCCTCCACAGTACGAATATCGGAAGAGGATGGAATGGGAGTCACAACATGTCACAACGCAGTCGTCTCTCACGAGCTCATGAGCCATGCGTGCGTGATGTATCCGGATGCCAGGAGGCTTGGCCCATCAGATCTCGTCGCGAGGTGGATTGGCATTGCCGTGATCAGGTAATATCAGGTAGATCGGCTCAGGCCGCTGCCCCAGCCCTAGCATTCCCATGCGGCTGGGAGGGCTCCACAAACCCGTTGGAAGCTTGCTAACAAAACCCCATTATGTATGCCCTTCCTGGCCAGGAGGGGAAATAGGGGGGGAGGGGAATTTTAGGGGGGGTGGAAAGGGAGGCCAGACGGAGGGTAGGCCTGCGGCGACAAAACTAGGCGAATGCTATGCTATGCAACAGGGATGGCAGCCTTCACTTCAGAAAGACACAGGCGGTGCTCAGAAACCCTGTTTGAGCCTACTTCGCTCCAGGTACGGCTACATCAGCGTCTCCGAGCCGCGTGCAAGTCTCTCGCGTGGGCGTTCGGCCAGGCTCCACGGACTGATAATGAATAGTGGCTGTCAGACCATGTGACTTCTTCTTCACATTGTGCTTTGCCTCTGCATTGGGTACGTGGACGCGCACACAGCCAGTAAAACTGGACGTTGCTGCTGCACGAAGTATCAGCGATCATCGAAAAGCCAGTTGCAGGGTTTCAAAACGACGGTCGGCCTGCTGTTGGCCTGGCTCTGAGCAATTCCCAAATATGCTGGATTTCTGTCACATCGTATTCTCCGGCCATGCTTATTGCTGTGAGTCGGGTCGACTCTGGTGGTTGTGAGAAGGCGTTCGAACATCGGACAAGCCGCGGCCGCTCGCCAGCCAAGGCAGGTGCTTTCGAGATGCTTCCAGGTGTGCGCGCAGCCAACCAATCGCATGAAATCTTGGATGACCCACTCCTGAATCCTAAATTTCAGTACAAACTGGGTGAAGTTATTGATCGCAGGGCGAACGATCTGTGATCAGGACGTCGCAATGAATCGGCATCAACGCTAGGTGCGAAGCTGTGCATTTGCCAGTGTTTTTCACAATGCCCCGTGCAGTCTGTTGCCGTTTGTGGAACCGAGGCGTGAGAGTGTCTGAAAGGCTTTTGAACTCTCCGACAGGCGCACGCATGTTCGGACGTCTCGACGATTTTTCCTTCTTCGTGCACTCGCGAGATACTCGTCCAAGCACCGTAAGCACGGGGCCCACGGCAAGTCACGGCCCCAGCCACAGCCCAGAGCTTGCTAGCTCCTTCAAAGCCGAACTGGAATGCATCGCAGTTCGCACTGCAGGCAGGATCCGCCAGACCGCAGGCGAAGAATCTCTTGCTGCCCGAGACCGTTTCTAATGTCTGTGCCCGCAGTTCGCAACGATGGCAATCGCCCGGTCGCAAACCTCTCGGGCAGCAGTCCCACGAGCCAGACAAGCCGGTCACCAAGACTGGAAATGCAGAGGCATGTTATTCGCCGAGCCTGGAGGCCATGCTAGCGGCGCATCGAAAACGGTGCGTCGAGATGTGAAGCCATTGCTGAAGGCCAGCGGGCACCTGCAGTGGGAGAAGCCCGGGAGAAAACATGCATGTCTCCAGGCGGCAACATCGGAAGGAGTGCGGCTGCGCAACCGCTCCATTTCCACTGACAATGTTGACCGCCGTGGCCAGGCCAGCTGGGATGTGCAACTTAAAATTGTGGTGCTTTGGCTAAGTTGTGGACTCCTGGCGATAAAAGATTCAACATCCAGAACGAATGTAGAACAGCCGCAGGCGACCATCCGACAGAGAATGAAAGACGAACTCCTGGCTTTGCACGACTTGAGTTCCTTGCAGAATGCTGCGACCCTAGAATGTAGTTACTGTTACTGTACTAGTTCTGGACTGTATTGCAGCATTGTGCTTGTTGCTTTTCTGTTTTTGGTGGGTTGGATTGTTTGCAGCACTTCAACAGGGCCCTCTCTTAGAGAGGCGCACACACTTAGACACCACGCACGTTTTTGTCCAGTACATGGTTGTGTCAAGCTTGAGCTGTCGGTCTGAGTCTATGCTTGGAGTGCCTGGCCTGAGCGACAGATTTGGACAGACTTGTGAGGCCGTGTCGCCGAAACTGGTGGAAACACCTCCGCGGCCAGAGTCCATTGAGCCCGTCGCGACCTCTTAAAGTCCTGTCTGCATCGCTCTGTGCCAAAATCATGGCGTGATGAAGGCATATTGCATACGAGCGTAGCGACTAGCATAGCACTTGGCCTTGCGAAGCAGCCAGCTCGCAAGGTTCACAAAGCAAGCGCAACTAGTGCAACGGTGCAGGCAGGGAAGGGTGGGTGGGTGGCATTGATGCAGCAATGAGCATCGTGGCCAGACCAGCTACGTTGCCTCCCCCCAGAAATCTTGCCTGCGCCTTACAGAGGGCTCGTGTCATTTCAAGAAGTTTAGGCAAGACACATGAAGATCTGGCACCCCTCGGTCACGAGCCATGACCCATCTTTACAGATGCCGTGCCGGTGAACCAGCCACGAGTTCAAGGCCAGCTGAGTCCCACATGGCTGCAGAAGGAGAGTTCAATTGCTATATGCACCACTACGACCCGCTTTTGCAGGTCTCTCCTCGTGGCCAAGCGTTTGGGTGCCACAGGTGATTCCAGCAGTGCCGGCAGTGCCAGTGCAGGCTCAAGTGCCGTCGGATGTTGCGCTGATTTTGTGATGAAGTTGGAGCCGTATTGCGCAGTCTCGATGCCGAATGCTGTCCCCAAAGAGGGGACTGATTGCATTCACCGTGAAGACGGAGGCAGAGGTGTGCAGAGAGAGCACGGTGCCTTCGACAGGTTCCGATTTCAATGGTGAGCCGCAGCTCCATGGGACGACACCTCCTGCACTGCTGGCTGAATTGTCGCTGCTTTTTTGCGGGGCGCCAATAGAAATCTTGTGGATGGAGGTATCCGAAAATGAGCTTCTCCACTGTGGCAATGGCCTATCCCGGCGCCAGGGTCCCGGAGCGGTTGCTGGTTTTTCATTTTCAGGTCGCATCAGTAGCAGGTTCAGGCTACACGAAGTAGTTTGTGGTTGGCCGGGCATCATCAGGCATCTTTAGCCAAGTAAGGCTGTAAGTCCGACGTCGCATGTGCACTTGAGCATGATCTGCAGCCCCAGATTCCGAACCTGCAGATTTACGATGACTCGCGGTTGAGGTTGTGGTCTTCAGACTAGAGACACGATTCGTAAAGACGCGAGGCCACCACTCACGGTCACGCACGAATGGCCAGCTTCCAAGAAGGGTTTCAAGATGTTTGGGAGCAGAAGGGAGCCACGCGGTCAAAGGCAAATTGCAAATTGTTCCATATCTCGGCATGAGTTGGATTTAACCTCAGGCTTTGAATCGCTGGCCGGTGGCGCGCTGATACGAGGAGCGAGGCGCACAAAAGGTGGGCCGCCAATGCAACCTGCTGCCGTGTACCTTAGGCCCAGCTAAGGCCTGCCTTGAGGCTTTCCGGTGTGCGAAGGCTTCGAATGTCGAAAACTGTGGTTGCATCCCCAGCAGCGTTTTCGAGCTCAAGAGTTTGGATCATGTATCCGTCTTGATACTGCCGGTTTGGTTTATATGATTTATGTTAATTGTTGTGGATGTCAATCTGTGCTCACCTTTTTCGCGGATTGCCATGTGCCAGAGACGGTTATTGGCACCTTCAGCGCAATTGTTGGCTCTGGCCTGCCTAATGTCAGTCTGAAGCTGACGCAGCAGAGGCCTCGACTTCTGCCTGGAATGTTCCAGGAGGACCGGGCCAGTCATGGTGCATGTCCCTGACGTGGATTGTCCCGCCGTTGCTGTGTCGACGTGCACGGCGTTGGTCGTCGTGGCTCAACCGCCTGGGCCTGGATCGGCTGAATGAGGCTGCCGTAGATGGAGATGTGGACCGCGCTGAGCGTGAATTCGAGACTCTGATTCCACAAGTACCCCTCGAGAAGTCCACTGTGGTCTACAACACGTTGCTGAAGGCAGCGCTTTTGTCGCGAAATGACGGTTGATCAGCTGATTCCCTGAGTCGTAGCGAGGCATTCGCGAACAATGGCTCTTCTCAGAAAGCAGCATGGCTCTACGGGCAAATGCGCTCACGAAGCGTTCGGGTCAATGCCAGGACAGCGCAAAAGCAAAGCGGCGATAGCAGAGAGATGCAGAAGAGCTTCTGCTTACCTTTGAAAGAGGACCTATGGAAAGATCATCGAAGCTCATGCCAAGACTGGCGACTTGGAGTCTGCGATGGCCTGGCTGAGCCGACGCTCTCAGGACTTCAAAGTCGCCTCTCAACAGAAAATGCGCCGCGTGCGCGCCGCGTGCGAGCTTATCGGACATAGTATCACATAACTTGAATTATCGGTATAGTAGATGAATAAGAAAAAATATATATATATATATATATATATACATATTAAATTGATAATATCAATATAGTCTTAGTCTTTCTGTGTTTTCCGGCTTCGGCCGCAAGTTCTCCGAGGATTCCGTTGTCGTGAACATGCTTCTCGATGCGGCTGCTCAGGCCCTGGCCCTTCGGGATTTCCACTTAAAAGGATCATGGGACTTAGTAACTATGGTTCTACTTAGGGTACCTATACTTATAGCTACTTATAACCCCAATTAAGGTACTTATAACCTTACTTACTAAGTCCTACGATCCTTCAAGCACCATTCCAATGCTACGTAGATGTGCGTTTCAGGCTGGTCGCGCCGAAGAGGCGGAGGCCATTGGAGCGAGCAGAGTCCTTCTCGGCTAGTCCCAGGAAGCCTAAACCCTAAAACCCTAAACCCTAAAACCCTAACACCCTAAACCCTAAAACCCTAAAACCCTAAACCCTAAAGCCCTCAACCCTAAAACCCTAAACCCTAAACCGCATGTCCATGTGTGTTGCAGGTGTTGTTCTTCGCTGCGAAGAAGATGGGTTTCGCAGCAACTCCCCATTCATTTGGCAGCGTCCTGCATTCGCTCGCCAAGGCATTCTGCAGACAAGCTGACCTGCATGTCATACTGTGGCGCCAGGGGTTCGTGGAAGCCTTTGCAGTACCATATTGGAAAAAACCCTAAACCTTAAACCCTAGAGGCCGGGAAGTCGGCAGAAGCCATCGCATGGCTGGAGCGCATGGCCGCTCAGCTTTCTTTTTGGCTTTCTCGGTCGCCTCAGCCGGGTTTACACATAGTGTAATAATTGAATAAGGTTTTGTATCATATGGTACCAATTTTCTAAGTTACTGGTATGGTAGTAGAAATATAAGCGCTAAACCATATTCCCCAGGACATGGAGCAGGTGGAACCCAACGCCATTTGCTACGGAGCAGCCCCGTGGCTGACATTCTGTTAGAAGCTTTGACGACCAGCGAATCCTAGCGGTTTAGGGTTAGGGGGGTAGCAGCAGCTCCTGTAGAAATGGCCTTCCACTGACATGAAGCCGACTCGCACGAAAAAACTTGGACAGAAACGAACATTATGGCCTTCAGGGGTGGGTTTCGCTACTGCGCAAATCCTCGAAAGCAAGGTGATTGATGCCTGCGCAAAATCGGGGCAGCCGAACGCCGCAGTCATGGTATTTCAGCAGATGCAACTTCGGAAGCTTCAGCCGGACCTTGTGGTGTTCGGCGGCATTGTGCATGCCTTCTCTCAGCTGGGACAGGCTGGTTCGCAGATGTGTTTATCAGGTTCGCTAGTCCTGTTGCAGGGATCCTTTTTCCGCAAGAGCCCCCGGCATCGACTGTGCCCTTTCTCTCGAATTCGCGTTCAAAGTCATCCCACGGCAGCTGCTTCGCTACCAGTAGCCGCCCAGCCCGTCCTAAGTGGCCCCTTTCGAGGTTGCAGATGCGGCATTGTGGTTGAAGGAGGCCGAGGCCGCGAATCTGAAGCCGAATCTCATCATCTACAACAGCATCATCTCCGCCAGTGCACGTGCTGGAAATCCCAAGCAGGCCGAGGAGGATTCGGACGTACTTGTGAAAGCTTGCGAGAGATAGCATCTCTAGGCTATTCGCGGTTCAACGTGTGCCCCTAGATGCGCTCCAAAGAGTACTGACAGCACCGTGAATGATTTACAGGTTGCTTGAGAAGGAAGCTCTGTCTGTAGGCCCGGACGACCTCAGCTCAAGACCTAGGTCCAGGGGCGGAGACACTTCTGGTGAGCAGGGGGCCAACAACAACAAGATGCTGCTCCTCCTCCTCCTCCTCCTTCCCTCCGCCTCCTACTAGACTACTACGACGACGACTACTACGACTACTGCGACTGCTGCTACTGCTAATAAGAATAATAGTGATCGTAAAATAGTAGTACTAGCAATAATGGCAATAAGTGTAATAATAGTAATCATCGGAACAGTAATTACTACTAGTTACTACCATAGCTGCTGTTCCTGCCGCTGTGCTTGGTCCTGGTGCTTCTACGACTCGCTAGTCGACCCAGCCCCGCAGCCCCAATTATTCATCCAGGCCTAGCACTACCCGCACTAACCTACCCCTCACGCACCCATATGCACCCCTAGTCCTGCCCCTTACTACTCTCCACTTAACTCTACCCGACTCTATGTACCCCCTATGCCCCTGGCCTAAGGCCAGGCTGCGTAGGATACCTCCGTTGCCAGGCGATCCGCTGGCTACAGCAGATGCAGGCAGCAAGCCTGAGGCCGAATCCGACATCGTACACCGGGATCCTGGATGCTTTCTCCAAGAAGATTCTTAGCCAAAAGAAGCTTACAACACGTGATCGTGGTAGAGAGGATCTGAGCTCGACCAAGGAAAGATGTTTCTCTTCAAGAGGTCACACATTGGTTCCATCAGATGGTGAATGACCAGCACTCCCCGGACGAGGCGGCATTCTCTTGCATGCCGCTGTGCTGAGACCTTGAGAGGAGCCGTCTAATGTTACTTGCTTGGGGTGAGCTTGCGTGTCGAAACTCCGCGGGGCTGGCAAAGAAGCCATTTGGAGCAAGGCAAGAGGTATCAGTAACAACACTTCCCGGAGTTTTCCACCTGGAAATGTGGCCACTGCTTATTTGCGCATGTTCTGGAGAGGGGTGAAAGCCATGTCCCAATCACGCAGAGCATCACTGCAGTGCTCAGATGCCAAGGATCTTCTGCTGTGCGAAGGCACGACGTCCCAAAGAAGCCGAGGCCGGGTTCGCCAGAAAAAGATCCTACGAAAGTGGATGCGCGCATGTTTTGGAGGCTTGGCTCCGGCGCATGCATGAAGCGGAGCTGAAGCCCGACTGCAGGCCAGGCAAGACTCCACAGCTGCCAAGGGATTTGGGGTAACAGGGCAGCAGGGATCGTAGTGGAAAGGTCCTTCAATGGGGTGATCGCTTCTGCGGCGCAGCTGGGGCAGATGGAGTTGGCAGTAAAGTTCCTGCGGCAGATGCTGGAAAGCAGTGTGCAGCCCAATGTCATGTCGCGCCGTGGCTTCCCATTTACTGAGATGTACTGTACTCTATTCTATCAGAATATACTGTGCCGGCAAGAAGTTTACATATGTTACATGCCAGCCAGACCCAGCTAAGGTACACCAATATTATCAGTGCCTGCGCAAAGACCTCCAACCGCCATGGTGCGATGCACTGGCTGCAAGAGATGCGCCAAGCTACGCTGCCGCCCAACGTTCTGTCTTACACATGCGCGATTGAGGCCTGCATGGAAGGGATCAGTCTTCAGCGCATCTCCTGCTTGAGTCTTTGTCCCTGTGCTTCCCCGTGGAAGCAACGAGGCATGCCTGCGCCCTGGTCCTGACGTCAGCTGGGCAGCGGCGCTCTCCCTCCTCCGGCGCATGCGTCAGGAAGGCACCGGGTCCGAGAGACTCAGAGAGCTCGGGGCTGAGCCTCTTTGAAAGCTCTGCCTGAGGTATCCAGGCAGACAGGATTTTGCTGGGCAAGCTGCGACGCCTTGTTGGTTCGGAGGCGGAAGAGGCTTCCCGGCGTCAAGAACGGTCCTCGTGAGTCTTTGCAAGTGCCCTTCTGCAGGTGTTTAGGACGCCCAGCTCAGGAGTTTCTTCGTGCAGCGACTTGATTGTTTCATCGGCTCAACCATCCCCATCTTCAACCAAAACGGCGCGGGCGAGCTGGACTGATCTGCGCTGGGAGAAGTGCAACACTGCGGGATTGACTCCCGCCCTGCGACTTGCTCGAGCATTTGGTCCTCCAGGTCGTCTCAAAAACCGTTGTTGTATTTTCGCTGTGGGTCCCGGACGGACCCTCGAGTCCGGAAACTGTAGCTTCGACACAGCAGCACATCTTGAGCATGTTCCAAAACCCAGCCTCACGGCTCCAAGGATGGACCTGCTCTTCCACAAAAACCACGCCAGCTGACTCACCGCTCGCCCGGAGCATCGGTCGGGTCTCCCATGTGCAGCTCACAAACTTGTCGAGAACTCGCAG